GTCCTATTAACATAATATATCATGCAGTAAATTCCACAACACATGGATTAGTTATCACTTACAAAAGTAACAGCAAATTGTGTCGAGTTTCCTACGGTATTGATTGTCTCACATGATCTCTAATTGGATCTCTGATCGGTGACGTTTTAAGAGAAGAATCCTCTCAAAAACAAAAAAAAAACGGGTTTAAGGTTTTTTGCGATGCGTTTTAATGCGCGCACTTTGTTCTGTTGTCATTGTCATAATGCTAGGATACGGTATCTGAGAGTATATTCTACTCAAAACGTAATAACGACAATCAAGAGATAAGAACTTGTTTGCGCTTTCGGCGAGCGTAATCAATAACTGTTTCGCCCAATAAGTTGGGTTGTTTTTCAAAGATCACTAGAGAAATTCAATTATACGCTACGATCACAACCACCGGACGGATACCTTAAGGTCTTGATAAACAACTTTAGTGTGACAAAAACACGCGCATGCCCAAAAATAGAATCGCGGTCTATTTTTTAAAAGGTCGCTATATTTAGAAGTGACTGATGATTGATCGCTCTGTCGTAAAAAGAGCGAAAACCCTCTCGAATACGAAAAGAGAGTCTTTTGATTAAGTGGCTCGTGGTATCGGAGATCACTTTATCAGTGCCCAAAAGAAGGTCTATTCAGATTTGAGTGTCCCGTAGTCGTCGCGATACGATCAAAGTACGCGGACAAATACCCTAATTCGCTGATCAAAGAGCACTCATTGTTATGCGTCTTCACAAAGTTTTCCCTGTCTTTACTTTACCTACTGTTTAAACCAAAAGCCGTAAACTGTACAAAACTTTTGGAACGAAAAACTAAAAGTGTATCTATCGACGGGCTCATGTGTAACATCTTCTACCGCGATTATCTCGGAACTTTCCATCGAAAAATCAATCTTAGATCAAAGTTAAGAAGATGTACAACTGTGTGAAAGTTCAACTAGACGCTGATTCGATTACAACGAATAAAAGTAGAATATTAAGATTACAGCGACACCTAAAACTACAATTTTAACTTATTTCATAAGCTATATAACGATAAACATTACAATCACTATGCCATAAACAATATGACAAAAACATAAACAAATCAATACTGTTTGTAAACAGTACAGTGTTTCATACTCGGATTGATATTAATATGTTTATGTTAACTTTAATACCACTATTTTCCAAACTATTATTGTTTTCTTGTTGCACATGACTATTTTTATGCCTTTTCCAGTAACTATTCTAGAATATTATGCTTATTAGCTTGTTTAAACTATGCTAACTATAACGTTTGTTACAAAAACCCTTACAAATGAGTGCTTATTACTGTTACAACGACCTTTACAAGCTTATCTACCATTGAAAACGACAATGTTTTTTCTGTCTTACTGTAACACCAACAATTATGAGCATGGCCACACCTAATCGCTGAACTTCAAACACCCTACGCATTCGATACCAAGTAAGTAAACAGTTATCATTCAGTATTCATACATGACTTTTAACACTTGCAAAAGCATGCCGTGGCGTTATGGCCCAGTTAAGAAGACAATATTACACAATATTATAGAAATCAGATTACACTCGTTACCTCAACGGATGTGAATAGTAAACACAACGTGTGAAACAGCTTAGTGACATCGAATTTAATTTACTTTTTCATTACGTCCCTTTCCGTTCCGTGACAGTAGAAACGTTTGCAATGACTGTAATTAGTGCAAGGAAATCTTACAGGTTTGAGTATTAAAAACATACTGACTAATACTAATTCGACGCCTACAAGATCGCCTTAAAGCCTATGACATAACACTGTAATACTGATTAAAACTGTTAGTAGTTATAGTAAAACCCTACAAAAACATATTAATAAAATAAAAATATGACTAAGTAAGAAGCCTGTGACTATCCATACTTGAAGTAACTACTTAGTTTCTATTAAGCCAATACCACCTTTTGCTTATAAAGGGCACAGTATTCTTAAACGGTGCCAGTTGCAACCCACAACAAACCCAAGAACAGTTTTCCGCTTCACCGTTCCAACTATGAATATCTTTTCTTGCCACCTACACTTATATTTCAACCGGTCATGAATAAATCAAATAGAATCAGCACAAAGTATATGTGCAGAACATCCATCCCACAGCCAAGATACCATGACTACCGAGTTCCGCGTTTCAAACCTCAACGATGACTCATTTGACAATGCATATTAATCAACAGTAACCAACGTTTCAAACTGCTTTCAATGAGCTTGAAAAGAGCTCGTTGAACGGTCTTCCCACTGCCTTTTCTGAATATTTAATGAGCCAAACGACAATAAAATTAATTTCGAAGAGAACCAAGAAGTTGATAACATTCATCACAAGATTTCGTCCACAATACTACCTTTACCTATAAGTGTTGACAACGCTATTGAAGCCAAAGAAAAATCTTGAATGTTTTAAAAATGATTAAATCAAGGTATTAATATTCATATTCAAAACAGTCGCAAGGTCTTTTGATACCCAAAACAGTCACAATATCCTTCTAATCTACTAAATTAACTACTATTGTCGCATTACGAGTATTACTGTTATTTTTCACATCAGGTGTTTACAAATGTTACGCAACTGTCAGATGACATATGTTTTCCAAAAATATCTCTCAAATCCATGTACATACTACAACATGACTATGCTTTATGCACCTGTAACCTCAGACAATTTCCGCATTCAAACGTTATCAAAATATGTATTTTATGGTATCTCATTCAATACGAAAGCCTTGAATGCTTACGCACATGTATTGTAATGTTTTGTAGCTATAATTACACTTTGAAACCTTATGTGTAACTGTAATTACTCATGTGTAACCATAATTTCGAGAGTAACTATGATTAACCTACAGAAACGGTTATTTTTGGCACTTTTTGCAAATGATTTTAGATTATAAGTTTGAACAATACATATTGACACAATGCCATGGCATATAAAGCTACAATTAATACCATGGCGTGTTATACTATATTACCTTAACTACAATGAACGCGCAAAATTCTAAACTACGCTACCTTCACTGTACTTAAGTCACTACAAAATCTTTTATACTACCTCTACTACAAATGCGACAATACTTTTTGAGCCAAAACGAAGTTCCGCGACAGAATAACAGATTCTTCTTGAAATTTACTAGCAAACTACACCTAATTGTACTCGAAACGTAATGTAAACTTGTAGGTTTAGTACTTTTTACAGCGACGAAAGAAGAACCAAATTAATCGAAATTTACTTCCCAGTAATGTAAATTGTTATTATAAGATTAGTTGTTATTGTAAGATGTCATCCATAAAAACACACACTAAAAACAGCACCAATTCACTGGAAAATAATACTCAAAGCCTTATTTATATACTCTATTGCTTGATACTAGTTTTTCTACGTGGTCTTTTATACCTATTTTAACTAACATATACTTTAAAAAGCGTGCTGCCATTAATAAAATCTTAAGTTTAATACAACAGTAGGAATCAAATCAATCTTAACATAAATTACCGCAGATATAAAGCGAGAGTTATAGTTGTATATCGTCAAGTTTAACACTAAAACATAGTCGCCGTCGAGTTACAGTAATGCCCGCCGTTTTTTATTAAATTTCACGGTAATTTTTAATGCGTTTTTCATTTTATGTTGTTTGTACTGTCTGTGACGAAGTGTTACATATCAAACCCATGTATTAAGGCTAAAAAAAAGTAGAAAAAAATTTTAAAACTTCAAAATTTCGAAAAACCACGTTTCAAAAATTTTCAAAATTACTTCAAAAACTGTCTGTCTAATCAGAAACCTTTTTCTAATTCCTAGTAGCCTGTTACACGTGTTCCAAACACAAAAACCGTCTTTTAGGTATTAACACCTGACAAAATGCGGAAGCCTACTTCTCAAGATTCGATTGCGAAAAGAATTAGCAAGTTCCTTGTTAGAGTACGCAACTTGTTACGGATTCAATTGCCAGAAACGCGTGTTATTCCAAGCGGATTAGCGACTTTTACTTCCACGCCACATTCACCTACATCAAGGTCTTCCTTATAGGAAAAACAGTCAAAAATAGATAGACTAGGACCCGAAAAACGTAATAAATGATAGAAACCAACACAAGGTAACTCAGACAAACATTCAAAATTCAAAAATGTACTGCAACATCACCTTTTTAAATACTTTTCTAAAAGTTTCCCTATACCTTCATCAATATCTATTTTCAAAAATATTATCATAAATCCTTGATTAGATTAATCTATGCTACATTCCAGACCCCTATTCAAGTAAATCTGCTCCCAAACATGTATTTATCCATGTATTAATTAACAAAATATTTTGTTCCGAATAGCACATAAACTTATATTCTCCATGTTTAGTTACAAACAGCCGGCTAATACCCTTAATTAGATGTCTTCCAAAGTTCAATGTGACAATAATCTCCCTAATCCTATCACAAATCGCTGCTAATACCACTTCCAGATCCACTAAAGACATCGAGAAGAGTGGAGAAGAAAAGATAATAACATAAACAAGACATTCCTTACCATCGAACGCCAACTCTTCGACCAAACATACCAAAGTACACTTTAAAAGTGTACTTCAAAAGCTTTTTAAAATGCTAAAGGTTTTTATGTAAATATTCATTAAAATATATTATAATAGGTTTTTTTGATGTTTTAGAGCAATATTATCAAGAAATCTTTATAAAAGTAAGCTTATTTGTAAAACTAAGATATGTCTGCTGCTTGTAAAAGTTCTAAACATAAATTTATGTCCTTTTCTATAGCTAAAAATTCAAAAAACACCGTGAAAGTTTCAAAACTATTGTACAGCCAAAATATTTCGAAGTTAATAACTTAAAAGTGCGTTAACACGGCTTTTAAAATATATAAGTCGTCAAACAATGTCCTTAAACATTCTTTTTCAATTTCCGGTCGTAAACTTAACTCACAAGCAGCAAAACATTCATTTTTCTCTATTTTCATACCTAAACTACAAAAACAATATAAAAACAAAACCTACCTCATAGTTGTCGCTTCCTTGACTCTCGGCCGGTTGTTGTTGATTCATGTTACGCATCTCGGTGAGTTGCGGCTTCTCGTAGCTTTCCTCCTTGTTCTTGTTGAAGTCGCTCTCCATGGGTAACAAGTTCTCTTTAGCTAACTCGTCCAAATCGAGAGGAAGTTCGTTCGTATTAATATCGCTTAAAGGCAGTAATTTGGCACTTCGATCTAACACAAATTGCTCAAACAAACTAGCTGCAAAGTCCATAACGTCAGTATAATCAGTTCAATAACAGCCTTTAGAGCCTTTATCACAACAACACGAACACACGCGAGAAAATCCAATAAGGTAAAGGATGTGAAAGTGAAGGTAAAGTAAGATGGAAACTACTTTGACACGAATAGACGACTATTATTGTCTGTTCAGTAAAATATTAGTATTACACTTGATGTTATCAGTGTAATTTATATTATACTTGACAGAGCCTTTGAATCAGTTGAAAAGTATACTCAAAAAGTATAGTATTCCAACTGCAGATGTTTTAAAAGATAATAGTCGAATAACAATCGCAGTAGTCACGTTATCGAACTAAAACCAACAGCTATCACAACTCAGGTAAAGTAATATACTTTAGCCCAGATCTAATGGGTAAATCGCGGATTTCTCGATAAAAAAGTAAGTCAGTAGAATAGTAGGAATATTGTAACTCAATTGTAGCAATACCGTAAAATTGCTTTTACAGTACAATAGGAATACAGTAGTAGCTAGTCGTTTCAAAAATCCAAGCTTTTGATCTTGGGATCTGAAAATAAAGTAGGTTAACATAAGACACGTCGACTTGTCGCGCAATGTTCTCGATAACACGATAGATCGTAAGATTCACGTTAAGCAATACATAAAGGGTAAAATCGAACGTATATAACCCAATATTTTAGGTATAACATCAAATGTGGGGTGAAACAATAAATTCCTCATCAAGGTAACGATGTCTAAAAGATATCTTTGATACCTAAAATTCGAGCAAGCAAAACAAAAAAAAGATTAAGACTTAAAAAAGGTTTTTGATTTGAATCAAAAATCTTTTAAAAATATTAAAAACTTCAAAAAATATTACCAAAAATCCATGAACCCATCAAAGAATTGGTGTCTAAACAGTATCGTCTAAAAAACAAATAAAATTATACAAGAAACTAATCGATCCTTTGTCTGTTATATAGCAAAGTCCACACCACGTGACTTCAAACAATAAAAAACCGGAAGATCGTCATAAAACAACAAGAAAATTTAAATAAAACAATATTATCAACGCAAAAACAGATATTCTGATTCACAAATTGAAGCCAAACACATCGAAAAAACATTGAATACGTTTTAAACAGTTAAAACATTGTAAACCAAACCCTAAACAACAATATTGTATTGCATCATTCACTAAAACACGATTAATTCTCTTGATTTCGATCGAAAAACCTGCGAATTTCCGCTAAAAAATTCTAAAACTTCGGTTTTTAGCCATTTTTAAATCGATTTTTTGACAAAATCAGAAGGAAAATACAGTAATCTACAGATATTGAGCACGAAATTAAAATAGAACCTTCTTAGCCCACGTTAAACAGCGAAAAGAACATTGGAGAACGTCGAAAACAGAGCAAAAAACTAAAAATGTGCGTCTTCGAAAAGCGGGAAAAAGTTGAGAAGAGAGAACGAGCGGCCGTCTGCTCTCTCTCTTTTTGGACACTCTTTTCACGTTTCCCTCTTAATTCTCCTTTTGTTTCTTCTTTTCCGTTCGCTCTATGGCCACTCTCTATTGCTTTTTTATCTTTTCTCACCCTTTCGGCTTCTTCTGGCCCTCTCTCGTTTCTCTGACCAAGTTTTTCTCTAACTCCCTCATACTTTTAAATGCTCTTTTATGGCCGCCTCTCTCTTTTACTAAATATTTCGTTTCTTTGCTTTATCGGCGACAAATCTATGCATTGTGCGTACGCCAGCCATCTGAAAAAAGTGATTTCGAAATTGGTGACTCATTTTCTGGACCCTCACGTTTGTCGCACTATTTTTGTTTAGCCTAACTGGCGACGGAATTTCGAAACACTTCCATGATGGGCGCTGTATCTCTTCTATCTCTTCACCGTACTCACTATTTTTATTGTATAGAGCCTCTTCGGAAGACACGATCTTTATTTTACCCAAAACTCTCTTCATTTATCGTGGTGTCTCGTCTTTCTCCGACCTTTCTCTGGTTTTCTCTTCTTTTTTCACATCCTCTCACTTTCTTCCAACACTCTCTCGGTTCCTCACACTCTCTCGTCCAAAGGAATGCACCGTGCAAGAAGAAATCGCAGTTCCCACAGCAGCGACAAACCTCATGGCCATCGCGACAATTCGAGAAGCGACAAAGTGACGTGTGGTCTGATGAACCCGTGTTGTCGCTCCTCAATTTGCGGTTTGTCACGTTTTTGAGTGTCGCGAAAGTCAAAGTGCGACAAAACTGTTTTGAGTTCGTCGCACAAGTCGGAGCGATAAACCAAAGGCATGATTGTCGCTGAATCTAGAGCAACAAAACCGTCGCAACGTCAGAAGTGACAACGAGAATTCTGATTTGTCGCTGAACTCAGAGCGACAAAACCTTTTTCAAGTTGTCGCCGAATCACCAGCGACAAACCACATGGATGGTTGCCACCGAGCGACAAAACGTGACATTGTCGCGTGACTCATCGACCTGATTCTCAAGTTTTGTCGCGACGAAACTGTGATGGATTAGCGATGCCATTTGTCATTGGAATCGAGCGACGAGTGTCGCGCGATGTCGCCGAAAGCGGTCTGTGAACTTTGTCGTGGACTCAAAACACAAAACGTCTGGCTGACAGCTGCGACAAACTCCAAAGTGACTGCACAGTGCGATCATTTCTCTTTCTTTGGAATTTTGTTTCATGCACAGTGCAGTCGAAAAAGAATTGTCGCAAGGTATTGCACGGTGCAGTGTTTAATTTATTTTTTATTGCACGGTGCAGAATTTTAATGCTTCCTGACTGCACAGTGCAATATTTTATTGGTTTTTGACTGCACGGTGCAAGAATAAAGAATAAATTGCACTGTGCAGTAAAAAGGTGACTGCACGGTGCAATGACGTAGAAATCAAGTAAAAAACGTCATAATCAATTTATTAAAGCGCCATGACGTCAGAAAGGAGTGTAGTAACATAAAGTGACGTCTTCTACTCCTGAATCAAGGTGCCTCGCTTGCGTTGTTCGATCTCGACGGCTTCAAATAAGGCTTTGAAGTTGCCGGCTCCGAATCCCTGAAATACAAAATTTCAAAAAACTGTACCATTTGCACTACTTTTGGTACTACGTTTAAGTAAAAGTGAAAATTATATTTTTAAGCTACAAAATTACAGTAACCTCTAAATTTTCAGTGTAAAAAGATTACTGTAACAAAATATTCAAAAACTACAGTAATCCACAGTAACCCACATCAAAATTGTTTCGCCTGATAATCTCGACAAAGAAGGTCGGTAGTGGCTGGACTGGCTTGGTAAAGCACTGTATCAAGTATCCCTTGTCGTCGAAATCGACCAAAAGTTGATTTTCTCGTATTTTAACCATATCTTCCTCTATTTTCAGACCGGTTGTCGCTAGTCGCTTCTCGATATTGTCGTAGTATTCTGAGGGAATCGACAAGAATTCGACCGATCGTCGTCGCATCTCGGATACTGTAGAGATGATGTCATCGACGGCGAACGCGACATGTTGGATGCCTGGGCCTGAGTTGAAGTCGAGGAACTCCTGAAATACGGTAAGATACGGTAAATGAAATCAACTCAAAAAATAAAAAAAAATTTTTTAGAAAATAGTCGCAACCCAAAAAAAAGTTTAAAAAAATCGTATTTTAGAGCTTGCCGCGACCATAAAGATGCTGAAGACCTGAAGCCAAAGCAACCAATTTTCATATTTTTATCACTTTTAACATTAGCGACAAATCCAAAAAATCTCTCACCTGAACTTGGCCGCGACCTTTCTTTTCAGTCTGGACTGGCTCGACTACCGTAACCTGGACGTTTCTTTCTGGATTCGCTACTAAAGCTGCCTTCAGGGCGCTATACTCCGTATGGACTTGTTTGTCGTCAATCGACCAAAACCTCTCGAATTGGAGCACTTTATTGTACCAGTCGACTACGGTATCTACCGTACCTGAAGGGTGGGCTTCTACGAAATGGTCGATATGCGATATTGGGATAGGTGGGCTGAAATGTTACAGTAGGACGTCTACGGGCTTTTTCCGTATTTTACAAATTATAACTTAATATTAAACTACAGTACTACTATGAATCATTTTAGTGCGGTACTACTACTAAACAGTACCATTAGGACTACTTTTGGTACTAAAAATTAAACATAGTATTATATATGCTAAGTTGCATAAATAGCATAATATATACAACATACTACTCAAAAAAAGCAAAAATTCAAAAAAAGTTACAGTAACCCACATACAGAGTAGAACAGAACCCAATGTCAGCAACCACATCGTAGCCAGGCAAGAAGCTACCATGATAATCCACATTCTGAAAGAGTTCGTACTCAATATTGGCGACAGATCCTTGAATTCCAATTGTCTTCACGCTACCGTAATCGTCTGTTACAGTGTCCAGCTCTTTTGTTATTACGATAGAATCTTTTGCGATTTCTAGAAACTTTTGAACATCGTCCACTTGTAACCCAACTTTTCGAACGAAATCACCATGACTTGCGAGAAGATTGGTGGCTAGCGACTCGGAAGGACTATTGGGAGAGGTTAAGACTATTAGAGCCTGGAATGGTATAAAAAATTACTATAACATAACATAGTTTACAAAATTATGTTTTTACTTATAATATAGAAAAAACATAAAAGTTACTATAGTATATATGCTTACATTTCCATTCTTGATAACGATTGACAATGTTGTCGCGGTTCGTCTTTGAGCTATTCTTTTGAATCCAAACACTGTACAGTACCAAAACGAGGCCTGAATAGTAAAAAATAATATTAGTCAACAAGGGCTCTAGAAGTAGAAACAAAACTTGAACTTTTTTAAAAAATTATTCCCAAAAAAGTCGTATTTAAAAATGGAAAATTAACATCGGAGGATAACACATAAAATTTTAGGAAGATTGGTTTTGATTTCAAGTTTCTACATAAAGTTTGAAGCGAATTATGGCCTCCGCCGGTAAGTTAAAGCGTCCGCCGACTGCTCGCCAAATGCAAATGTAAAATTTTGGAAAAAATAAGTATTTTTTAAATTTCATAACGACCTTTATATGCACTTTAAAACCCCAAAATTTCTTGTAAAAAATATACATTAGCTGTAGATTACGGGTACCAATTTTTGACTTGCTACCTTTTTTCATGACTGACATTGTGAGTAATAAATCTTTTTAGTAATAATTTTTTCCCAAAAATTCGCTTTGACAGAGGGTACAGAATTATTTGAAAAATTTAATTTATTGTACAAAGAGAGGTTTATTATCTATATGTCGCTAAAACAATTTTTTAGCTTCTTCTACCCTTTATAAACCAACTTTATCCACCTAGAACTGCTTGGACCTTTAAAGGACGCAATGATTTTGACTAAACACAACAATCCAAAGTTCATTTTTGAACAAAAAAAACATTTTTAAATTTCCAAATTATAAAAAAATCAGAAAATTTTTTATTTTTCAAAAATTCTTGTAACGATGAAAAAGTTGCGACAAACCCTTTTACCTGAATGGCATTTCCGACGAACAATTGGATATGATGGATGAGCGACATCACTGAATTAAGGTCCCTTCCGAGTTCTATGGCCTTTGTTTTGTCTGCGATCTTTTGAAAAAAGAATTTCGTTAGGCTTTCGTCTGCATTATAAATAGGATATCTGTTCTTTATATTGTCTTTGTCCGAACTTACGTGACTTTTTGATTGCTTTTTGCGCATTTCAGCGTAAAAACTTGAAAAAGTTGAAATTCTTTAAAAAGGAGTGTTTTTGTAATTTATATAATGTACTAAAATATAAAATTGCCAACTTTCCCTTAGAGAGAAAGACTTGACTCAGAATTAGAAATAGAGAAAGACTTGACTCAGAATTAGAAATAGAGAAAGACTTGGCTCAATCTGTTAATATTTATCATTTTTATCAAAGATTTAATTCCCAAATACCAGTACAATGTGCTATTAGGGTTTTCAAGTAATTCTGTGTCCTATAAATTCAAAAAATTGTTTTGAGTGGGGCACAGAGTTATTTGAAAGACCTAATATTATAAGTTTACGGCTAATTAGTGTCATAAATTTATTATATTATAGTTAAATTTTTTACTTGGATTTTAATTTTCTCAAACGACCGTGGGCAGAGAACTAGGACTAACACGAAGCTGCGAGTGACTGGACTGATCTGTCTACCGACTTTAAGCATCTCAACACGTGTCTCGACTAATTCAGATCTGAAGCGCTCTATGATGGACGACAGGACAAGTATAGACTGGCAAAGTTACTAAACCCAGCTTGGCTCTACCACATTCAGATTTACGTGCAGAGGATCATCAGGATCACCCAAGTATCTAGCTGTCACTATTTTATTATTGTTGGCTCTATTTCTTTCAGTTAGTCATGAAGAACACCCCGTGAGGGGCCTGAGCAGAATTTAGATAAGACCAGGCGTGAAAAATGGGCCCGGCTCGTTCCCCAGGTTTACTCTCACATTGTCAGTACAACTTTTAGTGAACAGAATAAAGCAATAAATTGTTTATACACAATGAAAGTAAAGGAAGGTACCTGTTTTCTGATCAAATATAATACAATCTTGTCAGTACATATTATAAATCAAAACTGTACTATAAACTAAAGAACTCAGTAAAACGACCAACGTTATCAAAAACACACAGTAAATATAACCAAATCTTCAGACATATACAATAATTTGGGAAAACAATATCGTCTGTTCAAGTGTCAAAGATAATTTTGTCAAAGAGCGATGAGTAAACAATAAGTTTTAAAACTTTAAAGTCTGTCAGTTTTAAACAAATGACAGTATTAATGTAATTAAATTACTTTGCCAAAACTGATGGTTTAGAAGTCTTAACTATGATAATATTATAGTTTAAATTCATATTTATTATAATAGTTTAAAGTCTTATTTGTAATTTAAGATACTTTGAAAATGGTTTGTCAATTTTCTTGAGATTATTCATCCTTTTAATCAAAACATTTTTTCAAATTTGATCAGGTTTTTGAAGAATTTTATGTTCGAGGCGGTATCAGGCTTGGACACAGGGCAGGGCATTGGCAAATTTCCATGTCCTGCCCTCTGCCCTGCAATGCCCTGCCCTGTACAGGGCATTGGGGCTTTATGCCCTGCCCTGCCCTTGCCCTGCAGGGCATCAGGGCATTTACAGGGTATTTACAGGGCATTTGGGTATATTTTGGCGGACGCCTCCGCCGAGTGGTCGATAATCGGCGGACGTCATAACTTGGTTAGTTTAGCAGCTAGAAAAATGTAGTTAAGTGCAGAAGTTGTTCTCTGTCATAACCTACACATCAAGCCAAAAATTTATGTTTTTGAAAACAATATTGTTATCGACCGGTCGATAATTTACAAATGTTTAATTTTTACAAAACACAAAGTTTTTTGCTTAGAATTGTATCTGATGCAATTTCTATACAATTTAGAACAACAGAGCGATAAGAATATATATAAAATTTGCAATTAAAATATACTAAAAATTATCAACCGATCGATAACAATACTACTTTTAAAATCTTAAAATTATGCTTTTACTTGTAGCGTATGACATATAATAACTTCTGAATTGAACTACATGTTTCTAACTCCTAAACTAACCAAGTTATGGCGTCCGCCGATTATCGACCGCTCGGCGGAGGCGTCCGCCAAAACTTACCATGGCACAAACAGGGCATTTGCAGGGTAATGCAGGGCATAGGGCATACCCAGCCCTGTTCCAAGCTATGCCCTGCCTTGCCCTGTAAAAAAATTTCAAACCATGCCCTATGCCCTGCCCTGTGTCCAAGCCTGGGCGGTATGGGTGAGAGAAGGAGGGGGGGGAGCGGTCAAAAATTTTTGTAAAAAGACCAAATTTGTTTAAGACCTGGCCTGCAGATTACACGTGCAGGTCCAGCCCGGCTTTTTTTAAATTTGCGTGGACCTCCTTTCAGGTATAGTTCCAAGTGATATATATAGGTGATATAAGGGGGGGAGGAGAAATGTCAAAACGATTTCTTTTTCTCTTGAGTTGTCGGCTCGAGTTGAAAGGATTTTTTGATAAATAAAAATTCTAATTTTTAAAATTTAAGCTAAATTTTTTGGGTATGGCCCTTGCTAGTATGACACCTTCTTTATAACGACAGCTTTGTGACCGCCTTTTGTTATATAACTACTTTCAAAAAAGTACCTGGGTAGTGTGACATCCTGGTTATAGGATCAAGTTTATGCCATTTCTTTGAGTGTCATACTACAGAGTCATGACTTTACACATAAATAATATAATATTGGTAATTATGAGTATACGTACCTTGTAAACAATTTTGTTAATCTTTTATTCTGTCGCCTGTAAGCAAACTTGATTGTTTTAAAAACAGTTTTGCATTTTGATCGTTTGGAATAATCAATGTGGTTTATGTTCGATCATTTGTTTTTGGAAAATTTTTATCTGCATGTTTGGGAAGCCATGTTAATTTAGATGAACTTAAGCTTAGTTTACCATAGTATACGTAGTACATAAAAAAGGATAGAGATAACTGTGTTAATTATTGTTTTTTACCAGTGTATTTTCTACGGTTAACTTATATTATAGTTTTTTTTATATATTACATGACATAGATGCTTAATTTCATATTGTTTTAGGTCTTATATCATCCTCGTCAGATAGTCAACAAGGCAGTTTTAGGCTTCTTTATTATAGCAACTTTTTCTTTGTCGAGTACTGCTATTTTAAAGTAGATAAAGTTTCAGTTACCTTGCTTCAAATTGACACACGATGTCAAAAGTTCACTCATCAAAAGACGGCACTCCACCAGTGAAGGTGAAGATCAACAACAGAAGCAGGAAAGTTGTCATAGGCATTGTTTATGTTGCTTTGGTCATTGATTACATGTTGACAACTGTCGTTGGTGAGTTTTACTGACACTTATTTTACGGTAAATTTAGAGTTTACTGCGAGGTAAAATACGATGGGTCTAACATTCGTTTTTAAGGCTGTTAACATACAAAAAATTGTATTTATAGTGAGAAACAGTAAGTAAAAGTAGTATCAGTCGTTCCACTAAAGAATTACACAACTGCACAGTGCAGTCCCTGGGAAAATCGCGCCTTTTTTTATTCCCCTGCAATGTGCAGATTCCCCCGCGATCGCTCGCAGCCCCAAACGACAATGGAAAGACTGCACAGTGCAAGTTCCCAGTTGTCGCACCGGTCCGCTGTCGCAGAAGTCAAGGAGCTTGCGACAATCAAAGAAAACTTGTCGCAAACCTTCCATTGAACACGATGGTGACTTGCGACAACAGCGACACGCTGTCGCATCGCTTATACATGATTTTTAACATAACCGTATCAATTAAGCATAAAAATAGAAATGTATCAGTCTTTCCACTAAAGAATTACACAAAATCGCAAACCCCAATTTGAGGGAATCGCTGTCGCGCCGAGAATTGGGGAATGTCGCGCGACATACAGCGAGTCGTGCGACATTCGCTTGCACCCTGCGACATCAAAAGAAGAATCGCAATGTCGCAAGGTGCAAAACCTTGCGACAAGTTGTCGTATCGCGGCTTAAAGGGCGACGCGACAGCGTGTCGCTGTTATCGCAACGCTCAAGTCACCATCGTGTTCAATGGAAGGTTTGCGACAAGTTTTCTTTGACTGTTGCAAGCCCCTTGATTTCTGCGACAACGGACCGGTGCGACAACTGCGGGCTTGCACTGTGCAGTCTTTCCATTATCGTTTGGGGTTGCAAGCGATCGCGGGGGAATCTGCACTGTGCAGGGGAATAAAAAAGGGCGCGATTTTCCCGGGGACTGCACTGTGCAGTTGTGTAATTCTTTAGTGGAACGACTGATATTTTACATTATAGTAAATAATTGTTATAGTGCCCATCATTCCTGACTTTTTGATTAAACTGTGGACTGCTGATGGTTCACTTGTTGCTGAAAATGGTACAGTCGACTATTCTGAGACCAGTATGCCAGTCGGTTTTCTGTTTGGCTCAAAGTCAGTAGTTCAAATCATATTCAACTTGATTGCTGGGCCCTTGACCAACAGGTACAGCTTGTACTATATGTTACACATTGTTTAAATGTCATTTGTAGCCAATAACGAAACTTTATAAAAAAGTTTTAAATCAAATACTATTTTAGAATTGGATACTCAGTGGTGCTATTTCTGGGTTTCGTGCTCATCGCAGCATCTACTATAACCTTTGCCTTTAGTACAGCTTATTGGACATTGATCTTGGCTAGATCAGTCCAAGGAATTGGCTCTGCCTTTACTAATACTGCTGGTATGTTACCTATTCATTTAGTAATAGAGCTGGTATGTTATCTTTTTAAAATTTAAAAAGATTTACAGTACGTATCACTCAAAAGCTATGTTTATATCTAATAAATGTATTCACTTATCTTATCATATCTACAGGGCTTGGAATGGTAGCAAAGATGTACACAGAAGAGTCAGAACGTGGTAAAGCGATAGCTACAGTGCTAGGCGGTCTGGCAGTTGGAGCTCTATTTGGCCCTACTTATGGTGGTATCTTATACGAGTATGGTGGCATGATCTTACCGTTTGGGATTCTAGCTGTACTAGCTTTAATCGATGGTGGTATTCAAGCTGTAATATTAAGACCGAAGGTAGAACGAGAAGATATTAAAGGTACCAAAGTTGGTACTCTTCTGAAGGATCCTTATATAGTAATCACAGCTGGAGCTATCTTTATCAGTAACATGGGTGTATCAATCATGGAACCAACAATACCACTATGGATGATAGAACAGTGGAACTCGTCTTCAATACTACAAGGTGTTATCTTCTTGCCATTAACTGCTGGCTATCTTATCAATACTCAAATCTTCGGAGCTTTGGCTCACAAGTTTGGCCGATGGAGATGTGCGATGGCTGGACTGATTATGATATGTTTATCCAATGTTATGATACCTTTCAGTCCAAGTGTCTATATTCTGGTGTTGCCTATTACTTTGGCTGGCCTTGGCATTGGAATGGTCGATTCTACCATGTTTCCTACTCTGGGTACTGTAGTTGATAAGAGACATTCTTCAGCATACGGTAGTGTTTATGCCATCGGAGATTCAGCTGTTTGTGTCGCTTTTGCTGCTGGTCCATTCATGGCTGGTCCTATGGTCAAGTTCTTTGGATTCAAATAGTAAGTGGCCCATAGAAGCAACTACAACATAAGTGATTAAAACAATAAGTTATAGTAAAAACAATTATATAAACAAAATTATGATATTAAATTTCAGCACAATGTACGTGACAAGTGCTATCAACCTACTGTATGCACCATTGTTAATATTCTTGAAAGACTTGGATACAATGGAAAGAAGTGTTCCTAAAGTCGAAGAAGTTAACAAAATTAGTATATCATCGTCTCCCTTAGACGATATCAAGTATACGAAGCATTAAAACACCAAATTATGTTACTTTAAGATATATATATAAAAACGAGTATAAAAAATAATAAAAAATTGTTAATAAACTTAAAAATTTTTTTAAATGACGTTGTTAACATCGTATTTGACTAAACTAAAAAAAACAAATACTACGACATTGAGGTTTAAAAGTTATTGTTCAAAAAGCTTTAAGTTTTTGAAAATTGAGAAGAAAAGTACTCTCCCCCGCCCTCATTGACTTAAAACATTTTATATAAAAATGGCATGTAAGTATAAGATCTGCAGCAAGGTACTGAATCACGCTTTCCCGTCAATCTTCAAAAAATCGAGACCAAAAAATGGCGTTTTAAAATTCCAGCCATATTGGCATGGCTTTTTAAGCTTATAACGTTGCCATTTTTTGACTTTTAAGCATTTTTCTTTGCTATACTAGTGGAAAACCTTTAAAAAGACCTACATTTTTAAATTCGGGAGCGTAGTTGCCTGGAACGTCAAAAAAGTGCTTTTGCCAAATTGGCGGAAAACTCAAATATTTAAAATTTAAAACTCAAAAAAAAATTTTTATTGGGACTTTTAGGGATACGAAGAATTCATACATAAACTTTGCCAAATTTGCCAAATTGGCGGAAAACTCAAATATTTAAAATTTAAAACTCAAAAAAAATTTTTATTGGGACTTTTAGGGATACGAAGAATTCATACATAAACTTTGAACTGATTCGGTTTTTCTTACAACTAAAGTTAGGCGCTTTACTTGTAAGTTAAAAATTATTTTTAAATTTTTTTTGTTTTTTGATATTTTTCAAAATTTTATCAAAGACTAGCGTGTTTTAAAATGACGTTTTACCAGAAAAAATAACCGAATCTTTCGTCATTTTGCAAGCTTTAAATTTTTTGAAAAAGTGATTTTGAATAAATTTAAAATTTTAAAATTGATCCCGTCCGAAAGCCTCTATATTTTGAAAGGATTAACTGAGTATGGTTAAGCATTCCTAAAAGTTCAAAAACTTTTTAAAATTGCTTTTAAGTTAAGTTTGTTAATCAGCATTACAATCTATACCTAAAATTTTATTTACTACATCTTTTACTCTTTAAATAATGCCTAAAGTAGTTGACAATACCAAGCATACAGTTGAGAAAGTAAAAGTCAACAATAAAAGTAGAAAGGCTATAATTGGCATTATCTACATTGCTATGTTGATTGATTACTTGTTGACTACGTGTGTTGGTAAGTATTATTAACTTTGTACTATTGTCTTACTGTAGCAAGTTGTGTTACTGTAGTAATTCTATCGTTTTACTATAATGAAAGTTACTTTTACAACCTTAAACTCACATCAGATTGTAAGATAATGTTTAAATTTATCTTCAACTTTCAGTACCGATTGTGCCAGACTTTCTGATAAAGCTATGGACAGCTGATGGCACATTACATCTGAAAAGTAATGGCACTGTTGATTACTCTGAGATCAGTATACCTGTCGGTTTACTGTTTGGATCAAAGTCTGTAGTCCAAATCATTTTCAATTTTATCGCTGGGCCGTTGACTAATCAGTACGTCTTTTACTATACTTATGGTTTTGTATGTCAACAAGTTATAGTTGTTTTCATTTATAATATTAACTTTAGAATAATATTTTCAGCATAGGCTATTCGGTTGTAATGTTCTCGGGATTTGCTTTAATAGCCGCATCAACCATTACATTTATGTTGAGTAAGGCTTACTGGATGTTGTTTGTCGCTCGTTCAGTTCAAGGTATTGGCTCAGCTTTGACTGTGACTGCAGGTATAAACCTTTTAAAAATATTTACTTTACTTATAGCATATTAATTGCTTGACCAATATCAAAGTAGTGAGTTAATTGCTTGACCAATATCAGAAATTTTAAAAATAATAGTATGGTACTACTTGGTACCAAATTTAAGAATTTAAGTTATTTTATAAAAGTTTTAAATTAGCTGTAAAAATCTTTAAAATGCTACTTTTTAGGCCTTGGACTAGCCGCCAAGATGTACACAGAAGAATCTGAACGTGGAAGAGCGATTGGCGCCGTGCTTGGCGGTCTTGCATTGGGAGGGGTAATTGGACCATCATATGGTGGGATTCTCTACGAATATGGTGGTATTATGCTTCCGCTCGGTATTTTGGCAGTTTTGGCTATGATTGATGGATGTAAGTACTGTAACATAAACAAGTACTGTAACACAATTGTAAATTTTTATAATTTCATTTTATTAGCTTTAAGATGTTACAGTAAATCGTAAATTCTAAATATTTATTTACTTTTTTAACTTTATTGGTTTTTTGAAATATATTTTGATTACAGTACTACAAGCAATAGTACTCCGACCAAAACTAGAGAAAGAAGAAGTCAAAGGAACCAAGATTGGTACTCTCATGACAGACCCATACATACTAATAACGTCTGGTGCCATTTTCATCAGCAACCTCGGTATCTCAGTCCTACAACCCACCTTGCCTTTGTGGATGATACGACAATGGAACTCGTCTTCAGCTCAACAAGGCATGATCTTCTTTCCATGTACTTTTGGGTACCTAATCAACTCTCAGATCTTTGGTTCATTAGCTCACAAGTTTGGTCGCTGGCGCAGTTCTATCGCTGGGCTGGGACTAATTGCTGCAGCTGGTACTATAATACCGTTTTGTCCCAATATCTACTTTTTGATTGTGCCTGTAGCGATAACTGGGCTGGGTATTGGAATTGTGGATTCTACTATGTTTCCAATGTTGGGGACGATCGTGGACAAACGACATTCTCAGGCTTATGGGTCAGTGTTTGGCATTGGAGACTCGGCTGTTTGTTTGGCTTTCGCTGTTGGACCCTTCTTGGCTGGACCACTGGTTAGGATTATTGGGTTTAAGTAGTAAGTATTGGAGTATTTTGGATGGGTTTTAGAATTGGAACATTATTATTGTTCTACTCGTCAACTTTTTAAGTTTTTGAAAATTAAAATTATTGTACTATAATGTTATTTTAGCACGATCTGGTGTATGGCAGCCTCTAACCTTCTCTATGCTCCAATTTTGTTTCTACTGCAAAAGATAGAGACAACAAAGAAGGAAGAGGTCGTAGAGAGACAGACAACCTTTACTATTGACAACAAAAGATTCTCCGAGATTGGGAATCCGAGTAATCAATCTTTGAACTCTTTGTCCTTTAACTAACTTAAGATTACTGTAATAAAATTCAAGATCACAGCATATACAACATTAACCCCCATATGTACAACAACAAAGCCTAGTTACAACCCAACAACCTTAAACCGAAATATTATTTTAAAATTCACAAACACAAAGTTATATTGTTATGCGTTCTTCTGGCACAAGCAGTAGCCGGTTGTGTCTTCTGGAATGATGTCAATCTTTCTATGGTCTGGGCCGCGTTCAGTGACAAGTTTAAAGTAATATTCACGATTTTCGAATTGGGGATTACCCACGAATTCAGTGTAGTTAATGTAGTGACGATACTCATCGTTCCGCCAGATTAAGGTCTCTCCATCGTACATCAGTCCAAGCAAAATGGGGCCTTTCAGTTCTTTGGTAAAGTAATTGTCTGAATGGTAACAATAAAAAAATAAAGCAATGTTAGGGGACTATATCTTGCCTATTAAGAGACCAAACCCTTTTTTGCGTACTGTATATGTTGGGGACAAAATTATGTAAAACACCTAATATAAAGAAGGCTTTTTTTATACGACATGACATAGTTTATATATTTTGAAAAGTTTAAAAAAGGTACTAGACAGAACCACTTACGCATTGTGTAGCCAATATCCACCAGATTCCGAAGAACGCCAACATCATGCTGATAGTTTTGGCAACATATAGGAAGGTCAGCTACAGTAGTGTTTGAACTCTCCACTAACTAAACATACGTTTAACAAACATCCGTCTTATTGTCTTGTCGGAGACTAGACTGACCTCTTTTCCCCGTATGGGACCAGACTGATAAAACAAAATTAAAACCTAGCCCGCAGGCCAGCCCAGCCCTCCTTTCCAATTAATTAATCTTAACTTACAATCATTTCTGTTTCTGGTAACTTAAACATTTCTGCCATTCCTACTCCGACACCTAAAATACAAATAATTTGCAACAATTTACTTTTAAAAAACTTAATTTTAGTTTTAAAAAACTTACAAAAATACAGAAAAGAAACGTATTTTAACATTATTCCAGCCAGAGATGACATTAAACGCATAATTCTGCGCCGATCATATACTTCTCCACATTCAATGCATATTCATGTAAACTCGTTAAGAGTAATATAACATGCATATTGTACTGTATATTTGATGGTTTTGATAATAAAAATGTTTTAGAAACTTCAAAAGTTGATAAAAAATATTGAAAATGGAATAAAATACTAACAAAATTTTATTCAAAACATAAAATAAAATAAATTCAAAGTCGGTCGTTTATTAGAGATTAGTTTTCTTTCCCTTATCCATGGCAGCTAAGCTTTGGTAGTTGTTGACGACTGGAGTGGCAGCAGGAATTGGGACCATGGGCTTGATGTTGCGCTCAGCCACGATTGCGTGGGCACTGGCCTTCTCCTCGAACGAAACGCGATTTTTTTTTCTCACCCCTAGGTAAGGTAGGGTATTGTGAGTTTATTGCTTGCCAGCAGGGCTGGGCGAGGGGGGGGACGAGGGAGGGTACTCCTCCCCCAAAAAAAATTCCGACCTGTGCTGATTTTTTCGACCTCCACCTCCCCCCACCAAAAGCCCCTGTCCGGCTCTGCTTGCCAGACCTAAAAACTTATTATAAATTACGGTAGAGTAAGGTTAATTACATTAGATTAAGACTAAATCACAGATCTCAAAAATCAGTTTGTTTCTCAGGTTCCTCTGAACATCTGTGATTAGTGTGTTCTACTCCCAGTATCGAATGGCCTCTGGCGACCCTTCAAGCGCTACAATTAAAATTAACCACTTTCAGACGCATTATATCATCTAGGGTTTCATAGGACCAAAGTATTTCGGATATGCGAAACTGACGATGTTGTGATAGGTTTCGCACATCCTGTGGAAAGTCGCCGTCACCATCATTATTCTAAAATTAGAATTTAAAACGTATTGTAGAAACATTTTTTTTGTTATTTTCACTTTTATTTTTCTTACGATTTCCGTTAGAAACTTCTTTGAATGTTTAGGTAACAATACATGTTTATGTTTCTAGCCAGACATTCTTTGAAAATGTAGCTCAAACTATGTCAAAATAAAGGCCTGCTTGAATCTGCTCTATACGTGGATATAAATATTGAGTTCAGAAGTGCAGAAAAGATGATTTAATTTTTTTTTCATTTATTATTAAAACATTTTTGATTCATATTGTTTCCATAGGTTCCAGACTGACGTCATCTGACCACAAAACCAGTCATTTTTGGATAATTTTAACCCAAAAGAATGTTTGATACTGTTATCGTTAAACTTTTAGTTGTAATCTACTACAAATTAAAAGTTTAACAGTAATATTCACAACAGGAATTATATTATTATAGGTTGTGTAAAGTCTAAAAACTTTATCAAATATCATATTTTGTGACATTTCCACGAAGCGATGTAACTATACTCAGCTTTTTATGTAATTTTATACGTATTCTGATCAGCATTTGATAGAAAAAAGTTAGGACTGATAACAGACTTCAAACCTTTATCAGTTAATTGTCGGTTCAAAACAGTTAGCAATATTATAATTTCGTAGTCATTAAAAGATTGACAATGTCATCGTTTTGTTTATAAACTGTCACAATTTATTGACAGATGTTTTGGGGCCATAAATTTACAATTTAAAAAATTTTTTTAAAAACTTTAGTATATTTCACTTTGGGGATGAATTACGTTATAGTTTTTAATCTTTAAAGTGCTTTTAATATTTTTCAAACTATGTATTATATTTATTATAGATTTTCTTGTAATTTAGTTTTATGAATCCCCCATATGATGTTCTGTGTTTCGTTGTATTTTAAATAAAGTATTGTAACTGCTAAATGAAACTTTCCAACTTATTTTCAAAATTCGCCTTTTTGAACGTCGCTTTTAGTTTTGCCATAAGAAAATACTAACAAAAACTGTCACTTAAATCTTCATAATACAACGCTAGGCCAAGAAATACTAAGAAATTGCTTAAAAACCTAAGATAAGTATTATTTCAATATAAAACTTAAAAATCAAATTCAAAGTCAACCGTTTATTCGAATTCAGAGTCAGTGTTTTACTCGAGATCAGTCTATTTCTTTGCCTTTTCCATGGCAGCCAAGCTTTGCTAGTTGTTGACGACTGGAGTGGCAGCAGGGATTGGGACCATGAGCTTGATGTTGCGCTCAGCCACGATTGCGTGGGCATTGGCCTTCTCCTCGAACGAAACGCGACCGCTCTCCTTCAAGATGCTCTTCTTGGGTTTCGAATCGCGTTTCCTCAGCCGGTCGCTGCTTTGCAGATGTCGATCACATCCGGTGCCATAAGCGGATCAGCTTTGCCCTGGATGGCTTTGTAGGTCATCAGAATCTGCCGTACTTGAGCCTTTTGAATGGGACCTTTCGCCTGTTCGATGAGCAAAGTCACGAACGGCTTTTCTTGTGCAAGTTCCGAGACCTTCTCCGCAGCTTCATCCAACTTGGAAAAGGTTTCACCGTCGCATCGAGAATGGCATCGCCCAGTTCCACGCAACGGGCGGCGCACGTAAACTCGTGCAGGTTCAGCACATAGATCTTATTGTCCTGAGTTCCAAAGTGAAGACTCAATGGCCGTTTCTCGATTTTGTAGAGAACGGCCAACTTGTAAGAGAAGCCTTCCTGCCGCTTGTCCATGGGAAGACGCTTGGTGTCCAGGGGAAGAACGTTGACCGGTCGGAGCAACGTGATTTCGCACTAAAATCACATTTTTTCGTTTTTTCGAAAAAAAAGTTTTAATTTCGCACAACAAAACTTACGGTGAATCCCCGCCAGCTTCTTTTACAAGTCCACGAACTTCCTGAAGTTGGCCTTGGAGCCCTTCCACAAGCTTTCGCCGTTCTGTCTGAAGAACGTCGCCGAACTCGATCATGGTAACGCCGGCACCCTGCATCTCCACTTTGATCACGACCATCGTCTTGGAGTTCACTTTTTAACGCCACACTAAAGCAGAAATGAATTTAATTTTAGATTTTCCCACCCATTCAATGCTTTTATCTTAAAATAACCTTACTTTACCAATTATCTTTCTGTACTGTAAAATAACCTTAACTTCCCCATACCATAGTTTACTCCAGCTCTGTATCAGCACAAAAAATTAAAAAATCCAACTTACAGTTTGTCCCACGGCCACTTGAAACTTGACCGTGACGTCCTCGATCATATCCTTCGGCAGTTCTTTGCCATAGGGCGCGAACGTGACCTTCTTGTCGTTGTCGACCGACTTGCTAGACTGAGTCTTACACGAGCGCGATGAACGGTGACGACCCATAGTTGCGGAGCAAAAGTTGGAAGTAAGGAAGAAAGACTCTCTCCGACCTCAAAAACCGCTGAAATTAGGGATTTCTCAAATCTCCACGCCTTTTATAGGTCTGGCTTATTCAAATTTTAAAGTTCAAAGAAAATGCAAAATTTGATTCAAATTTCTGATAATTCAAGCGAAAATTTGGAAAATTTATTAAATTTTACCAAATTTTATTGCAAATCTTTCGGTTTTTGTGAATTGGTTGGATGCCAGAACTATCGAAAATAAAATGCGGCTTTTAAACGCTTGCGAATTTTTTAAAAGTTTTTTAAAAATTTTTAGTTAATTTAGTTGTAGTATAGTACTAAATGGTACTAAAGCTTAAATTGGTACGGTCGTCATATTTTTTGGTACCAGGTGGTACTAAAAGTTTTTTGCCCAGCCCTGCTGGATCTAAAATCAAGTTTATTATTTATATTTTAAAGGTCTTAACAAGCTACGTTGTTCCCAAATACTTCACCAGGGTAGTCTGAGAAAGCTAAAAGGTCAATTCCGAGCTGTTTTAATCAAAATGATGTCATGAACAATTGACACTTTTCACCTCGAAAAACCTCAATTTGTGATTTCACACACTTCTCGTCTCTATATTATAACACTATAGTGCATTAAAACCTGACAATGAGCTTTGAGAGCAGCTGATGCACTAAATAGGACGTCATCTCTATTTTTACAACTTGTTGTTTTTACAAAGTAATGTGATATCTCTTGATAAATGGGTATTTCCCAACTATTGGGTGTACGATAAACAAAACTTTTGGTTCATTATCTCCGAATTTGTATAAAACAACACAAACTTTGGCGCTTTACACAAAACAAGACCAGCTTGTCTAGTGTAATATTGTAGTAGAGGATCGTTTCGAATATTGTTCGTTCTCTGTGGGCAGCTGTGGAGTAGAGTATTTTTGCTGTAATATCTTGATCTGGTTTGCTTTGTATTGAAAAGCTAGCCGTATATTGTTGTAGGTTTTAAATTTATATTGTTGTAGATTGTTGATATTGGAAACAAACTGTAAAACATAGGACGATAAAGCTATTAATTTTGTTTTTATTGTTTATTTTAATGATTTTTCCACATTATTCTAAGGTTATTTTATGATTATTGACAATATTTCAACGTTTTTTTCTGCTCATTGCCAATATTTACTAATTTTTGATCAAATTGGTAATGTTCTTTGTTTCAGTGTTGTTTTACATTTATTTATGAAGTCATCATGGTGGCCGTTACAACAGAATCAGCTGAATGTAATAGCAATACCAACTATACCATTAACAATCGGAGTCGAAAAACGATTGTCGCCATAATTTATGTCGCATTGATGATCGATTACATGTTGACCACAGTTGTTGGTAAGTTTAGAGCTTTTTTATTTATGTTTAAATTTTTGAAAAAAGATTAACATTTGAAAATATTTTCAAAAAATTATTTAAAAAGTCGGTAAAAGCCAATTTATTAGGTAAAAGTACGTAAACTACGTTTGTTTCAGTACCCATTGTACCAGACTACCTACTGAAGCTCTGGAACAAAGAAAACGGCAACAAAACGGTAGATTTTTCGGAGACAAGTTTCCCGGTGGGTGCTCTATTCGGCTCAAAATCAGTTGTACAAATCGTCTTTAATTTGATCGCGGGTCCTTTAACTAATCGGTGAGTTGAAACATGCCTTGTAATTATGACTACTGACCAGGGTTGGACGTAGGGCAGGGCAGGGCATTTCAACAGGGCATTTTTTTGAATTTCGTTTTCCCGCCAAACTCATATCTTGAAAACTGTAATAGCTATCAAGAAAATAACAACGTAAAATTGATTAGCAGTGTTTAAAACCCATTTCTAGAAATTTTTGCGTTTTTAGGCCTAGCCAAAAAAAAATTAAAAAAAAGCGCGCCAAAAAACAATTCAAAAATGCCCTGTTACAGGGCCCATGCCCTGCCCTGCGTCCAACCCTGCTACTGACAGATTTACAAACTTCGCCTTCATTCTAAAGTTGAAAAAAGTTCTGACGAAAGAGGTTTTCTTGTTGTTTTGGCATGCGTAATACCGAGATTATCAAGTAAACAATAAGCATGATAAGGTGATCTTGACTCGTTTTATATTATCTGAAAGTTTGCGATTTTTCAAAAGTTTTGCGAAATTTTTGATTGTTTTGATTCAAATGTTCAAGAACAGTAGGTAATCTAATTGACAGTAAATAAAATGGTTATTTTAACAAGGAATCAAAGAGATTAAAGAACGCTATACAATCATGAAGGTTAATAACAAAAATTGTAAATTATTTGAACTATCTACACAAATTTAATCACGATTTTATATGCCGTATTTTACAATGACAATAATTTCAGAATCGGATACTCAGTCGTAATGACATTTGGTTTCTTCTTACTTATCGCTTCTACTATGACATTTGCTTTTAGTCGGACATATTGGGCTTTGTTCGCTGCCAGATCGGTTCAGGGCATTGGGTCTGCTTTTACTACTACTGCCGGTAAATTACTTTCTTTATTTTAAAAATTTAATTATTAAAGATAAAAAGGTCATTTTGGTCAAAAAGTACGTAGAAGATATCATGATTACTCTGTAGGTGTAACAATAATGAGTTTTTGTATTTTAGGCCTCGGTCTGATTGCCAAGATGTATACAGAAGAATCAGAGCGAGGCAAAGCGATTGGTACAGCCTTGGGTGGACTAGCCTTAGGCTGTATACTGGGGCCATTGTACGGTGGAGTTTTATATGAATATGGTGGAATGTTGTTACCTTTCGGGCTTTTGGCTCTTTTTACTTTAATTGATGCTGGTAAGTTGATTGATTATCGTTCGTTTTTTACTATCTCAGGTAATATTAAGTCACTTTGTTAGAATTGGGCTACTGTAGCTTTTTTCGTATTACTGTAATCTCTTGATGTCTATATTACTGAAACCTCAAAAACAATTTCAGGTGTCCAAGCAGTCTTATTACGACCAAAGTTTGAACGAGAAGACGTAGAAGGAACCAAAGTGGGCACCCTACTAGTCGATCCTTATATTGTCATAGCCAGCGGAGCCATCTTCGTGAGTAATATGACGATATCAGTGATGGAACCAACAATACCATTGTGGATGATAGAGCGATGGGACTCTTCCACTATCGTACAAGGCCTCATCTTCTTTCCACAAACTCTTGGTTACCTGATTAATACCCAATTCCTGGGAGCTTTGACCTACAAGTACGGTAGATGGAAGTGTACTGTACTTGGTATGATCATATGTGGCATAGCTGGTATAGCACTGCCATTCTGTCCTAACGTGTACTACTTGATCATTCCGATTGCGTTTACTGGTATTGGGGTGGGAATGGTCGATTCTACCATGTTTCCGACTCTGGGTACTGTAGTTGATAAGAGGCATGCTTCGGCGTACGGTAGTGTTTATGCTATCGGAGATTCGGCGGTTTGTGTCGCATTTGCTGTTGGACCGTTTCTGGCTGGGTATCTGGTTAAGCTAATGGGCTTTAAAGTGTAAGTTACTACTATTTATATTACTATATGCAGGTACTGCTCTACAACTTGATATAGTATCATGCTTTCACAAAATTACTTAAAAATATTTTACACTGACTAAAGTAATGCCGAATAAGATATAGATTGTAACACACTACCATTTCAGTACAATGTTTTGTGTAGCCGGCCTCAATTTTATCTACGCACCAGTAGTGATATTCTTAAAAGAATTGTCGAAGATGGAACGTACTCATTTGAGTACGAACAACCAAAGCTCAGCTAGCTCTACTACAATATGCAAAGACGACCAGTTGAGTGTAATATCATTCACTTCTGTCAATAACTCTCAAACTACACAAAGATCTTCTTAAATTTTTACTTTTTAAAGTTTTTATTGTTTATTATACTTAAAATATTATACATACTATAGTAGTATATATAATAACATATTATGTTTTACTTTAACTACATGTTATATTGATCATTTGAAGGTGAACATGGGTATAATAAAGATATATTACCTAATTTTAGAGCTCAACATTATTTACTAATAAATTAGGGTATTAGCTGCTGATATTAGATTTGATACATAGAGTATCAAAGACTCGATACCTACTATGATATATCAAAGAACTGATACTTACTATAATATATTGAGGATGTTGTTTTGCTCGAGGGCATTTGTACTGAAAGATGTAATTTTCTCGATGTGAAATTGAGCGTTAACAAGTACTGATACTTTAGTACGTACATTTACATGACTCATAGTCTAGCCTTTACTATCATCTATCACAATATAATCAACTTTTTTCAAAATTTTGTGAAATCAATGCCATTTTTAATCAATATATATCATCACAATATCATCCACACCTTCATACCTCCAACCAAAGCCTTCGAAATCGTAAAACCGAGTATATAGTCGCTTCCTGCTTCTTCTTTCGTACTATCGTTTTCTTTCGGTTGCTACGCGCTTCTGAATTTTCTATTTTTGTTTCCAAATATTACTCAGACTGGCGCTGGTTGTAGCTGAAACATGACTGATTTGGCCGCGACTTATCGCGAAAGCTCGCCCATAACCGGCTACATGGGCCATAAGCCGGGAGAGAAGTTCTTGGTCGGACAAAGATATCATAACGTACTAAATGGAACGTTCGCGGAACGGTCGGCACCATCTCCAAGGTAAACCAACGTGCCTTTCATTTCTCTGCCATTTTTAGTTGTTTTGTTTTAGGGGTTGATTGTTTTAGGACCTTTTGTAGCTATAAGGGTTGGTATATTAACCTTGGCTTTATATTTTTTGATTTTATAGTAAGTTTGTTACCTAAAGAATAATATTAATTACTTTTAGAACCCTTTTGGAGAACGCTGAGCCCACAGAAGCCTTAACTGGAGCAGCTTCAGTCAACTATCAGTTCGATTCCGACGGTAATCCAGTTTTTACTGAAGGAGTAAGTGTTTACTTAAGCCTAAAAATCTTCAAATAAGCCTTAAAATAAATTTTGAAAACATCAACTTTCATACAAAAACTCTCAAAATTAAATTAAAAAACATTTTAGCGCCAGTCCAGAAACAGTAGGAACAGCCGAGGCAGTCGGAGAAGTCAGAAGAGCCAGAGAAGTCAGAGGAATGCAGAGACATCACAGAGTCAGCTAATGCAACAACAACAATATCTTCAGCCCGTCAATGGGCTCAAAGCCTCAATGGGTCCAGTCTTTCAGATTCCAGTCCAGTTTGTGCCTGCTTTAGATGCCTCCTCGGCTAGTTTACAGATACCAGTACATCCTAGTTTGCTTAATGGTAAGAGGAGACTAAAAGACGTAGGTAATGTCTAGGTGTACCTATGACTAGGTAATGTCTAGATATACATATGTCTAGTAATGCCTCTCATATACCTATGTAATAACAGTCAACACTATACATAATACTCGAGATAGTATGATAGTTAATATATATAATGTTATAGTATCCCAAAACCAACCCCCATCACGTAGCCGCTCCGTTCACGATGTAGCCGGCGGCACAGAACGCTTAAGTATTCACGATGAAGACAATCGCACCGAAAGAAGAACGTCACGTTCACGACGTTCTGGGACGGCCGGCTCAAAAACGGCGAGGAGTAAGAGAGCACGTTCTGAACCCAAAACACAACGTGGTAGGTTCACAGTGTAATCAAGCCATTAACAATATACAAAAGCGCTAAACAGTCGATATCATCCACATAAAGCTTATCAAAGTATTAGGTTCAAAAATATGAAGTATCTTAAAAGTTACTTTAGTAATTGCCATGCTTTCATAATATGAACCTACTGAGTAATATTAACCTACTGATAAGTACCAAGACATTATGGTAATGTATTAAAGTCCGTTTAGACACTCGTCGAGGAGCTGCTAGCCTAAACATTCCGAATGATTATGGGCCGCTGAATGGAGCTGGCAGTGGATGGTGGAGTGAAGGACAAGCGCTACGCAACATACGACGACATCGTGAACGAAACAACATACCTAATACTGGAGAAGCGGTTTGTACTTTTGTTCTTTAAAATTATTTTTACCATTCATAAAGTTAAAAAAGCAACCTTCAAGTACAATATAATCCCATTTAAAGCCCCGAGAAACTATCGAACAATCAGAAGTCAATCAAGGTTACTACGGTAATGGAACGCCTGCTCCCGGCTACACTGGCCATATGATGGGTAAGATAACACCAAAACCTAGTTTGGACCGTCAATTCTTTTATTCGGTTGTTCAATTAATTCTGTGTCCTTTCTCAAAGCAAATTTTTAAAATTAAGGGCACAGGATTATTTGAACAACATAATATAATATTTTTAAGCCTATGCTCACTTTCAAAGCTTAATATTAGGTCTAGAAGTAGATAATAATCTGTATTTCTCTGATATAAGATAGTCATAACTATAGCCCACATACTATACCTTCCATATATAACCTACTATAATATGTATATTACTTTCAAAAATAAATTTCCAGACCTCCCCCACCTCGGAATTGGCAAAAACTTTTCCGACACTGCCAAAGATTCGCGGAAACTTCAGCAAAGTCTGCGCGACACATTCACACAATCCTTTGAGATTCCGCGAACTCAACGTACTCAAAGGTCGAATCGTTCGCAACGTTCTCAGCGTTCTAATCGTTCTAAAACACCCAAATCTCAACGTTAATAGTATTTTCATTTTTAAAAAATAAAATTCAAATTTTGATAAAACGTTTCCGTTTTCGCTATAATTTTAAATGTTTTGGCATTATTTTACGCTGTGGGACCCAAAGTATATATCGTGATAGGAAATGCTCAAGGCAAATTAAAGGCTTTAATTTATCCACTACCTTATTTTTTATGTTCTAAACCGTTTAAAAATGCATTTTTGAATATTAATGCTGATCTTTATGACTATTCATACCCATTTTTTAAAGTATTATTTTTATGTTATACTACAGTAATCTTTAACCATCAAATTTCGAATTTACTAGTTGAGTTAAGTAGTAATTTGTTTTGTGACTCATTTAACTGTTTGCTAACAGCGTTTTGTCGCCGGAGGTTATATTTAACCTGATAGTCTGCAGCTAAAAATAACAAAAATCGGCGGACAAAGGCCAGGAGCTCACTAATTCAAACTTAAAATTTGAAAATAATCAAATATAAATTATAGACATTACTTTACTTTGTCAATGTTATAGTATCCTTAAGTTATGAGCTACAAACAAAGTATAGTATTGCTTGCTTACTATATCGTATTTTCTTTTTATCGTCCGTTTTTTACTTGATAATGAGCCTAGTGATATGATATGTGTGTAGTGTTGCTCCAATCCAGGGTATAACAAGTGCTCTTTAAATTTTAAAAATTCTGAAAAAATTAACTTTAAACTATTGTTATTATCTTCTTTCGTAAACCCAATCGCATCTTCGCACTACTTGCTCAGTCTTCAGCTTATGACCCTCGAGTAATTTCTAATCAGGAGCGCACGACTTCTTGAGGGTCGGAACGCTCTAAAACAATGGAATCCGATTTCATCGCGGCCGCTGTTCCGCGCGGGGTTTTAGCACCTTCCGGTAAGTTAATTAAAAGGGGTGGTTCAAGAGGTCAGTCCCGACTGTTAAGACCCACCAGTTCAGGGTTTGTAACCCACAGTCTATTTGGTTTTTGTAGCCGGCTGGTAGGGTGAGGGTAGGGGTGAGTAGTAGGCTTATGGTATGAAGGTATGGGTGCTTTGAGGTTAATTTTTTGTAACTTATACGTGTTTGGGTACTGTAGTATAAACTTGAAAATATACTGTAGAAAATAGGGCAATTCTTGGGTGTAAAACCAGACTCTCCTTATAAGCAACACCAAGATACGATGGTTTTAAGCTGTTCATAAGTGCTATCAGACCCCGACCTTCTTGTTAACTATAACAAGACTTTTATTACAATAAGCCTTCTTACCACCTTTACTAGTTGCGTTCTGTCATTTTAAAGTAGTTATGAATAGGTGTCTTTAATGATCAACCTCTACGAACTGACCCAGAGTGTTTGTCCACCCCTTCGAGATCAGAAACACCACGCCGTCTTTTATTTTTAACCCATGTCTGAGCTTGTGTTTGCGTTACTCTCGACCCCACTCGGGAGTGGCCATTGCCTTCGGTTATTAACTTTGAGTATAATAAACTTTTTTCTATTATTGTAATCATTTTTTATGAATTTTGAAAAGGTTTAGGGCTAATTTAATTATCTGTTTAGTCAAGAAGGTAGGCAGGTGTGACATATCTTTAGCCTGTTTTTATTCGTGCTTTAATTTTTTTAAACTTGAAAGCCTACCTAACTCTATCTTTATATTACTATGGACTTACGCTATGAATTGACTCTATACACTTATTTCTATAGACTTACGCTACGTTTTCCTAGTGTTACTTACGCCGTTCTCTTTCGTACCCTAGCCATATCTCGTCCTGTACAATAGAGATCTTCCCCAAATCAAACCCTTGTCCTAGCCTCTTCCTAGCAGTGGTCTATACTATTAAAAAAACTAACAAAAAGTTACATAACTCCTCGCTAGTCTTACTTACGTCTTTGCCACTCGTAGCCTAGCACTACCTCATCCTATACTATTTATACTTAACCTACTCTGTCCTTATATCTAAAGTGACATTACTTAACCAAGTTCTAACCTTTTCCTAACTTTCTATTCTAAAAATGTCATCAAAATCCACTTCCGGTACTCCCTGTAATTGTTTTTACAAAATCGAAACGTACAACTTACGACTGTTTATTGACCTTCTGAAGTCGACTTCTGTTTGTGTTTGTCGCGCGATATCGGAAGTCCGGTCCTTAATTTCTGGTTTACCATTTACACTTTTTATACTCGTATTTACCTTCAGGTAATGCTCAGGACACGGGGCCGTCTGGCCTTCTTTGTCACGGTAAGTTCGTTTTTCGTATTTTAGGGATTTTCAATTTTAATTTTTAAATTATTTCTATGGTTTTTAAGAGTTAATTAAAAATTTACTACAAGGATTTTTGTACTGTAATAAAACACAGTAACCCTCGTACTTTGACTTTATTTATTGATTTAAACTCATTTTTAAATGACAAATTGTCGTATATTGTACTCGAGAGTTCAAAAATCCGTATTTTACATAAATCATCCTTTACTATGTTATATTGTAATACCTACAAAATAAGTTTACAATCGTCAATTTTAATATTATGTCGGCCTTGCATTATGTATTTTAGCTAATATACGTGGGCTACGTGACATCAGCAGAATGTGACCCAAAAGAATTCACAAAAAAAGAAAATCCAGAAAGTAAAACCAGCTATTTCTACTGTAACACAGATGGGTAAGCTTCAATTTTCAACTTTTTAAATTCAAAATGGCAAAAAATTATTCTGTTACAGTGGAACCCTTTTTATAACAAACAACTTTTGAATCCCTTTTTAATCCGTCATACAGAAGTTCCACTGCACTTACAATACTAAATAGTACCCAAATCATAAAATTGATAATGTTCTAGAGCAATAATTTATGTTTCAATAATAAAAATTAAAACTTTTAAAATTTTTAAGTTTGGCACTATATAGTATCATTCAGTATTAGAAACCAAAAATTTTATTATTTTCGAATTTTAGTGCTATTTAGTACTAAAAGATACAAAAATCACATGTATTTTAATATTTAAAAATTTCGGTGCAATATAGTACCATCCGGAATTAAAAAAATAAAAAACTTGTTATTTTTAAATCTTAGTACTATTTAGTACCATAAAATTTAAAAATCCCAATTATTTTGATATTTTTGAACTTTAGTGCTAAACAGTACCATTAAGTACCTAGATCAAAAAAAAGTGCAGTACATTTATAAATTTCCTAAACCTTAATACTGTAACATTTCCAGAACTCTAGCAAAACGAGATTGTGCCTCAGGTAAAGAATTCAACACGACAAAAGGCGACTGCGACTTTCCGGCTGTCAATAAGATGACACCCCCTCCTAAAATACCGGTAAAGGACGAGCCTTTGAAGGACGACCCCCTATCACCTCAGAAGGACAGTGTAGAAGACCTGTCGCCCTTCCTACAGCCACAATTCCAGGCTCCAGATGACATTTGCAGTGGTGGGGTACCACTAACAAAGCTTGGGGCACCAGTCGCTTGTAACCCACAGATACCAAGCTGTCCTGATGGTAAGACTACAGTACTATATATTTATATTGTAACAATTTTCACTCGCTTAAACTATTGAACTCAAACATACTGTAACCCTCAATCCTACTGTAACATGAACCTAATTCCAGGGTACGCGTGTATACTGTACTCCCGCACTGGCACTTCTTACTGTTGCCAGCATACTGTAGAGCCGAGTATCCAAGACAGTATCCTGTGTGCCGGTAACCAGATCACCTTCTTCGAGCCTCTAACAGGTATACCTCATGCTTGTGCTCTCAACACCCCAGGCAGTTGCCCAATTGGATTTGGCTGTAATCTGGTCGGTGGAAGTCTGACACGATGTTGTGGTAGAGACTTTGGATGTCCATTGAACTCGGCTGGATATGTTAACCCTAACACTGGCAGTCATGTACAATGTAATCTGGCTGATCCTAGGTAGGGTTTGAACATATTTTAAAGATAAAAGAATTTCAAAATTTTAAATTTTAAAAATACAAAATTCAAAAAAAAAATTTTAGGTAACAAAATTAAAAAAAAATTTTTTAATTTTACTGTAACTTAAAACCTCACCTTACTTTAGCACCTGTCCAAACGGCTTCGTATGTACTCGTAGCTCCATGTTCAACACGGCGGTATGTTGCTCAGATACCTCAACATCGCCATCAGATGTCTGCGGAGGTGATCCACCATTGTCACAGCCCAATCCTTGTTCCGCTTCCAACCCTTGCCCCAATGGCCATAGCTGTAAGAATGGCAGATGTTGTCCTACTAAAGGTAAGCACGATGTGTCTATCTGATAACACCTTTGCTTTACTCACTTTTTCGACCGGTATTTGGTTTATTATAACCAGGAACTACTCTGTAAAATGTAAAACAATACCTAAACTTCACCATCCCGTTGTTGTTTATCCACTACCACAGTAAACACTCTCTAACACACCAATTTCCCAATAATACTAGGCCGCGTCATACAGAATCGGACTTTTTTCTTATATATTTCAATGCAAAAGCACCCCACTCTTTATGATCCACCCCAGAAAACTCATTTTCAACCCACCTCACTGCCATTTTAACTCATTTCACTGCCCTTTTAACCAATAACCATGGTGAAGGTAACATTAACTTTACAGTGGCATTATCAGCAACACGATTGGTGGTAGAACAGTCGATTACTTCGTATTTTAAGAACCAAACTTTAGGAATGTGTCCGACTGGCCAACCCCTAGGAGGTATCACTTCGTGCTCGGACAAAAACCCATGCCCAAACAACTATCAATGTGTCACGAATAATGGTGCTCAATACTGTTGTCCTGCTCCAGGTAAGGCTGTTTTTTGGCATTTGGTACTGTAAATCCTACAAATTGAGTTTTTATTTTTGGCGGGAAAATTTGAGTTTCAAAAATTAAGAAAAGAATTTTGAATAAAAATTTTAAATTTTATACAACTAAAAATTTAAAATTTAAATCTTAAAAAAATTAAAATTTCAAATTTGATACTTTAGAACACGTCTGTAACCAACCTCGCGACTCCGGCCGTCAATGTGCGGCCAGTGGTATTCCTGCCATGACTCGATATTATTTTGATCAAACTACTGGATCTTGTCGCGCCTTCCAATATAGTCAATGTGGAGGCAATGCCAACAACTTTGACTCTCTAGAACAGTGTGAAGGCTTCTGTTTGGATCATCAATGTCCATCTGGCAAAGGATTAAAGGCCGGACCAGCTATTGCCACTTGTTCTCCATCTGCATTTGATTCTTGTCCTTCCCATTATTCGTGCTTACAACCATTGTTTGGGTCTAGCTACATCTGCTGTTCTAACAAAGGTAAGACCCTCAATTTAGTAAAATTAGCCGAAAAGAAACAAAATTTAACGGAAAGTGAAGAAAACACCACGAATTAAACAAAATATACTTCATAATAATATAAAATGAATTTAAATCTATCAATAATAATATTTTAACAAAAAACGTCTTATTAGTGCATGTAAAATTACTTTTTTAATCAAAAAACAGCCAAAAAACGATTAGCAGCGAGTGGTTTCGATCCACCGACCTCTGGGTTATGGGCCCAGCACGCTTCCACTGCGCCACGCTGCTTCCGTTCGTCCCGCTCTTCTTTCTCGCTTTCATGGAAAAAGAGGAGAAAAACGGCGCGCTTTTTGTTTTGTTATGGGAAAAATTGCGAAATCAGGACAAAATCTTATCAAAATAATGTAAAATGTACACTATACGTTGTAAAATAGTTGTATCTTATTAAAAAATAAGTAAAAGATTCAGAATTTATCAAAACTTTTAAAAAATTGCTCAAAAAAGCGCCTCGAATAGCTCAAAGTGCGCGAAAATAAAAAATAACTAATTTTTATATAATTTAGAATCGTTATGTCGCGACCAACCAACAGCTGGAGAATCTTGTTTTGGTACGTTTATGACCATCCAAAGGTACAGATACAACTCGGACAGTGGAAAATGCGAACCATACCAATATTACGGATGTGGAGGAAGTGGAAACAACTTTATCACGAAGGAAGAATGTCAACAGTCTTGCCAATCGACTGTTTTGAATGGTAAATTTAATTTTCTTTGTTTTCTTCATTGAAATTTTGACATCTGCACCTTCTCAAATTTAAAATGGCACTGTTTATTCAAATATTAAATTTTGTTACCTAAAATTTATCTAAAACATTTTTTTAGCATGTAACGGAGTCGCGCCGATGTCAGAAGATGGCGAATATGTTAAGAGATGTGCTCCAAACGTTCCTTGTCCTAAAGGAAGTTGGTGTAACACTAAAGGATATTGTTGTCCTCATGCTGAGACTTCTTGTAACGCTCCAAAGAGTATTGGACACACTTGTTTGGCTCAGAAACCTGGAACTTTCTGGTATTATGACAGTCACGATGAAGTTTGCATGCCTTTCATGTACAGTGGTAGGTTTTTGTGAAGGAATTTTAAAATTTAATTTGTAAAATACGTGGTGTCGGCATTTTAATTTAAAAATAAATTCCTTCGCAGCTGATATTTCAAATTTTAGGATGCGGAGGAACGATGAACAGGTTCGCGGATCGGGAATCTTGTGAACAACAATGTGTACATAAACTTGGAGAATGTCCTCGTGGAATGACACCTTTCTTGACTAAAGAAGGCAATCAGGTATGTTATCATACATTATGTTTATAAATCTTTTTTTTTAAATCAAAACTCTTTAAAAACACAAAAAATACATTTTTTAGCCTTGTTCTCCAACATCAATAAACTCGTGTCCAGAAGGCTCATCGTGTGTTGTTTCTTCTACTGGAGAACACATTTGTTGTAGCTCCACAGCTCAATGTCCTAGCAATAGATTGCCATATGTCATCCCTGGATCGGATTCTCATGTTGCTTGTCTTCCAGATGATGACAACTGTCCTCAAGGATTCCAATGCGTACAGAGCGGGTAAGTTATGTTACGAATTAAACAATGGCATTATACATCAAAATGCGTTAATGATAGCTTACGTTATCAAATTTTGACGGGACTATTAAAAAGATTACAATAATTCATTTTTAAAAATACTTATGCTAATTATGCTCTGGTTCTAGCACCGTTTCCGGCTTCTACATGTGCTGTTCGAACGTCGGAATCCGTCGTTTGAGCTCACTCTCGATTATGAAGCAAGTACAACACATGTCTCCCAAATGTCCATCAGGCCTACAATCCAATGGCCAAAGATGTACCATAAACGAGATTGAAGGCTGTCCAGTCGGCTACTTGTGTATTGGTAACGGTCTTCGTGGAGTATGTTGCAAAACAGCTCCGAAATGTCAGAAGAAGAAGCGACCGTACTATATTGCCAAGAAACAGGTACTAACTTGTTCTGACGATGAAACTGGCTGTCCACGAGGCTCATCATGTTCACCATCGACTGTAGAAGGTGTAGATATTTGTTGTGTTCGAGGTCAACCTACTACAACGTACTCGAAAGTGCCCAAAGTTGTACCAAAATGCAAAGATGGTGCTCTTCCATACTTTGCCTTAGGATCAAGGGTACCACAACAATGTACGGCTGACAGAGATGATGAATGTCCGGAAGAATATGAGTGTGATATGGCATCTGATGACCAATATTATTGTTGTCCAGCTTGGGATAGGTGTCCGGCTGATTCTACTCCGTTCTTGGTTGAAGGGTCTAGGAAGCCATTGGGCTGTAATTGGATGGCTAACAACTGTCCTGAAGGTTATAGGTAGGGATTTTAACGACGGATTTATATAAAATAATACGTTCCTGTCACGGTGACTCAATTCATACGATTTAAAAACCCATTTTTGAATATAAACTATTAATACTTTAGTTGCGAAGGCTCAAAAGACCGCGCAATTTGTTGTAAAAGTCGCCCATCCTCAGCTCAGTGTCCAGTAGGTCAATCACCATTCTTGTACGCCAAGAGACCCTTGGTTTGTCCACCAAACAAGAAGTCATGCCCAGCTGGATACGATTGTGTAGCTGCTCGTAATGGTGGTGTAAACATCTGTTGTTCTGCCTTGGATCATCAAAGTCCAGAATGTGTTACTGGCTACGGGTATTATGATCCTAGTAGGTTTTTATATGTAATTACAGACGAAAACAGTAAAAAAGTATAATATATCTATATAAATATACCAATATAAGTCATAACTGGTCATATATTCTTCAGAAACCAACAAGAACATGTTGTGTGATCCAGAAATCAACTCATGTCCAAGTGGCTACTCCTGTAAACGCAGTACCATGGCCAACGCCCATGTTTGTTGTACCAACACTGACAACAGATACGATGGCTACTGCCCTCCCTCTCAAGTACCGTACATGCCTCTGAATTCGATTGAACCCCCCACCTGCCACATGGCCTTAAACCCGTGCCCAACCAGCGCCGCCTACCAATGTGTATATAGTGCAGAGAAACAGAACTCGTACTGTTGTGCACCAGTTGACACCACTAGTCCCAACACCGCCAACAAGTTCACTCCAGGACCCTTCAGGCATTACAACCGCCAACCCAATTCGAATCCTTATGCGAACCGTGAGTTGGCGATGGGAAGGCCACCAATATTGATTCTAGTTAACGGAGGTAGACTGACTTAGGTTTGGGGACGGCTAACATGAGATAGATGACTTACTCGGCGAAGGTGTGATTGTCCCTGTTTTAGGTGATACAGTAGTGGATGAGGATTGTCAATATCCTTCAATAATGATTATTGACTTTTCTTGAAACTACTGTATCTTTCCCCACCTTACATAACTAACCCGCCCATTTCAGAAGCCATGCCACCCAGAGTTGAGCCTATGATGAACAATATGCAGCCAATGAACGCCCTACCCCACCTCCCACAAAACCTCATCCCAGCCCCAGACATGAACAACATCATGGGTCATCAACTGGGCCAGCAAGTGGCCCAGAACCTGCCCAACATCTCGCCTCAAGGTCTGATGGAGATCCCCAATGCGGCTCATATTGTAGCCAGTTGTCCACCATGGTCGAAGCCTTTATTGAACATGCAAACGAAGACCGCCCAAGCATGTTCAACATGGAACAAGTGCCCAAGTGGATTCACATGCTATTCCAACTATCCAGACGGAAGAAATGCTCAATGTTGTACTACTGTACCATTGGACAATCAAACCGTGTTTAAGGCTACACCAGTTCCGCCAGTGAATCAGATGCCTGCTTATTCGCCTCCAGAAGAGACGAACCCGTTAAATGGTGAAGGCGATAACGAAGTCAAGAACGTGTCGGTTGTTATTCCAGCCTTGGCATTACCTGACAATATTACTTTGATTAGATGTCCTCCAGGCACGGTGAATATCAGCGGAGTTTGTAAGAGAAGTAAGTTTTTTCCATCAAAGAACAGTAAGATATGGAGGGTAAAGTTAATATCTTAGACGATAAAGGACTTATCTTTGATTTCATCTCGTCTATTTAAGCATAAAATTATAAAAATTAAGCCTAAAATCTCCGTTTTCAGTGTTCTTCGTAGGCCAACAAGGCTGTGAATCCAACGAACAATGTAACCAACGTACCAACGGGACCCAATGTTTTAAAGGCTACTGTGCCTGCCTCGACAACAAACTGATTCACGAATCCAACTGTGTACAACATTGTCCAGAAGGCTTCTTGAACATTGCTGGCAGATGTCACGACCTCACCACGGTCGTATTCATGGATTCCGTTGACGAAAGAGCTAATGGCACGATGGGAGGATTCTGTTTGGATACCGTGGTCCGAGAAGAACAGTGCCAAGTCAAGAATGCCTACTGTAATGAGAAGAGCATTACATGCCAATGTAAACCTGGATACGAACTCAAGTTGGACTTTGCCAATAAGGAGGACAAGGTAAGGTTTGAGACTCTTTGTAGCATTACAGTTATAAAAAAATCCGTAATTTAACAACAGTAAGTTGTATAAGGTCCAATAGTATTAATCATTTTGTCGTAACAAGAAGAACGCCACCTTTCTGACAGTAAAAACAACAACAAGCATGTTATCCTTCATAACATATGAGATGTTTCAGGGAGAATGCATTGAAGTCGAAGGCTCAAAGTTCAAGAAAGCAGATGACCCGATCAGAGACGAACCAGAGGACATTCAGCCGATTCGGTCCTTCTTCGTGATCGATTCAGCAGCTTCAGATGCACCATCTGATCTATCTGACGCCTCAGGGACGGAACCACTCGATCTTGCTGCCCCATTCTCCAATGAAACTTCAATTCACGTCAAATTGGAACAGAACGACGCATCCACAGTTGAGATTATCACAAAAGCGTAATTTATTCATAATTTATTTTGTTGTAGATATACTGTACATAATACGTTAATAAACCTAATTTATATTTATTTGTCATTTTGATATTTAAAAAGGTTACAGATATGCTGTTTGAATGTTGGAAAGCTTATTTACTTCTTGTTTCCAATAAGTAATTTACAGAATAATATTGCCATCTCATAAAAAAAACAGTGTTTTGCAACAGGTTAGCATTTTCAAAACTATTTTACAACAAACTTATTAATGGCAGTGTTTAAGGCGTTTTAATTTGATCATTCACTGAGTGTTCGTTGGAATATCTTTCTTTTCGCCAAAAAGATCACTTTTATTGTTTTCACGTTATCAAATTAGCTCGTGTGATAACTGTCTCTTATCGTTTCTTGATACTTTTTTCTCGATACTTTTAACAGTACAATACTGCGTGCAATTAAAATTTTTCCCTGGCGCCAAAGAACGCATTGATAATATTTTTTTCAAAGTTTTGTAAAATGCTTTTACATTTTCTTTGTAAAATCGCATCCAAATCTACCTAAACTCATAAAATTACAAAAACAAATTACCCTTTTCACAAACTTCATTTCATTTTCCCATTTTTTTCAGGCGGAATGTCCCGATCTCTTCAGATTCTTCGACCAAAACTTGTTGGTCGAAGATGGCTCTCAACTACATTGCCTAGATGTAACAGTGAAGCACAGGCAATCGAAGAAGAGTTCCAGAGCACTGCCAGAAAGTTTTGTCGGGATGAAATCGTTCCAAACGCTCCGAAGTTCGATCAAACTGGAGAGGTAAACAATATTATTTTTGTTTCTAGAAAACACGTCGCCATGACAGAGTTTAAATCTGTTTCATAGAAATTGCGCAGTAGATTGTAAGAAATTTAATGCATAATGCAAGTTTTAGTATATATTCATCGTGTTTTGTTTATTTTAATTTATGGTTGTCATGACGTATTTTCTAGACTTCAGAAAAATTTTGCATGGTGCGATCGCGTTTCATAAATTAGGCCTTTCTGTCAAAAACAGTATCAAATATGTGTATCAAAGTAGTTTTTACATAAAACAAAAATTTTAAACTTTCAGCTAACTAATTATGTTGTTTTATATACTAAACTACATTTCAGTACCCATGGGATATTGTAAAGAAAGCTCATTCTCTCGGATTGATGAACACGGACACTCCTGAAGAGTATGGTGGACTAAATCTGACATTAGCGGCAAAAACCAAGATATACGAAGAGATTGCTTATGGAGACACGGCTATTGGAACTTCGTTGATGGTTAACGAACTCGCTCAGATCCCGATTCTGTATGCTGGAAGCGACTACTTGAAGGAGAAGTACATGGGGTGGAATGTGAAGGAGCCGATTCTAGCTGCCTATTGTACTACGGAAGCTGATGCCGGCTCTGATGTTGCTAACGCGAAGACCAAAGCTGTGAAAGATGGAGATGATTACATCTTGGATGGAACAAAAGTTTGGATTTCCAATTGTGGGCTGGCTAAATGGTACTTTGTGTTAGCTAAAACAGATGCTGGAGCTTCACCGAGCAAGGCTTTTACTGGTTTCATTGTTGACAGGGATCTTCCTGGCGTCAGCGTGGGCAAAAAGGTAGGATAACATGTTATGAATGTACTATAACATAAGTAAATGAACAAAATATTGTATTACGCGTTTTAAATTTATAAATTACGGTTTTATAGATATTTTAGTATAATTTAAAGTAAAATTACTTTATTTTAAAGTTTTCATTGTAGGAGAAAAACATGGGTCAGAGATGTTCAGATACTCGTTCTCTTACATTGGAAGGTGTCAGAGTACCATCAAAGAACATTGTTGGTAAAGTTGGACAAGGATTCCTGTTGGCTATGAGGGCCTTTGACCGTACTCGTCCTATTGTAGCGTCAATGGGTTGTGGAGTTCAACAACGATGCATTGACGAAGCTGGACAGTACGCAGTGACGAGGAAGTGCTTTGGAAAGCCTATCGCTGATCACCAGGTAAGCCATTTTACTTTGTTACCGTATTTTAAGAAAGTACAGGATTATTTTTTAATAATACCGGTTTTTCCGCTATGTTTAAACTTTATGTTTTAGGGTACTGGTTTCAAATTGGCAGACATGGCTGTAAACCTAGAAGCATCAAGACTTTTGGTCGAAAAAGCTGCTAGAAAGGTGGATTCTCAAGCTGACGACGCTACTTATTACTCTTCTATCGCCAAAGTCTTCAGTACTGATAATGCATTTAAAGCTGCGTGTGAAGCTGTTCAGGTAAGCTATTTTTAGAATATTTAAATTTTAATTTGAAATAAAAAATTTTTAAAATTTATGACAATATTTTCAGATATTCGGAGGTAACGGATTCAACACGGAATACCCTGTCGAGAAGCTTCTCCGTGATTCTAAGATTCTTCAGATTTACGGTGGAACGAGCGAGATTCAACGACTGGTCGTGTCGAGGAAGGTGGCTTCATTGTACAAATAAGCGACTGATTACTGTAGTTTTGTAGCCATTCTTAGCCTTTTACTGTACTTTTACTACTTTGACAACGGGAAGCATAAAATAAACTGATTGATCTATAATACCACTTTATTTTTGTTATGTTACTGTGATGTAATTTATCATACCGTATATGTTGTGGGGATACGGTTGTTTTGCAGTGTAACTGTAGCAGCTAAGAAGTGATATATTTTGTTACTTTATAAGCTCCAAAACAGAATTTTAAGACTGGATTAAGCTTATATACGAACCATGTGCAATGTATGCAAATGTAACTGTGAATCGCGTCATATTTGAACAGCTTTGTCCTAGAATGACCGCAAGGTTTATTTGGAATCGCCTTTCGTCTGGTGATTTGCGATTTTTTAAACTAAACTAGATAGAATTGTAAAGTAGTAACACGTACTGCTAAGTAACTTTGTTAGTACAATACTATATTTTTAATACGTACGATTATTATCTTACGCTTTAATAGTTTAACTAAATATTACCAACATATGGCAGTACTACCCTTTACATTTACCTTATTCACAACTTTACTGGCCTTATCACCAGACCTAGTTAAAGACTTAACAGCTCTGTCAGCTTCTCTTCATTTACCTTTAGGTTCTCCTTGTGACTTCTCATCCCAATGTGTGGCTGACGGTCATTGTTCTGATGGTAAATGTAGAGCTTCACGTTGTGTTATCAATGCTGATTGTAAACTGGGAGAGATATGTAGAGAAGGAAAGGTGCATGGGAAGTTGACATTGGCGTGTTTTGGAATTTCGGACAAACGAGATGATTGTGAGTTATTGGTGATATTGATATAGGTTTGAATTTATCATTGATATAAGTTTGATACTCAGTTTAAAAAACAAATTTTAGTAGACTTCTGTCCAGGAGGTGGCAGTCCAACAAGGAATTCAGGAGGTTTCATTGAACTTTGTGATGAGAACATACCATGCATGGGCAGAAGCATTTGTAATCCCATCTACGGAGTTTGTTGTAACAGTAAGTGTTTTTACACTTTATAGTATAACAAAATGCCATTACGATCAGTGATGTTCAGATACTCGTGCCCTTTAGTAAGAGCCCTCTCGGCACTAACCCTTCTTTAAAGCGTTGATTTCTTGATATTGTCTATGATATAGTTTATAAAGTATATAAATTTCAGAGCTTCGTATCTGCCCTTCGCCTCGCCAACCCTTCTTAGAACCAGAATCCAATAAACCTGTAGTTTGTCAACGACGCCAATCAATACCAACGGCTTGTCCATCAACAACAGAATGTGAAATATCGACTGGTTTTTGTTGTGAACTATCTGAAAGGCCATATGAGGAAAAGGAGATATCACAGATCAGAGGATTACCTAAGGTCAACAAGCCTGGACCTAAAGAAGAGTGTGAAGAAGGGCAGAAGTGTTCAGGTGGAGCAGTGTGTGAATGTGAAGATGGAGAGTGTCGATGTGAGTGTGTTCGGTCAATGGGTTTCGCTTTGGATAAGAATACCATGACTTGTAAGAGGACTCGGAGACGGCTTAAAGTATGTAGCGAGGTTTTCGTGTGAAGACCCACAACTTTAATTTAGCATTACTATGAGACTTACAATAAAACTACAAGTTATCTTAATATTAAGTTGTTCAAATAATTCTGTGCCCCTTAATCCCGACAGTTTGCTTTGAAATGGGCACATAATTATTTGAACAACCTAATATGATACTTTACAATTCAGGAACACTGTAAATTTGATATGGACTGTCAATCAGCGTTTAGCGAGTGTACTTCTGGAGGTTGTAGATGTAAGAATGGCTTTCAAAGGGATGGTCAAGGAGGTTGTAAACCTACAGGTAACTCCAAATAAATTTAATTACAAAAGTTTATTACAATATAAACCAAACTTTTTTAGATTAACAAGCATTACTTTAATATACCTTGTCAATTTACAGCCTATAAATGTGTTAATCATGCCGAACCATTGACAATTGATAGTAATGTCATAACATGTGAAGCCTATAAAGAGCCGTTAAGCCGAGAGATTGAGGCGATCGAGTTCATGGATGATGTATCGGAAAGACAAGCACCCAAGAATTGTCCCAGCCAGTATTATTGCGTACCAATATTCGATATCCCACGACAGGCAGACTTGTTTCAGGTATGTTTGGCATATAAATCATCTTTTGGTTACTTTATACACAGACAAGTTCTTTTTACTGCATTTTGATAAAAGTTTTAAAGATGATGATTGTGAGTTTAAAATGCTTGTTTAGGGTTTTTGCTGTCCATTACCATCGCCAGAACGACCAGTATGTCCAGTTGGTCACGCCCATACCTCAAGTCAACCTCCCGATTATGGTTGTGCGCAATGTCCATGGGATCATTACTGTCACACTGACAATGTCGCTACGAAAAAGAAGGTGAACTTCAGTTTTATTCTTCAGTTTTTTATTTTTCTTCCGTTTTTATACCTCAACAATAACAATATACACCTTCAGATATGTTGCCCAAAGCCTTGTTTATCACCAGAAGATGTGTTCATTGATGGACAGTGCTATCCCATCGCTTATCACGGTGATTCTTGCTTCGTAAGTTTATTGTTGATTAAGTATTATCTAGCGTTGATCAAACGTTATCTACTTCCATATTGTTGTAGATGTCAGAACAATGTGTGGGAAAAGTGCCAGCTCTGAGTGGAAGTTCATTAAATAGGGCCGAATTCGAAAGTGCTGAAATGGAATGTTCTAGAAACATTTGTCAATGCCCAAATGGGTTCTTGTTTGTTGATGGGCAGTGTCGAAGTAAGGTGATTTTATCACATATATTGAAGTAGTGTTATTTACCTAACTGATACTAGTTAGGTTTATGTTTTGAAAATGAATTCGTTGCTAATAGATGACTTACGGTACTTTAAGGACTCCAGTGTACGATAGGAACCAAAGGAGAACCAATTTTGGACAGCGACGGAAGAATTCTGAAGTGTTTGAGCTCAAGAGATTGTGTTCAGGGCTCGCTATGTGACCCTAACATTAGGGTTTGTTGTAAAGGAGTTAATAGTAAGTGTTAGTTGTCGCCTACAAGAACTTATAACCCTTGAATTATATACTTTTAATTTGTACCTTGGACGAAAACCTTAAATTCTTGTCCACGAAAAAATTCTCATAGTTTTATGTGATCCCTTTTTTTGTCTTATTGCCGTCGGCATTAGAGAAAAATTAGAGAACGCACAAAATTATGAGAGATTTTTCGTAAACATGAATTTAAGGTTTTCGTCGAAGGTACAAATTAAAAGTATATAATTCAAGGGTTTTAAAATCTTTTTAAAATTTTTTTAAAATTGAAACTTGTAGAATGCCCAAAAAGCTACATAGAAACAGGGCAACGATGTGAATCAGACGGTTTATGCAATGGTAACAACGACGTCTGTGTTCGAATTAAAAAAGGAAAACGGAAAATATGTTGTCGACCAGAGTAATTGATGTAAAACAGTGTTATAGTTTAATATATTATAATTTATTAACAGATATTTAAAATTGTTATTGTCAAAAAAGTTTATGTACATAAAACATTTTTTAAATAAATTTGAATAATTTTTAGAATAAAAATTTTTTTTCGTTTTTCAAAATTAATTTTTTCATATTTATAAGATCAAACTTTGTCATTTTTGTTATTTGAAAGTTGACGATGGTCGGATTTCTAAAGACTTCCATCTGTCTCATTGCTTTGAGTTTGGTATGTTCTGCTGATTTAGATTATGTACGATTGTCGCCAAATTGCGAGTTATCAATCACAAAGCAATATTACAGTGGTTCCAATGGGTAGGTGCAATTTTGTTACACAGTATTGCCGCATAACTTACATAGTTTTAAATTTTTATTTTTAATGAATATTTTGTAAACATACTCCATTTTGCATAGCCTATTTTACCAGTTGTTTACATTTTAAGATTTTAATTATTATATTTCCTATCGCCTTAATTTTTAACATTTTTAGTGATTGTGAAGGTGTGTTTATCGCAGCAATACTCGGACCAAAGCTTTCCTGGTTGGTGGTCAACATCGTAGACGATCATACCTTATCTTATGGATCCGCACATGTTGGCTATATGAAGCGACAAAAGCCTCAGGAAGTTAAAATGCAGAAGATCAATCTAGATTACGGTACTTTTTTAATTTTTACAAATATTTTTGTAAAAGAAATGAAATGTAGTACCAAATAGGATATATTATCTAAAACTTTAAAATTGTGCTGTATGACTTAAACGTATAAGTAAAAATTGAAAATATATCAAATTAGTTTAAAATTGGTAACTTGGGAGCTAAAAATAATCATTTACAGCCCTAACCGGATGTGTGTTCGACCCGACATACTTTACAATCTTTACCGCGGATACCGATGTCTACATGGTTGTGAAGTGCGAAGATACGTACGGATTGTTGAGAAGCAAGATATACTCCGCCGACAACTTTATCTTTACCCCGCCTCGAGCGATGTTGTTCCTCCAGACCGCCAACACAATTGGTATTGTTGGAGTTCCGGCTGGATCCCCCTCCCAGAATGCTTACATTGTGCAGGTCCTTAAGCATGGAGGGGCCTACATGAAAAGGGATCTGTATAACATCAACAGTTACCTCAATGGACCGTGAGTGTTTTCAAAGAATAAATTATGTTTTTGACCTCCAGCTAGAACAAAATTCATTGGTACTGTTTGGATAATTAATATTATGTTTTACTAAAGCCCTTTAAAACATTTAGAACCGCCTTGGCCAAGAATGTACAGTGCTACAACAGAATGGACAACTCTACCCACTTCACTTACAAAAAAGAGAAAAGGACCGTTTTTGAAAGCATAAACGAGAGTAACAACAGCGCTTTTACACGTATGTTCAATATATATATCTTATACCTGTAGAGATCATGGGACGGGTTGTTAAGGTAGGAAACCTTGACAGGGCACTTGGGAAGACGGAGAAGTAAAAAATTCTAAAATACAGACCAAAACGTTATTGATAAATAACATTTTCGACATCATCATTTTTTGAATTGTGACTTTTCTCCCACAACGACAACTTTCTTTACAGCCTGCGCGGACCTTGCTCACAGTACCGAAGACTTGTCAGTTTATGCTTGTCTTAACATTGAAGACGAACCAGGACCTCCACCAGCAAATTTCAAATGGATAAGAACCTATGCTGACACTGGCCTCAATGTGCCTCAAAATGATGTAGGTTTAAAAGTATAGCTAGATATAGCTATACAATAACCAGTATTTTGATTAGAAAAATGGTTATAATGGATGTAAGACTAGTAAATCAGCTACTATAACAAAACACCTGAACTAATGTATAATTTTGATTCAGGACGACTCAAAGTACTCAAAACAAGACATTGAAAACTGTGGACAACAGGCTAAAAGGTGAGATTTAATACGCCAAATCTATTGTTTATCAACATTACGTTGTTTCTTTTGTAAAAAAATAGAAAATGTACTTTTTGCAACTAATGTTTGTTGTTTCAGAAGATGGAATATCATATTCTGGCAGCTTGTGTTTATGATTTTCGAGATTTTTCACATTGTCTTCCTCGTGTGCGTCACCTATGCTATTATCTTTGCTAACAAGCGATCACTTTCAAAACAAAGTAAGTTATTTTACCGATCCAAAATGACATATTCAGTGTAAATCAGCAAAGCAATGTCAAGTCTATACAGTAAACAAAGATAACACCTTGACTAACAATAAATTTGAATTAATCGATTTCAGAGAAACGAAAAGCCAAACGTGACGCCAATAAGCACAGCAAGAGATCCTCGAGACCGAAGAAGGATGAAAGCAAAGAAGACACAGAAGACAAAGAAGAGAAGAAAAAGTCACCAAAGAAGCCCGAGTCCGGTCAATCGTCAAAGAAGAAAAAGAAGTAGATAACACCAATTATAGTAGCCAACCTCAAATAAATATTTTAAACATTTTCTTGCTTGATGAACGGTATTAGATGCATTTATTTGATAAATCTTTTAATATTTGATACATTACAATTTTATACCCGTACACGCTTAAAGCCATTAAGCAATATCAATAAATTAAATATTGATGACTATCAACATATTTTGACGCTCAAAGATGACAATTTAACATATTTGACTTACAGTACCATCAACTGCTTAATTTGTACATCTTTGTTGATACCCAATAAAGTTTGTTCTATCTCATCAGCTGTATATCCATGTTCTCCTACCTTCAATCCAAATTCATAACCATCTCTTGTTATTGGTACTGTAGACAACATCTGGGGATTGTAGCCAAGGTAATACGCTATTATGCCTAAAAATATTACGTATTAAAAAACAATCCAAACAATGTAAAAAATTTGTATTTAACTCAACATAACTACTAATAAAGTGAAAAATACTGTATAAGAAACTTGATGGACGGCAGTAAAACAAACATACCAGCATAAATATCGTCGAATTTGAACAACTTTAGGTACTTTATAGCAATGTAAAACTCCTTTACTGCTTGTGGAGTATATATCACCAAGCCTCCTGTTATATATGGTGGATACAAGTTGTACGGATACTCATCTAAGCTTATCTAAAAAAACCGTTTCAAAAATAATATTTAGATGCTGTACATTACCATCAAGTTAATAAATAATAATATAAAAATATAATTTTTGTAAAGTAATACCTAAAATTATCTAAAAATATTAAATTTTGAAACTTACAGCATATCTTTGGAATCGTAACCTAAAAGGTGATGAATCTACTCTGTAGCCAGCGTATAACTGTTCATTCTTCGTATGTTTGTTCAGATACTCTATTAAATTTGGAATACTTATCATATAATCATCGTCCATCGAAACCAAATAAGGAACTTCACCACAATATTCGTAAGCTGTCTTTATTGAATATACCATCTAAAAATAAAAAAAACTAAACATTTTTTTCGCATTTAAAAAACAAAAATGTCCTACACAAAAGTTCGTTCCGTGTTTTACACACCGTCTTACCTTATAAGTGTTATTGTAATAGTTATCTACAAAATCCCCGATAATCATATCTTTGTAGAACTTGTTCTCAGTTGTAACACTTTCCAATTGATTGTCATAATGTCCAAGAACAAACAATGTTCGTACCTTCCACTTCATATGCAAATTTATCGTAGATAAGGTCCTTCTGTAAGCATTTCTCCTCTAAACCATAAACAATATAACAAAATTAAATTACCTCAACACGATCCGGAGCTGATTTTATAAGTATTAGCAAAGATGTCTTGTTCAAATCGCACTTGTACTGTTCTGAGTGAAGCTTAAACTTCTCAATGTCATTCATATAGTTCTTGGAAGCTTTTTGGCCCGTTAGTTCTTTCACTACCTAAAACAGGTGCAATTAGATCTTCAGACCTGTGCTGCAGAAACAATAACAGCTTCTGATACCCAAAACAACATAAAAAGAAGAATATTTATGCTTATATGTGAAAAATAATACCTAAACATCAAATATTAAAAAAACACTTACCTCATCTCGCACATCAATATCAGACCATTTGAAACAAGAACTAAAGTCGACTTCCCAAAAGAAATCAGTAAATCCAGAGAAAGTGACCAAAAACAATGCCAATAGCACTAATGGCACAACAGGTAAGTAAAACTTGCTAACTTTTACTCTCCATTTTAAAACATTCAACGTCCGTTGCTTCACGTATCGGGCATTGAACATGAAGCTGTAAACGTATAACGTTAAAATTAATGCAAGCTTTACGTTATGATTAAAGCTAACCTCAAAAAAATAAAATATTAAATTCAAAAATAATGTTACATCTAATTAGACGTATCTTGCACCAAAAAAAAAGAGTTTTAGAAAGATTAATAAGTGATTGGCGCCATAATTTTATTTATTATCTAAAATACGCAATGCCAAAATATTTTAGCATCGTTCGTTTTCGTGTCAGGACTGAAAGTGCAGAAACTACTGTGCAATTTTTAAAAAATGCATCAAATTCTTAGGACTTTTTATCGTTTACCAATGTAAGAAGACTTTCTAAATTATTCAAATTTTACAGTTGTTGTACATTCGACCTGTTGTTAACTAATTGTCTATCTTCCTTCACACACCATTGTGATAACCAACTTTACTCATTAATATTTAAATATAAATGTTAAAAAGTACTTGCCTTTTAACACAAAATTCATAAATTGAAGTATGCCTTTTTATAAAATTTATGAAGCTACAACATATTGCTTTACATTTCTATTAGGGCGTTATAAGCTTCTTGTTTAACGTCTTAAACTTTTTGCAGTGATTAATAAATTAGTGATAAGTATTCGAAAGCAAACTTGATATCAAGACAGGCTGAACCAAAAAAACAGCCTCAAATAAGCGGAGTTGAGTCACACGCCCATCGAAACGTTATCACAGAAGACCTTTTTTGTGTACCGAAGTGATCATTCTCCTCTTCAAATACCTCAAACGACGTACGATTGTTAATGTAACGTCATTAAGTATTGTTCTGCAACCTCAGATCTAACAGAATGTGGGATGCGTCATTATGATTATTTTTTCAGTCATAATTTAAAAACGACAACTCATAATTTCTGTAGCTTATTCAGCCTTGAAACTTGACAATTTGATAATATTCTTCATGCCAGACGTGGAATTGATTTTGAATATTGTACATCATTATTGTAAGCGGGAGTCTTGACAGAACACATCAGTTTGAACGTAAGTTGTACTTTTTAAAATGCTGTTTTGTACCAAAATTGTATTCCTTGAAAAATATTGTTTTAGATCTTATAACAAGCTGTTTCTAAATATAAGAATAGGTCACAAAAAGAACGAATAAACTCAACTTGTTTGTTCCCTAGCTACATTGAGCCAATATTTATGCAAATTGCATAAAGAACAAAAATGAAAAAAAAGATTTTTAAATTTTCAAAGTGTAACAAACTGAATGTCACCTACATACTTCCTTTTTTCTTCATCATCTTACTACTTTCTTACCGGTCGTTTTCAGACGACCACCTTGTTATGAAGACACGGCTACGACTCTGGAAGTGGACTCGCAAATGTTCCAAGGTTTTTTGTCTATTCCTGCATTTGATATTCAACAAGATTCGCAAATTCAGATTCCTGTTGTTTGTTGGCCTTCTGCTTGTTATTGCCCTTGTTTGGACGTTTTGTTGGCTTGGACTGTCGGATTTTCTGTTCCAGGACGCGTTTGTCACATTCAACTACACGAATGTTGATGTGCAAGTTGCGGTAGGTGGTTTTTGCGATTTTTTCAAAATTTTTAGCGATTAAAGGCTTGAAAATATTAATTAAAATATTTTCATTTAATTTAGAAATCTTATTTAATTTTAAAAAAATCGCTTTCGCTGCCTTTTGTGTAACCCAATCAAAGGTCAAGAACCAGATTCATGACTAGATCTTTAATTTTAAGTTTTTGCATGATGCCGGTCAGGGTCTTTAACTGAAGGCTCGTTGACGTATTTTTGGAGAGCACTGCGGTGCTGATATTGTTATGATCGTTGATGTTCTTATGAGTAGTCACATTATGACCTTTTATACCTCAAAACAAAATAATTGAGCGTTTCTTATCTTTCAAAGTTTGAATTTTTGAAAATGGTAATTGTATCCACAGCTTTATCATTGTTTTATGGTAACTATGAGTCCCTTGTATATAGTTTTCCCTACACAGACGAGTTATACTTTTTCCAAATTGACGAAACATATTTTAGGTAGCAAATGAACTTCAAGGGCATAGTCCTTTGCTCAAAAGTTACGTTAACGACATGGAGAACCTAAGGTTACATTCAGGACACTTGAGATGTGATAATGACAACAACACGTTAATGATAGTCATAAAATCAGCGCCTGATCGAGAACTAGTAATTATTCATATTTTTCGCCAATTTAAAGTTAAACCTAGCTGTTGTGCCGATTTACATAGAATAGGCTGCTTCAGAAGCCAAGTCGATGTAAAACAGTGGCACGAAGATAACTTTTTATGGTTGTTACCTATGTTTATAGTATGTTAGAAAGCGTCTTTGGACAAAATAGAAAGATAATTGCCTAATTGTAGCGACGAGAAGCCTACCGAGTAGCCTTTTCGAAGATCAACTTGATTCGAAGGCCTTGGACTGTCGAACTGTTCTTTGTCAGTGGACATTACGATAACAATATCGATGAGCTGGTCAGGGAGAATGACAAACACAAGGACATGATTATTGGCGATTTCTATGACAATTACTACAACAATACTTACAAAGTAAGAATCTCGTATTTTTTGGGTAGAGGTACTATAAGGTGCATCAGTTGGGTAGTATAACTGTTTTGAGGATTGTGAGTAGCTTTTAGAAAAATATTATAAAGTGGTGCACCACCACGATGTACTATAATATAAGGTTGACGTTATAACAGTAAAGTAACATTTTTACTTTGCAGCTGATGTATACAATGAAAAGTGCGATAGAATACTGTGGAAGTAACGTGCCGTTTGTGATATCTATGGATGACGATTACGTGATAAACCTTGATAATATCGTGGACTACATTCAAAATGCCACTCAAACGAATGACAGACTGTATTCAGGATGGCGAATGTATGGAACGCCGTTTCGATTCCGGTATAACAAGTTTTATGTAGGTATACTGGACAAGGTCGGGCGGTAGGCTTCATTGGATGGACTAAAGGGTTCATTTTTGGGGACAGGGTGGAAATGTTTTTTATGGGTGGTGCTTGAATAAAAACACTGTGACTTACTATTAAAAATGTTTTCATGATAGAGAGGTGCTTCAAACATTTTGAAGATTACGGTAAAATTTAAAATTTGCAATGCCAAAAGTTTTTTTTTCAGATTTCGCTATCAGAATATCCTTACGACATCTTCCCACCATTTATATCAGGAGGTCTCGTGTTCATGTCACCACAAACTGTAAAAGAATTCTACATTTCCATGAAGTATTGCAAGAAGCTAAAGTTCGATGACGTTTACCTCGGTAAGTCGAGTAATTTAAAAAAAAATTTTACGTTTCTGAGGGATGGCTTCACTACTATAACATAGTCAAAAGCTCTATTATTATTGAAACAAATTTTTTAGCTCTACCAAAAGCTATTCATGTATATCATGGATCTCAACTTTAAATTTTAAAAAAATCAATTTTAGGTGTCCTAGCCCACTTGCTAGACATCCACCCCCTCCACGTGCCATCAGCCATGGTCAGGCGAAATATGAGGGCAAAGCGACTCGATTTCACTCAAAAACTAGGTGAACATGGGTATACAGCATCAGAAATAGAAAAGTACATTCCATTGGTCAACGCATAGGACAACTACTAACATACTACGGGTAAACATATTGTTTGTACATTACTGCAAAGCATATGTGTAGTATATATTCAGAGATCTTGATTAAAATTCACTAAAACTGGTAAATGATTTGACTTGGCTACAGTAGTCAAAAATTAGGGTACTGTAACGGAAAAGTAGGATGATGTAACCATAAGTGGAGGTACTGTAATCAAATATTAGGTACAGTAACCACAGTAAATAGTATATATTTAGAAGTTACAGTAAGTAAAAAGTAGAAATTTATTGGAAATATATTACTTTGTACATGAAGTAATGGACAAACAATGTAAAGTTATGTTACTCATCAAACGGGTATTTCTTGTGATTTGTCGCCGCTAGGCAAGGGTCACCTCGACAAGACTCGATTTGTTCCTTCAGGCCACTTTTGCACGTTCTACAACATTTTTTGTATTATCAAACGTTATGTTACATACATTCTTCGTAGTAGAAGATATAGAAGAATTTTAGAGGTCTTTTAAGTTTAGATGGGCTATGGTAAATTTTTAAATGTACGCGATATATAACTGGACATAGGGTCACTTATAACAACAAAAATTTAAAAATGAATGTCCTACCTGCAAGGACACGTCCTATGCCTCATTCGCTCCCCCTCCCCATCGCACGGTGCGTTACATTGTGTCCATTCCGTCCAACTCAACCATTCACAAGAATCTAACGAATCCAATTTGTTATCCTTGTCCTCATCATAACTGTTATGTCTCTTCGTGTTTCGTATCTTCTTGTCATCCAATCGATCTTGTAGTATGTCTCGGCTCACTGCCAATACTGCGGCCGATGGAGCTTTGTCCAAGTTGGGACTGCTGCATGCCGTTTGTTGGACAGACGCTCCCATACATTCGCAATTAGTCAACAAAGCCTTTAAGCCTACACATAAACGAGTTCGCTTTCGTAGTAGATCTTTGCCACAATGACCCCAATCGGTCCATTCTGACCAATAACAACTTAGGACTGGGTCTTCATCTTCTTTGGTCAGATCTCGGCTTTCTCGTTCGGTCGACATTGGCTCGTCACGTTCTTGGATCTCGCAGCCCTAAAGAAAATGATCACTCCTACTTACTTTTTGGCCTGTTTTCAATCTTACAATATCTCAAAAGATGTAAATCACTTACAGTTGGAGTACAGTCCTCGGTTTCCACGTCATCTCCTTCACATTCACATGGCGGTTGATCTCGGGCCACCCTCGACTTCCTTACATCGTATGTTTGCTCGCCTTTACCACCCTCTTTTTGTTTACAGGCTCGTGTGCGAGCTTTATGACCCTAAAGCAATAAAATTTTATTTTTTTTCAAAAGCAATAAGTTTCCGCCTAAAATAATATAACTTTTGTGATTTTCTAGATACTTTCTGACCATAAGCTTGTGTTACATTTAAAAATAGTTTAACCAACTCACCTTATCACAGCCGCCTCTACACGTATTCCATGGGCCCCAACTTCCCCATTCACACTGTTGCCGACCACCAGTACCACCTTGTATCATCTGATTAACTGCCATAACCAGGCTGTCACCGTCTTCTTTGCCTTCTCCAGATCTAATCTCTGTGGAAGATCCTTTTCCTTTTTGGCCGCTCTTGGAATGGCCACTAACGGCAGCCGGCTGCACTTGAATTTGGCCAAACGGTTGTCCTCCTCCTGTTTGACCTCTTTTTGGTCCTTCTGGTCCGCCTGATCCAGCTCCAAATCCTGCACCCAGTCCAGCACCATTTCCACAAGCATCTCTGACTTCAGAAGCGTCACACTGATCAGTTTCCACCGCTTTACCCGGACATTCACAACTTTTACCATAAATATTAGTCAAAGATGGTCCTCCTAGGCCAGGTAAACTAGCTGTAGGTAGAGCTGCACCTAATGGAGCAGTGCCTGGCAAGTTACTGAATGAATTGACTGATGGATAAGATTGTTGGCCGACTATTGGCTGAATAAAGGGTTGATTAGCGTAGATTGGAAGACTTTGTGGAGTGACGTAGGTCTCTGGAGTACCAAATCCAAATGGAGATTGACGTTTGGAGCGAGAAAGATCGTTTATGTAGCGTTTTACGTCTAAAACAATATAAATATTGACACATGCCAAAATTAGATCATTTTATGTTTCTAGGCCTAAAACTTAAAGAGTAGTATAAAATTGAAAGCTCTAGTATATACCTCGGCTATATATATCATAAGTAAAAAAAAAATTCTGTGAACTGTTCAACCTAAAATACTTACGATCGCGTTGTTGAGGCGGTCGTGCATATATGTTAATGTAGTTTGGTGGAGCTGGTGGTTCTCCAGAATTCACTCGTAAAGCCGTACCACTGCCATGGCTATGATATGGCACTTGAACTTGACATGATCGGCTTCTAAAAAATCAAAACTCGTAAAATTTCTAATATTTCAATAAGAAGTAACGCAAAAAAAATTTTAAAAACACGATAAAGACATTTACATAAAAACTATAGCAACTTAAATATCATATACTCCACCATTACCTCAACTTCTGTCCCGAGCTACAAGGATTATTACAATCCGTCCAAGCGGACCAACTGCTCCATTCACAACATGGTCCAGAGTCGCATTCTTTTTGTTCCGAATCAGCTCCCGGACATCCTTCTGGAGCATCTCTCAGCTCTAGTAATGTTGCTTTAGTTGGAGCTCGTCTCCGGTCGGCTGCCGCACTCTGAGTGACCTCAAGAATCTGCTCCTTGAGTTGGGGTTTCGACTTGGTCGAACGATTCTTCTTCGTCGTTGTCGCGTTCTTAAGACGTTGGTTGCGCTCAATTAACCGTGCTTTTATCGCGTCTGTAATTATGTTTAAAGGTTGTTATTAAAAGTTGACTTTGTTACGTAAGGTATGGACTGTAATATACTACGTTATGTAATATTACAGTTGACACAGTCTTAATAAAAAACAATTTTAAGTAAATTTAGTGAAACACCAAGCCAAACATACCATTTTCCCTAGAATTTCCTTCCTGACTTTCAGCTGTCGTAGCCTCAACCTCAGATATTTCGTTCTCATCGTCAGATTCTGGTGCCGGCTCCGGCCTCAACGCATCCAAACTGCTTCCACCCAACTCTTCATCGCTCGGCAAAACCGCCCCCGGCAATGGATCATCCCTAACACACTTTCTCTTCCTCGATGTCAAGCCTCTACCACAAGATACTGAACAAGTAGCCCATTCAGACCATTGATCCCAGTAAGGACAAACTGCTTGTTGACAGAATCTGATCTCGCGATCTCCGCCAGTACATCCAAATCCTTTTGGCTCACATTCTCGTTGTCGTGTTTGTTGACCGTGACCACAAGAAGCGCTACATGAAGTCCACGATGACCATGCCCCCCAATGAGGACAAGGGTCGAGCTGACAAGCTGACTGGTCTTGGGCCGTACCTTCACATGAAGTTGCTGGTAGACCTTCATAGTGACATTTTCTGTAAAATACAAACATTTTTTTACAATATTTATATTATACTTGCTGTATAATTTAATTTCTTCTTGATTAACGCATAAAAAATGTAAATTATAGTAAAACAACTTTAATTAAAGTTACCTCGTTCGAAGTCTCGTCCCTTCATCTCCGCAACTTTTCGAACATTGTCCCCAAACAGTCCATTGTGTCCATTCTGGGCATGATTGTGGGTTACAGAGTAAATGTTCTTCATGAGGACCCAAACAGTCGTCACCTAATCCATTTAAGCATTCTCTTCTTCTTACCTAAAACACATTACATTACCTTATATAAGAATTAACAAAAATACCGTTAAAATGCTGAATCTGCAAAAACAAAAACATACTATTATTGTTACCTTCACATTGTAAATCTTCAGGTATCATAATAAATTCGTCTTTAGACTTGTTTCTATTAATTTTTGCCAAAAGAAGTTTAAGAATTACCCTTTCTCCCATGCCGCAGCTCTTCGAACACTCGCTCCACCTCTCCCATTGGCCCCAAGTGGGACAAGGTTTGTTCTCACAAGGCTGATGATCAGCAGCAGGTCCTCTACATTCAGCAGAGCCTGGTGGAATACACTCTCTGATCCGCCGTTGAACTCCTTGACCACAAGTAGCTGAACATTCTCCCCACGGGGTCCAGTTTGTCCATTGAGGACAAGCTTCCTCAGCACATTCACGAACATCTTCTTTTGGTCCAGTGCATTCTTTCCCATTGCGACAAACTCGTGACCTGGACTTTGTCCCGCCTCCACAAGATGCTGAACATTGTCCCCATTCAGTCCAAGCTGTCCATACGTTACATTCAGGCTGGATACAGGGCTCTTCTTTTGATTGATCACCTGGAAAAGGTAGGAAATAGATGTTTTGCAAAACTGCTGCAAATACAAAATTAAAAAAAAATTTTAATCTCTTTCTTCAACTAGTTAATGGAATATAAAGTACCAAACTCCCGAAGTTTTTTAGTCCCTATCTATCCAATAACAGAAATTATAAAAAAATAACATTACCCATTACCTGATCTTAATTTTTATTTTTCCCTCAGCCAAAAATAACCTTTAAATCTTCCAAATCAATAAAAATAAAACAAAGTTTACCTTCACAATCGCCTTCATTCCCAGTAGAACATGTTCGTTTTCGGGTCCTGACTCCAGTACCACACGTAACCGAACAAGTCCCAACAGGAAGCCATTCAGACCAATATGGTTTTGTTTCCTGTGGCAATTCAATACCTAGAGTTGGTTTAACACATGGATCATAAGGCGGTCTTAGTGGACTGCAAGGATAAGATACACCAGCGCCAGTTGGGTATCGTATAACTTGGGCAGGATAGGCTCCAGGCAGAGTTGGGCATATTCCATCTAAAATAATATAATTTTTAAAAATAAAATAAAATCTTTTGGAAGATTTTAAATTATCTACTGTGTAGATAAACATACTTCTGAACAATCATGAAGAGAAAGAAAAATGTTCGACAAAATATTGTTTCTTTCTAAAAGCAAGGGCGCGAGCTATCGATTTTTTTGCAGTTCGCAGGAAAGATAACATTTTTCGCCCAAAACTTGGCGAAGACTAACTTACTCGGGCATAAACTGCTAAAGCCAGGTCTGCCAAAGCCTTGTGGACCAGTCAGGTAACCTTGTCTATTCCTGTCATCTGTATTTCCAGCAAATGCCGACAATCCCTGGCCGTTTCCAAGCTGTTGCCCCACAATCGGTTGAATCGGCTTCATCGCTCCTTGTTCCCGAGGCACTGGAGCTCCGCCATCCCCTCCATTGGCCATGAGATCGCCCTCAAAGTTCTCGTTGCTACTTTTACTCTTGATTTTGTTACCGTTGAAGGGATAAAGAGGCTTCTCTGGAGCCAAGTAAGTTTCTTTACCTAGATCGTCGCGACTTTCGAATTGACCGGATAAACGACGATGGATCGTGGGGATTCCGTTTAGAATCCGCCGGAGAGCTGGGCTTAGAGTGTCGAAAAACTCTCGGGATTGGTCTGCGACCTTTTGTGGACAAGAATCTAGAATCTCAAACACTGTGCTTTGAGGTTCGTGGCGAGAGACTTGACGGAGCGCTACAAAGTCGGTTTCTGTGTTGACATTGTAGAGTTGGCACAGGGATTTGTGGCGCTAAAGGTGTGCATTGTTATTCTGGGTCTATCTTTAGTTTTTTAGAGTTATATCTTCATTTAAGGCACAGTTATATTGGCCAGAACATGTTAAAACATTAAAAAATGGGTTTTTTTGAAGAAAGTTTTATGTTTTTTTTATTTTAACAAACTGTAACGCTGTCATTGACAAAATAAAGACATATTGGTACTATTAAATCTTTTTACTGGCTTTAATATCAACTTACTTTAGATTGCGCTTGTAAGAAAACGGCCAATTTGCATGATTCCCAGCTTTCGATGCATCTTTCTACACAATCAGCTGGGTTGGCACTTTCGATTCGCTGATAAAAACCTATTTTTTCGACGGCAAAGCCTTTCTGCATACATATGGTACGTTTTGCGTCTAAAATGATGTTATCATAATGTTGACAATACTTTTATTCAAAAATTACCAGAACCTCTTTATATTATACTTGCCTTTACAGAGATCTCCAAACCAAACTAAAAAATACTCAAAATTACCAAAACCCCAAAAACTTACCGCATAATGAGATCAAGAGCAAGACAAATGTTATGGATCTCCGCATTTAACGCATACGGTAATCAATTGACTGTAAATGTGGTGTTTGTTTACTCTTTTATACAAGTGATGTTGTGTATAATCGAAACGAGTTTAAAGGTTAAGATGGGGCTGAAATTGGTTCGAACGAAATTCGTAAAACTTTTTTCAACGAGAGTTTGTAATTAGTAGCAACTGGCTCTTCAGACAGTAAGAGCGCGAGGGTAAGGTAATATAGGGGGAGTGATGGATTATAGAAGGCTTAATTATAGGGTTAAAGCGATGATATGGGTGGTATATTGATATAATGGGGGCAAAGATAATATGCACAATATTGTGGTATAATATAATTAAAGATTGTATATACTATACTGCTAGTATGTTTATTATGTTATTCATAGTATAACATAGTCATATGCTTTTTGTATGATAGGTAAAGTATTATGACAAAAAAAAGCGACCCCACCCCCTTTAACAATCAATAGTAACATACAACACCTCCCAGACAGATGTTACATCACAGTAAACGACAATTACGCTTAAAAATTTGAAAGTTCGGTGCGAAGTTACGGAGTAATGAGTCAAAATGAAGCTTGATCGCTATTTCTGGATGGATCAATTATACCTCGCCGTCGCATCAATCCAGAAGAAAAACAAATAAGAAAAGCACTTCGTGTTCCACTGACTTTTACCGCGTCATTTGGCAAGATTCAACATAATAACCATCGTGAGGGGCTACGTTGAGTTAGAACATCAGATTGGGGAGGAAATATGGAAAAGTTAAAAAATTTTTTTTTTTAATTTTAAATGGTTAAAAACATTAAAATTGAAAGAAAAACAAAATTATGACATTATTTATTGACATTATTTATTTGAAAATTTTTAAAATTAAAATTTTGACAAAATCCAAATTTTAAACTTGTGCCACATTTAATTCGACCACTCTCAAAAACAAAAAAAAATTCAAATTTTGGCCAATTTCCCCAAATTTGTGTCATTTTCTACTGTGTCGCCGTGAAGAATGGTCATGGATAAGAGGTCGGTGAACAATCCGCGTTACCGCCGCTCCGATCCGATAGTACCAAAGAGACCACGTGCTGGATTGGAGAGAAATGACTCGATTGACGAGATTCTGAGGATGAAGACTCTGCACGACAAGTTCAGATCGTTGAATTCGAAGCACAAAGTTCGCTACAGTCCAATCAAAATGGTCGGGAAAGGAGGCTTCGGCCAGGTGTTTGAGTGCACGGCTGATGTTACGAACTCTGGAGGCTACGAGATGCCGCAGGTGGTGGCGTTGAAGACTGAAACTGGCAGTGAAATCAAGCTCGAGGTTGGTTTTGTTTAACAAATATCGTATTAGGCTTTGGGTCTTTAACACTAATTTATTGAGTGAATCGAAAGCCCGGTGTGATAGTGGGGTGATTTATTTTTTTCAGGGGTAGATGGCGAAGGAGAGAAGACCAAGTTTTTCTGGTTTTTACTGTTCATATAACATAAAAATGAATTTTTTTGTTTATCACATGTTTGTAGATGAAAGTGTTGCTGAAGCTCAAAAACCACAATCATTTTTGTGAATTGTACGACTTTGGCCAGATAACACCAGGATACTCGTTCATTGTCATGACATTACTGGGTCCAAACTTGTCTACAATCAGGAAAAAAATGCCTACGAAGCAGTTCACAGTCTCGACTTCAATCAGGGCTGGTTTACAGGTAAATATACATAGTTCACAGTTGTTATAGATATTTTAAGATATTAATTTATTTTTAAATAAAAGTTGCTCTTCTTGCGTAAAACGAACATACTATTAATTACTGCGGTAGTATCAGTCTATGTTTAGTTTTGTTAAACTCCATTCAACGGCGTATTTTACCTCATTTCAGATGCTAATGGCGATAGAAGCCTTGCACGGTGCTGGCTTCATTTCTCGTGATGTAAAGCCGAGTAACTTTGCCATCGGAAGACCTAATGGTAATCGTCGTATGGTGTACATGATTGACTTTGGCATATCTTTGGTCTACAAAGATCAAAATGGTCCTGTCAAGCTGAAGAGAAGCGAAATGACATGGAGAGGTACCAACAGATATTGCTCTTTGGGTCATCACAAGAAACATGTAAGACACCAAGGTTTTTGTAGTATAATATATAGTAAGAGCTAATTTTTGAATTTTTTTTTAATTATTAAAAGTAGCGGTACTCTTGTTTTTTGTTACTTAAAATACCGATAAATGCGGTAATTACAACTAAATGCTATATAAAAGAAATGTAAGGTATATAGGCATATTATGAGTAATAAAATACAAGTACTTTACTACATTTGCAGTTGCCATCTCCAAAAGACGATGTAGAGAGCTGGTTCTACAGTCTGATGGAACTGTGTGTGGGCGAGTTACCGTGGCAGTATCTGGGCAAGCATCAGAAGGCCGAGACCTGTAAGGCCAAGGAAGTTGTCAGAACCACAAAACGAGAATACTTTTTGGGATCGTGTCCTTTCGAATTCGATCAGATCCTGGGACTTATCGACCGAATGACTCGCGACAGCATTGTTGAGTATCACAAGGTAATCATTACTACTACGGTGGCTAAAGTTTATAGTATTATATATAAAGGGTTATACTTTGTAACACATATAAAGACTTACATTATTTGCTACGTTATGTTAATTGTTGTAGTAGTTCTGTTATATTTATGTTATATATAGTACATGCTATTTGTTATGACGCACTTAATGTAAAACTTGATTCAGATCTACGCTAGCCTGACCAGGTGCCTGATCCGTGACAAGGTCGACTTCAAAGACCCGTACGACTGGGAGTACATGTTGTCATCGTACCAATGCAGTAGCAGTACGGCTGCTTCTTCTGACCGAATCGAGACTCTCGACAAGTCTCTTTATCAATAAGTGGAGCTGGTCTTTGAAGATTTTTATTTTGAGTACAGTAACTTTTATACTTGGCATATTAAGGTATATATGCATATTTAGTTCTGAGCGGGGGTTTTTAGTAGGAGCAGGGGGTGGATAAAAAATTTTTTAAAAGTTTTTATTAAAATTTGCGATAAGAGTTAAATTTTTTAAAATTTTTATGTTTTTTTAGTTTTTTTCTCTCTTCTCTCTCTCACACCTAGGCTCTTGCCCTATCTATACCTTGATATCTCTAAAAGTAACATTTCCACAACCACACTTGTAGCTCCGAGAAGTCAGTGGTTGTGTTACTGTCACAAAGTTTCTGAACTCGTTTTGTTCGATTAATCAGAGACGTCTCAGTTGGCTCTGAACCCACAGGAATCTGGTTTTTTTCGTTTACCCGACTTCTGAAGACAAAAAGCGATCGGTTCATCCGAAAAATGAAACAATACGACATTCCGCGGATATCAGAGTAAATCGATCATTCCATCTTTGTTTACTAAACACCAGTTGGACTACTGTAGGTTGGTGATAGGGGTGATTAGAGGTAGTGTTACTGTAATGGGGTTTATCGACTAGATGACTGGTGTTATAGTAGTGGTTTGTGAAGACTAATTTATGATTTTGGGGATGTTGTCTATGGTTTTCAGTTTACATATTGTGTTACATTACAGTGATATACTTACATTTTTTATGTGATATATTTTATATTGTAGTAGCATCTTATATTGTATTTTTTCGAATTTTTCTTAAATTCTCGAACATTTTCAAACTTTTCATTTTTTCCTTACTGTATCTCAACTTTACACCCAAATTACAGTACACTGTCCCCACTTAACCAATTGTTACAACGCCTCAAGGCTCAAAAAGTTAAACTTTATCGTCTTACAGTTGTTTTTTGGATTCTGTTTTCAATGCGAAGTTGTTTATGCTCAAAGTTGTAAACATAGACATTACTACTATACTTCTCTCTTTATTTGCTTCACCTTTTACACTAAAAACATCCGTATAATTACGGTAGACCCGAGCCTGGCATCTCAATGTCAGGAGGGCTGGGATGACATACTATAACATTACATTTTATAGCTTTACTGTAGGTAATGTAGCTTACTGTGGTTTTAAACTAAATTTTTAAAAAGCTTTAACAGTACATTTATTGTTCTAATCTTGAGTTACAACTTTTCTCATTGTTTTACTTTGATGGGAGAAAAACTTGACTGAAGAGTCAAGTGTTACTTTTGATGACTATAGATCAAGTTGGGAAACTTGTTTATTGTTACAATATACAATTTGTAAAATAGTTATGTTGTAAAAATGTTATGTAGAAAGTGGCTGAAATTGGCTTCGAAGTTTTTACTATAAGTTTAATTTAACTTATATACGTAGCTTGGAATTTTTAACTCCATTGTTACCTAATTTTAAACTTTTTTGTATTTTTAAATCCACCCCCCCCCCCTTCTAACTCAACAACAATGTCACTGCGCACCAATGTCACTGTCAACAACAACAACATGGTGATATTGTAAATCTGCTTTCACTTTGTTCGAAAGTTTGATACGCATTTGCTGTTGATTAACTGTAGTTGGTCTCAGTAGACAGTCACGGTGAAAGCTTGCGCAACTGATAATTGACAGTTTGAAGTTGCGCACAGTCAAATCCGGTTGATTTTCTTTTTTTTCGTCGCTCAGCTGGAGGGGAAAGGTTTTGGGTTTAGTCACCGGTCTTCGTACTCAATAACTTTTATTATTGTTACTACATTATGTTGTCGCAAGATATACTTGATGTATTGTGTTGTTGTATGATATAGTAACTGCATTATGTTGTCGCAAGATATATTATACTTGATGTATTATGTTTTCTACAGAGGGTTTTGTCGCAAGTTATTGTCACTACATTAGTTTGGGTTTTGTTGCAAATAATTGGATTTCTTTTGGTTTATATTATGGTATTTGGTGATGAATAGGTATGAATAACATCTAGTTTTTCTTGTTCTATGGCTAGTATTTACTGAGTATTTTAACAGTATTTTTCAAATTTTAAAATTTTTTGTCAAAAAATTAATTGGAATGACCGGTTCACATATAATAATTTTTTTGGGGGTAGAGGCCTCAATTTTTAAAATTTCGTTTTTTTGGTAATATGTTGTTCAGATAATTGTGTGCCTCTTCTCAAAGCACACCTTTGGAGGTAGGAGCACAGAATTATTTGAACGACCTAGTATCATGGTTTTTCAACAAAATTTTTTTTGTTTTTTTTCAGATTTTCATTCTCTACCCCTATAAACTTTCATTCTCACACTCTCCTCCCCCCCCCCTTTTCATAACTCCCTTGAATCATCTTCCCCTCCCCCGCACTAACAGCCTCTTCATTATACCACTGACCAAGTACAATCATGTTTGATGCTTATGTTAAAACCGAACTTGAAAGACGAATTGCACTAACATATTAGAGTTAGTTAATCGATTTGCTGTTAACACCACTGCCGCTATTTACAACATACGACAATCGCTCGATCAATTGCACTATTTGTTTTTACCAAAACTTTGAAAACGGCTTTGAATGTCCTTTTTAAATGTTATCAAGTTTTTTTTTGGTTTTTGGGCATGGGAGAGTGGGATGGGGGTGTTTTTGGGTATGTCATCATAAACTTTTTTTTATTTTTTGATTGGTACTAATGGGGCAGTTTGGTATGTACTTCGTATTTAGTTAGCAAATGATTTTTTTAATTATGAAATTTTAAAAAATTTAAAAAAAAATTTGAAAAAAAAATTTTAAGCCAAAATTTCAAAACCTTGTTTTCACCACCACATAACCATACATATAACCCCAACCACCACTACTGATCACATGCCTCGGATTCTACTGTAAACTGGCTAGCCAATCAGTAACGCCAAGTGAGGCCCCTTATCACACTGAAAAAGTAATAAATCAAAATAAGAAGTAAGAATTCCTGCGAACTGCCTAGAGTTAGTTCTGTAGAGAGAACTGTTGGTGATTAAGATCGTCGCTGGAGGTGACGTAACCGTCTGCGGGATCTGGAGCCTGTTTTTTGATGGGTTTGACCGAACTTTTGATATTGTTGTAGGTGGTAAAAGGACTGTTGGTATTGTTGTAGGTGGTAAAAGAACTTTTGGTATTATTGTAGGTGGTAGAACACCCATTTTTAGAGGTAGGGTAATATTTTTGGGGTTGTACCGGAAAATTAAAATTTTTAATTTTGAAACTGGAACACGGCGTATTTTACAAATATTTTTGATTTGATAGGGGCTGAAAGGGCAGTTTTTTGCTAAGGAGAAGATAAATTACCTTTCGTTTTTAATTTTTCTAAAATTGTTTTTCAAATTAAAAAATATTTTTTTGAAAGTTTGCCTCTCCTCCCGCCAGATTTTTTTACCATGGCGCCGCCTATAACAAACCTTCACTTTACTTTATTACCTAAAATTAACCATAAGAACAGAAATCTTATGCTAATTTTTCACAATGTCTACTCATGATCACTTATCAAACTTATAAACCTTTACCTCCAAAGAGTAAGCCATAACTTTGCTCGTGAACCCAACTCCAAACCCACATGTCAATACCTACATTTGTGACAATCTCCATAACGTCTTTGTCAACTCACTTGTCACTTTTTTTACTTGCTCCGTCAACGTCCTTGAATAACTCGCATCTCACGTCGACGAGGCTTTCGCAAAGCCATCTGAAGCGTTTTTTGACGCGCGTAACCGTGTCGCGCCTTTTTTCTGATTTTCAAGTAAAGCCGCGCCTCGGGGGTTTCGTTTTTCGGTTGTTGTTGTTTGTTAATCTGAAACTTGTGAAGGTTGGCGACGACGAATCGGATTTCCGTCGATGGAGAGTTTGGAGCGGTTCGGTGTGGCGGGTTCTTCGTTCAAGTCGGAGATGGACACCATGGACGGGCCGGAACGGGATGCGGTAGGGCGTTTTGCCATATTGATTTGATATTGATATGCAAATTTTTGAAAAATATGCTAAATTTTGGATAAAATAACATATTGTGTGCAGCATATAAAGTAATAAAAAAGACTTAAAAAATTTAAAAAAAATTATTTTAATTTTTTTAAATTTATGCAAATTTAGGCTGAATTCATGGCCGAACTACAAGAAGAAAACCCAGAAACCTATAACATGTGGCTCAAAATAGTATCACGAGACGAATTCCATGAGAAATTCAGAAGATCATTCATTTCGGCATTATGCAAATTTTGCATCAATCGAAAGTGAGTTTGAAACCTACTTTAATATAATTTTTTTGCTCTTAGTCTAAAATTGTCTTGTTTTAAAATGATTTTTATGTAATTTTATTGACTAGAAGCCCATCGTAGATGAATAAAAAGTTTAAAAAATTGTTTTAAGACAAATGGAGCTAGCCAGGTACAGAAGAGACTTCGTTGCTTGCGTATTGTCCTACACCAAGGCTGACATCGGAGTTGTGAGTTTCTTTTAACGTTTTAAAATAAGTAACTTTAAAATACATTTCAAACCCAACATAACCAAATTTGAATTCCAGAATTTGTTCTGCGACAAGAATGGCGGAGGATACCTGAACAACAGTCTGAAGAGTCGAAGAGCCTACAGAAAACGACTGATGGAGTCATCGTGGCAACAACACACGCCGAATCTCATCAATGAAGCTACGTTCAGTAATCTACTAAAGAGTTTTCAACAGTCCTCTACACCGTCACTTGAGCTACAGAAGTTCCGAGCTGACATGACGCTATTGGGTCAACCAACTCAACATCAAGGTCATGGTGAACAAAACGGGGTTACTGGTAGGTTTACTGTATTTTTGGATTTTTGTAAAGTATTGAACCGTGTTTTATTGTAATATAGTTAATTTTGCTAACAGGGGTTCCAATTTTGCCATTCTTTATATTATTTTAAGTTATTATATTATAGTAGACATCTATATGATACTAAAGTTCATGTAAGTATATTATACTACAACTCCTATAAGATCCCAAAGTCCCCCTTTTAACTGTGTAAAGTCAGTAATACCGACCCGCAGTGTCATTTCGTATCTTGGGTGTTGCGATTACGTGATCTCAATCTTTTTTTCGCTCTTAACGACAGCCGGCTCCCACTTTTTTTGATTTTCCAGTTCAAAACCCGATTTTACGTAATAGTAAATTGAGCTCCGAAGATTCGATCAGCGGAAACCCAAAAAAACTTTGTCATTTAGAGACCGAAAAAGGTTATAAAGGAAGAATTATATTGTTTTGAACGATATGCCACTATTGATTATTTTAAAAAGTTTTAAAGTTTATAAACAACAATATAAGAAATAATGAGTTGTTAATGTAAACCACTCCTTTTTAGATGAAAAACCACCCCCTTCGTTATTCAACAACCCCGACTTCTTATCAGCCATCAACGTCTTTGTCCGCTACAGAAGACTGACTCCAGAATGGCGAGATCTCGAAGTAAAACAGACAAAACTTAACCTGCACGCCTTCTCTACGGCTCAAACCCTACTAGTGGTGCTCGTGGACAAGTACCAGTTGAGCAATCACGACGACGACTTTGTCCTCCGGGTGTTCGACAAAGAATTCAACGAGTATATTGACATTGAAGAAGATCTCAACCACGTGAAGCTAATCAACCTCGGCAAGTACGAGCTGATTCATCGACTCAAACGAGACGATGACAGTAGCGTCACGGTGTCACCTCAGCCATGTTCGAATGGTCAAGCTAATGTAGCCTCGTCGAGTTCGAGGGATACGCCTAGTAGTACCAGAAGCTCCAGTCCACCATCGAGTTCGTTGGTTCAGGTGCTGAAGGAGATTCCTGAAGAAGCAAAAGATGTAGGTTTAGATGTTTAGGTATATACAGACCTAAGTAAACCTATATATTAATAAACAAGGCCAGTAGACTTCAATGTGAATAATATACGTAACAAAACACATTTAAAACCAATAAATCATCAAGGAAGCCTAAAACAATATAATTTCCAGGCCAAATCGGAAATCTTCCCAGCTTCAAACCTCATCCACGCCTCGATGAACTCGATGTTACACTCATTCCTCAAGAATATACAAGAAAACTCGGCCGCTCCTCAAATCGAACTCCCCAAATCGGCTTTCATTCAGAATCTGTTCAACATGACTAACCAAGATCAACATCTCAGCTCGGGCTCAAATTAGTACAAAATTATCATGGTCAAGCCTTTCAACATCAATTTAAAGTCTTTATAACATCAAATTAAAGCTTGATAGCAAAGCATTGTTACCTAAACACTTACTAATGTTACAGTAGGCTCTTTACTTACAGGCTACAGTAGACTCTTGATATAAGTAACCCAAAGAAGAACGTTTTGTATCTATTGTACTATTTGTATTGTAGAAAGTTTTTGGTAAAGTTGCTTATAACAAATGTCTACTGTACTATAAAGGTAGAAAAGTAAGAGGATTGCACTAAAACGGGTCATGTATTTGTATCTATATTACCTTGAGATTCATTTACTGTTGTGTATTAAAGAGATTAACCAATAAACTTATATTATTCTTCTAGTTGATCATTTTTTTCCATGAATTATGTTGTTCAAATAACTCTGTACCCCTCTCGAAGCAAATTTTCTGGGTTATGGGGCTCAGAATTATTTGAACAACCTAATATACCTTAAATTGGTTGTTTTGTATATTTTAATTTGTTATTACATATATCAAAGAAACTGGCAAAAACAGACTTTGAAACTAAAGATGTTCTCATGTCGAAAGCCGTCTTTACAACGTAACGTTAGTTTGGTATCTTGGAGGCATGTTAACATCCGGCTTAAGACTTTTTCAGTCTTCAAAACCTTCCCCAGTCTTCATTTGTTAACATTTATACTCATGTCGTCGTATCTCCCCAATCTAGTGCTGATTCAATACGTGTTATGTCTTTTGATCGCCAATGTTGGCCTTCTGATGCTGGCTCGAGTACTATGGGCAGTGTTCGTACGGAAGTCAGAAACCCGACTGAATCTGCACCTAACTTTACATTGTGCTGGCTGGATGCTGTTCATGGTATCTTCTCTACCACTGGTCATGTACACGTTGTCGTTTTGGAAAGGGCGTGCTACATTGTACCACAGTAATTGGATGTTTTGGACAGGGGTGTTCAACATGTGCACGTCAAGTGTTATATCAGTTATGCTGTTCTTTGTATTGTTGGATCGATGTTTACAAGCCGGCTTTCCCGAGTCCTACAATTACAAGTACAAGAATGGTGGGCTTACTGTGTGTATCATATGTACGATTGTTGCTTGGTGCATTGTGTTCTTCATCATGTTGTCGGAAGGACCGTTTCCCAAAATGACGCGTAAGTAGAGATAATACTGTGTGATTAGGCCACTTTAAGAAAATTAGATTATAAAGCATATATAGTTAGTGGCATGCCATACGCAAAACAATATCTTGCCTAAACCATTATACTACTTGTTACAATGTATTACTTAAACAATTACATTACCTATTACAATATGTTACCAGACCAACGCGGGCCCTACGGGCCCGCTATGGTCTGTGCATTTTTGTTGTATTTCATTTTTATACAATATTTATGAATTTTTATAAAGTAAATTATGTTATAATAAAATAAAACGTTAGAATTTGTTGAAAAAAGCACCGGCCTGCGGCCGTCGCGCGTCCTTTAAATTCCAACTTTAAAATCGACTTTATTTTGAATCAATCTAATAATCTGCTATTTCAATGCAGTATGAAATCTGAAATTATTTTGGGTATGATACACTTTGATTTATTTTGTTTTTTAAATTGTTACCTTTAGCACCCGTTTGTAAAAAAAATTATAAACCCGGTAATTTTTTGAATTTACCTTACCCTTATCAATATCTGTATTCATACCCGTACCCATATTTATCTAAATTTTTATATATACTAAAAAAAAGACAAACTTACTGTAATGTCAGTTTTACTGTTTAGATTGCCTATCATTCGGCTGTATGTTAACGAACGAAGGTGGACGAGCCCAGTTTCTAGTCCGGATTATCTTCGGATTTATGAACTTGGCGTGCTTACTCGCCTTTATGCTATTGGTGGTACGCAGCGACCAAAAAAGGGGACAGCAGTATGCTGGTGCCGAAATCGTATGTACTTATTAGGGTCGCAAGTTGCAAGTTAAAAATACAAAAACGTGTTCTCAAAACAGTGTTAAAAGTTACTGAGTAATATATATAACACCGTCATATCAAGTGTTAAGCTGTAAACATTTTAGACAAACGTGTTGACCCGAAACCTGGTAATTGCGGACCTTTGCACCAACTTTATCTTATCGGTAATAACCTTCTCAGTTGACCAATGGACTACAATTGAACTCTCAGACTATCTGGGAGCGTTTGTAATGTCAATATCCAGCGCTGACGGCCTTATCACCGCAATTGTTTACACCAGAACTCTATCAATGTAAGTTTTACCCTTATACATAATAGGTTGAACCAAAAGTAACGGAACACTTTGTAATTGAAAAATAAACGAATAGTGTCCCGCTACTTTTGGTTCAACCTAATACTAAAGGGGTTTTACTGTAATAACAACAAAGTATAAAACCGTTATCGCTCATTAAAAAAAGCACAAGGCACTAACATCTCATATACAAGTCTAAATAAACATTATTTCAGGACTGGCGGTCTAAGAGACAAAATCAAATCGGTGGTTAACAGTACTCGTGATGAACTGTTCTAAACAACACAACATTAAACTCAACTTTAACAGTATGTAAGGTAACTACCCTAACGCAGTGAACTAATTGCTATTATCAAAATTTTTATTAATAAACCCAAGATTTAACTAATATTTAATTAATATGCAAATACACTATAAGACGAGTTCACTTCACAAACTAGCTTTAGAGTTCAGGAACCGGGCCTTCGTCCTCTTTAGGCTTAACCCTTCGGCCGTCTGACGGTGTGTCATCCCTGCTCAGTGACTTGACATCGACTGAGGTGTTCATCTCCGAGTCACTGTGTCGCTTTCTCTTCTCCTTGGCTTTGGGGACAGTAACTGGTGGATCCTTCTTTTCTATCTGAAATTTGCATATTAAGATCAATAATTTTATAAAATAGTATTATAGGCTAAAATGAACAAACCCTACGTCAATAATAGATCGACAAAGAAATATTAGGGTCAAAGTACCAGCATTTTGGCCTAAACATAAGCTACGAATTAAAAATAATGTCGTTTTTATATGATAAGTCATTTAAAATTTGAAGATTAACCTACCTTTGGAGCATTATCAGGACTGGGAGCCTTCTTCGCTGTGACTAGTTGCTTCGCTTTCTCCTGCAAAAAGTAATAATAAAACTAGAAACAAAACAAGATATATCACTTAGTAAGACAATATAACACTTACCTTTTCCTCCGCCTTGTCGTTCGTCGACTTCTTTGTCGACGATTTTCTTTTCGAAGACTTCTGATCCTTAGCTCCAGCAGAACTCCTGCTAGGCGTTGTTTTCCGAGTGCTTTTCTTATCCTGAAATGTATAAATCTAACATAATATTACAAAAAAATTGTAGAAACATTAAAATGACAATACAATAATAAATTTCAGACATTACGCAAGTAAAAAAAAGAAAGATAAGCTAACAAAGTAACATAAATATATAGCCAAAACTAAAATATTACCCATAAGACACAATATTGGTCACAATACTTACCGACATGACCGCTCTTGAGTCACTCACAGTGCAAATACTGTAAGTTTTATAGCGCAACCGCTCACTCCCTATGAATTTGACAAATGACGGTTTGGAAAGGTATTCAAAAGCAATCACAACTTTATGCAAATCTTTGATTTTCAAACTGATTATTATGTTTGAATTCAAAAAATAAAATGACTTTTAAAGTACAGTATTTTCAGACAAAACATGTTCATACTGAAAATTCATACTGAAAACGCATATCAAAAAAACCAAAAAACATACAGTTGAGAGGCGGGCTTGGGGGGGAAGGGGAGTTTGGCGACCCTGCCAGTGATCGATCCAGAAACCGTGGTATCTAGGCCTTTTGTATTCGGCCTGACGGTGGGTCTTCTTTCACTAAATATTTGTACTAGGACTCTTTTAAGCTCTTTATTAGTACGGGTTTTTTCATATGACAATCAAAACTAATCTACTACCGATCGTGATCCGTTCCTTCTTTATATTGTGTTCTGATGGACAGGCTCTACTTTTCCTTCAACCGAGAGTGCGATCTTTCGTTAGAATGCAAGCAGAAGCCTGGCCGCGTAGGCTGATCTCTTAGCGTCCATATCGAGGTTTTGATCAGCCAATTTGGCCAAGCTTCCTTTCTTAATTCCCAGATAGTAAGGCTGGGAATAAAAAAACGCACTTGTGGTTTCGCGCTGCAGAAATTACTTTGCCATATGTCAACGAAAACGAAACAGCAATTATTAGTTCTGCGTTTAAAAAAGTTTTTTTTATTTAGCATAGCTTTTTAACTTCAATATTATTAATATAGCCTATACAAATTTGAGTTGTATTTTACTATTTTTTAAAGTTAGACACGTTTTGAATGTTCTTAACCCAAAACTTTAACTTAAAACTTATTTAGAGAATGGTTTGGATAGACGACATTGAGTTTAACACAACTATTCGTGAACAATGTCGACAATACTATAATGACCTCAAAACACTTCCTATTGAAACATTAAAACAACAACGAGAGCTTTACCTACAGAACGCTACAACTCGAGAATTAACAAAACCATCCAGAGCTCAGCAAAGACCATCCATCTGGACCAGGGACATTTCAGAAAACGCGATCGCTTTGTACTTAATCCACGCAGTAAGTATGACAACTCGTGGATTTTAATATACTTTTGATAAGACATTCATTGCTTTTTTCTTTGCATAAAATCGTGATTATTACCGTACTAGATATTACGTATCTTTCAGAACCAAAACCTGGTTTTGCACTTCTGATTGGAAAGCTGTTCACGCTGTTAGACGGCCTTCACAATTCGAAACAACCGCGCAAGAACTTGAAACAAATTTTGGACATTTTGTCGACAATTGCGTTCCAAAAACATATTGTCAAAGATGTTAAAGAGTGCAAACGAAAAACAAAACATCTGTCTACAATCGCTGAAGTCAGAAAAGGCCAAAGCTTCTTCTACCGTAAGGCTTTGTTCAAAATTGAACCAAGCTCTTTACTGTTAATATGTGTTCACGAACTGGCTCATCAAGCAGAATCTACAGTAAGTGGACGGCATTTCTACTCCTGTAGTAATTCGTATGATGCACACGGTGAATACTGGCGCTGGTGATATTGAGGCGTCTTGGGTTTCCCCACTTCAAAATGTTTATTCGACTGTAATTTATTAATAATTACATGTAGTATTTTTTAGTACAAAAACTATGTCATCACAATATCTGTCTTATTATGCAAAAAAATCTGACGAGACTTATATATCAATATATATTTTCTGTACCTTCGTGTCCGATAAGGAATCAACAATACTAAATTTACCAAATTGGCGGGAATTCAAATATTTGGGCCCCCGTTGGGCTGGTTTAAATTTTAAAATTCAAAAAAAGTTTTTTATGAAAACTACTTGTTATACAAAGAATTCATATAAAAAACTGAAATTCTTCAAAGTAAACTTTTTTCTTCGCTCGCTGCGGCCGACCATTGGGATGTTCTGCAGGCTGCAAATCTTTCTTATACGAAAAGTAATCTAATGGTTAGTTTTTTATTGGAACGGTAAAAAGTGTATTATATTAGTAAAGTCGAGTAAAATAGGACTTACATTAATACATATTCTAATTCAAAATTTTGTTTTTGATTAAATTTTTAATTTTTGAAGATATCATTTTCTTCCTTTACCTCATGTTCTCCATGTCATGTCTTTCTCTTATGTTCTACATCTCATGTTCTACACGTTCCCCTTTTGTTCCGTAAAGAAATAAACCTTGCGCGATTCATAAAACTGTGAGGATATTAATTGGGCGTAATTGTTGCGTCAGAGCGCCCGCTGTGCAGATCGCCTGAGGGGAATAAAGGAATGAAAGTGAGAAACAGATTCCGGACCTGCTGAGTGTGTCTACAAAAGGCTTCGTATAAAAGACGGCTTCAGCGACGCTTCCAGAGCAGTCATGGTTTCAGCCAAGTCAGCCGGTTTTCTGGCGGTGGGCTCGTCGCTAGCCGCCTTGATTGCCGTTTTCATTTATTTGCCAGCGCTGATCTTGAGGATTGGCGAGATTAATGCACAAGTAAGGTTGATTACTAAGTTTTTGAATTTTAAAGATGACTATGTTATAAAATTTCGAAATTCTAAGCTTTAAAGCTTAAAACCAAGCTACAAAAGAAGGTATTAACTATAATATTTTTTTAAAAACTCAAATTTTCATGTCATTTTAGCTTAAAGTGGACACAGAAGAGTTTCGAGCGATAGCAGACGAAGCCTGGACTGATATGCTCCGAGCCAAGAAGGTGCGAGGCCAGCTCCGTCCTCGGCGTCAAACTTACGGTGAATCTCGTGGCTACGGAGAAGTCCGTGGCTACGGTGAAGCGAAACATTATGGAGGCGGATACACGAAACCAGAGACTTATGGTACTACTGGCCCTACTTGCTCATGCAATGCCCAGAACAATTGTCCTGCTGGTCCGCCTGGTCCACCAGGCAAAGCTGGCGAAGACGGAATCAAGGGCTCACGAGGCCCTGCAGGTGCTCCTGGACTACCTGGCAATGCTCCACCTGTTACTGTTGATCCGGTAGGTTATTATCTATCATATGTATGTGGTTTAATAATGGAAGTTAGTTATTCTAGGAATTTTAAGATTCTATTTTTCCTAAATGACGGTTTAAAAAATTAAAGATTGTATAGTATTTTAGGTATAACAATATCGTTTTTGTCAAATTTAAAGCTTTGTAGCAATCAAAGTCAATAGCAATAAAAATCAATTTTTCAGAACACCGGCTGTCGCGTTTGCCCACATGGCCCTCGAGGACCAGGTGGTCCAGCTGGTGATGCTGGCGTACCAGGCCCAGACGGATTCGTTGGTCCAGCCGGTCGGAACGGAGAGAACGGCCGCCCAGGATACCCAGGCAACTCAGGAATCCCAGGAGAATCTGGTGCCCCAGGCAAAGCGGGTGAACAAGGTGTACCAGGCAAGAACGGAGTGAAAGGACAAAAGGGACCTCCTGGCCATAAGGGAGAAACAGGACCAGTTGGACAAAAGGGACCAGAAGGCTATCCAGGTCCAGATGGTGCTCGAGGCAACGATGGAGCTCCAGGACCAGCTGGACCACCCGGTCAAGTTGGCTTACCTGGATCGGAAGGTCAGCCTGGAGTACAAGGCCAGACTGGAGAGCCGGGTGAGGATGCTCAATATTGTCCATGCCCTAACAGAAGCTCGGGAGTCGACAAACCGGCCTCGTACGACTCTCAGCCTCCTCAGAACTACGGTACTGGCAATACTGGATACGGTGGCAACTCCAATGCTGGTTACGGTACTGTGGCTCCACCAGCTCCTGTTTATGAAAACCAAGCTGTCGATCAAAGTGCTTATAGACGACTAGTCTAGACTGACATTTTGAGTGAATAAATTGAAAATTGGAAGTTATAAACTACAAAGTTTAAAAATTAACTTGTTAAAAAATAAAAGGGCTACTATAATATGTACAAGACATATATATATAAACCTGCTGGAAATAATTGAAATTACTAATTTTTGTGCTTTGCGTCCAGTTGACCGGACTTCGTATGCAAGTCTAACATCTATTAAATTATATTAATATAGGTTTTTACATTTGGTACGAACAGTAATGTAATTTAGATTAGTAACTTTGAGTAATAGTATCATATTACGCATAGGGTCTACTCCTACTTATTTGAACTTTTACTTGCTATAAGTGTGTATAAATCCTTTTTTTATTTTGTAATATATTATGCTTGGTTCAGTTACGCATTTACTATGGTAAGACAGCTACATATTTAATATTACTTACCCTAAGAGTATATTATCACAGCTAATACTATAATACTTCACCCTACATATGTAGTTTAAGACGCAATACTACCAAAGTATACCTACTTCTTTCATACATTATAAACTACAGCATACCAAATACATATTGTCATATATATCTTGTGTTATGTACTGTATCAAAACAACATACGATCAGTACAATGAGTGCTGATTTAACCTTAAGATTGACGTTACTACAGTCTATACTGAGTATATTCCTGTGTGTTGTGTCGATTTTCTACTACAGTACTCAACTTTACTGTCTGTTATTCTTGTTTAAAAAAGATCATCGCCCAACCTTGTTCATGATCAACATGCTCTGCTGGCTTGTGTACATGATAAGTGAGATAATATATAGTCTGTACGTTATTACTATGTATGATGGTAAGCATTCTCTTATAGTTTAAAAATATAGTGGCATCAATACTACCATTATCCGTAAATTATGTTATTATTGATGGTACTGTTAAAGTCAATTCACCATAGTACTAAAAAAACTAGGTAGTGCACAAGAAACAAGTACTATCAACAAAAATATCTTTTAGCATTGCAAAAAAATATTATACGCAAATAGTATATACAAAATTAATTCGTTGACATACGATCTTACAGTTAAAACGGAGACATCGAATACGAGGTTACTGTTCATGTTCGGATTACTACCGTATCTTTGTATACCAGCAATATCATTAACAGTGACAGTAACTATGCTAGAGCGAGTACTAACCGTAGTGTTTCCGTTTGACCACAGTAAAGTACAAAAAGTATCTTTATTCTTATCAATTGCCAGTATAGTAGGCTCTATGTTTGCAGCTATAGTAATGGTCATACCTGAGGTTAATTGGAATGAGGCTACTGGTATGTTTAGAGTTTACTTAGCCCTAGTCTAACCTACTCTACTTTACCCGGCCCTACCTTATCCTACACTATACTACCCTATCCTCTTTACACAGTGCCTTTAAGTACAATATAAGTTTTTCAGATTGCATCGTATTCGGTTGTTTACTACAAAAACATGGTGGTATACCTCAATTAGTGAGTAAATTAGGCCTAGGTGTTGTTAATATGTTTTGTGCCACAAGCTTTATCATAATATTCAGATACTCGCGGAAAAATGCCAATGACAATGCATTATGGAACAATGTAAGTCAACATAACTAATGTAATGATATGTAGCTGTATAAAATGTTGCATGTTCAGATCACACACATGACATTGAAGTTGTTCATAAACGAAATGGTCTTTAATATTCTGCCAAATATTGCTATACTCATCGTTTACTATGTAAGTTGATATTGTTGTCAATAAATTTATATGTTAGTATTTAAATACAGCTATAGTAACATAAAATGTCATAACTTATGAGAAAACTTTCAAAATTCAAAACTTAAACTAATGCCAATTTCAGTTCTACCGAGTGCCATTTGCTCAAATGGCCGGCCCATACTTAATGACATTCACCTGTTGTGAAGGTTTAGTTACAGTAATCTTTTACCAAAACTCACTGAAGCATCGAATAAAGATTATCAACCAAAATAGAATGAATGTCATCAGCTTTAATAGAGTAAACATACACCATCGTAGCCAATGGAGTACGACTAGGTCTGGTACTATTAATAGTCGCTCTACTTTTTAGTTTGTTGTTACCTAAAAATAAAAAAAGCTGCTATAAGTTAATAAATTTGATATAACCTTCTAGAGAAGCTTCCTCATGATTCAATGAACCTTTCCCTAATTTTAATTCAAAGTTCATTAAAGTTATCTATAAAGAAATAACAAAAATGTGCTAAAGACGCATTTACCTTCGTCCTCAAGTTGTTTCAGATAATTCTAAAAAGTGTGTTCTATTCAAACAACACTTCTCTGTCATCTCACATTCTTAGAGACTAACTTTGAAGCCTATATTAATCTAAAACAATCAACAATCAAAAGAACTTACGAAACTCCCATTGAAGTAGGTAACAAAACCATTTCTGAACCATGTTCAATTCTTCACCGATGCCAGACCTGAATCAAATATCAAAAAATCGATTAAAAAATTACATTTTTTCCTGACTTCGGACTACTTATAGGCTATTTGTGAAGCCTATATTAATCTAAAAGATCTAAAAAATAAAAAGAACTTACCAAACCTCCATTGAAATATTTAGGTAACAAACCATTTTTAAACCTTGTTTAAGTTTTTATCGATGCCAAATCTAAACCAAATGTCAAAAAACATGACATAGACTTGCATGTTTTCAATGTTTTAGTTCAAATATTATAGTTAGAAGATTAGTTCGAGAAGAAAACACATGAATTTTACAATTTCTGAACTAATATTTTGCACAAATCAGTGATAAAAAGTCTGAAAGAAGAAAAACGAATTAAATCCTATCATCACTCCAAAAAATATCGTCGTATTTACCAAAATATAAAATAAAAACAAAACTTTGTCTCAAGTCTTCAAAAAAGAAAAAAACGAATTTTTTGAACGGAATTTTAACCGCCAAAACTTTTGATCCATAAACTGGTGGATAAAAAGTAGGTATAAAGCACTGGTTTAAGCCTAGTTTTAAACTATGGTCTTATTGGCGTCTTATTTTAGCCAATTTTAAGGTCCAGACGTCGTTTATTATAGTTTAGTTCAGCCGTCCAATGTGTGATCTTTTATCAAAAGACAAACGAGTTGTTAAAAATTTAAATGCAATGCAAACTTTAAAAATTTAATTAAAATTTCACAAATATGTAAAATAATATTATTTTTGCCAATTACCACGGCAATCCTCTCCAAATGAGCATAAAGCGACCATTATTACGTGACGACCTTTATCTATTACTACTGAACCGTGTAACGATACAAATGGCTACCGTATGGTCCTCAATTATTCTATTTAACAACAAAAGGGCCAAGACAATGCTTGTTACTCTTGCTTCACTTCCATCGTTAAAACAATATTTTCGGAAAATGGCATTTTGCTCGAAATTAGGGTACGGTACTCTATTGAGACGTGTTGTCGTACTGTTGATACTGTAAAGTTTATCGGGTTTTGGATGATTAATATGACTTTGTTTTGAAAACCTTTTTTAGATTTTAATGTTTTAGATTGGCTTTTGGCAATCAATGATAAAAATCAATTAGAAACCCTCCCCCCCCCCTTTCAATTTCTACTCCCCACCGCCCAGCCCTAATCGCATTTCTTCCCAAAAACGACTTCTTCAATTGCACATGTCTATATCATGTTCTGAGACCGTTTATCCCCTCAATGCCATGTTATTGGACCACTTGACGGGCATTTATAACATACGCACTTAAAACTTACCTTGTCTTGACATAGAATTTCCGCCCTCTCTCACTTATATGTTTCCTGACATATAAATGTAAATGGTCCGTTTAGAGTGGCACTCCAGGCAGTTTTTGTCCGTTTTGATGTATCTGCTTCGGGATACGATTTACAGTTGTGTAACATACGATGGTGTAATGTAACATACAATGGTTATGTAACTTGCAAACGATCTGGATGCGTTTCAGGAAGAGTGGATTAACTAATTCGAGGACAATAGGCGGGCAAAGGTGGGGGGGCTAATTCGAGTCTGGGGGAAATTATGTCATCGTGATCGGAGAGAAAATCAAGGTGGTTTTGTAGATTTTATATATTAGTTATACCTAGTTTAACTACATATTTGGGAAAATTTTTTTAGACTTGAGGGTAAAATGTTTTTACTATAAAATTTATTTTTTGATTTTTTATATTGATGTTGTGTACCAAGCTTGAACACAGAACAGGGAATTGCTTTTTTCCTAACTAATGTGCCCTTTATAGGACACAAGACATTACGGTTTTTTTGTTTCTTGACAGGGTAGAGTTAGTAAAAACAGATATTGATCATGCCCTACCTTAGCCTTGTAACTCATTCCCAAATCGTGTTATATACTTTACCCTGCGTCCAAACCTGACCACACGACAAGCTAATAACCGAGTCGATTGTGAGGATAAACTTCCATGAAACTTTTAATGTTTTCTCAGGGATAACGAGCTGTTTAATGGGCACCGGGAACAAAATTAGAAACAGGTATGCCTCGCCCTTCTCAGCCGCGTAAATCGATCCGGCCTCGGGACTGGGAACTCGGACCTCATTCATGGTGGTCCATTATGCGGCTATGGTAAAAGTTGGTCATTATCTTGTAGTAGGGAAAGTTGTTACAGCAAATATGGTTTGCAATAACAGATGCACCAATTTTTTAAAACTTTTATTTTTTTTGTAGAAAAAGTTACAGTAGTAACTAATGATGATATTTTAAATGATGTATCATCAATATTATACTATTAAATTACTAATGTTATACTACCTTATAATGATATTAAAATACTATGTGATAACAATAATCTATGTTATAGTCAAAGTAATACCTAAATACGTATGCTATAATAGTTTTGTTTAGATATAATTATAACAAAACCGCTTTTTCAATGAAAACAGTAAAGTCAAGTGTTTGTAAGCGAATTAATTACAGTACTCGCCGAAGCCGTTCAATGGTTTTTCAGGATTCAATTTACTTTACTTTTGCAGTAATATGTCGTTTTGTAAAGACAGGAGGGTCTTGTTATAAGCAACAGAGAGCTTTTTTTGTTTGGTATAGTAGGGATTCCCCTTCCTATAGTCTTTTACACTTGAACCATCCCCCTCCCCAAAAGAATATTTTTTAGAAAAAGCTTAACGTGGACCTCTTATCTATTTTCAAATTAAAATTTTAAAGTTTTTCCACAAAATCAAGCTTAAACAGTACCTTTACCTAAATTAAGCAGTAGTGTGGTTTATTGACAGCCGACTTGACAAATGAGTTTGGGTTTCCTTTGGCGGGGGAACGGCTTTCAAGGTGTCTATTAACTATACAAAACATTCCATGGGACGATTAAAGACGGCGGCTGGTTCCTTGTACCTGCCCTCGGCCTTGACTAATCCAATTCAGTCAGGGCATTGTTCAGCGCTTCCGACGCGCACACCTCATTATTCAAAACTCTGTTGTTTATTAGTATTTGGGGAGGGAGTGGGATGTTATCTTGTTGAACTTTTTTAAAACTTTGTCACTGGTAAAACCAATACCAATTTGACTATAACAATCCAAAGCATCTCCAATTGACAATCTCCAATCCTCCGCACTTACACGCCTTGGGCAATGAAATTAGACCAATAAATAACAATTTCTTCTCCCAGATTCTGTCCCAATTTCCGGCGGCCAATTTGAAAGCGCGAAAAAGCGGCCATTGGCGTGACTGTTGATGAAGAAGCGGCTGGCACGTCAGCCGCTCATCTTCTTTCGGCTTTCCGCCGGACACCGTATCAGGGCCCCAATGATTGTTGGGGACAGGATTCGCGGAATTTAAGGATGGGAGGGGTATTTAGGGAAAGATAATTATTTATATATGGGGGGGGGGAGAGGGGGGAGGTAAGAGATAGTGTTGGGTAAAAAGGCAAAGAAGAAACGTAGTTATTGAATGAAGGAAATAGGAAAATTGAGTAAAAGGTGCTACTTATCACAATTATTTACATAGTCTACCCCTAGCTAATCAATGATAAAATTTTTTAATTCACAAAATTTGTCACAAAATATTGTTTTCCAGGCTAATTACGTCCCCAATTTTTGATACATGGATAACGCAGTGTACGTTGGTCATCGTAGCGTGAAATATTATTATGGAATCATGTTATTACAAGGTCTTGAGTGCGCAATTTGGAAACATTTGCTTTCTATTTCAGCTTACTGGGAAAGCATTTGTTGTCGGGGTTCTATGTTCATATTAACATAAGTTTTAATACTTTATATATGACAACTGCTTAATTTGAGATTCTGATGTATTACAGAAGAGTTTTGTTGTAGGTAAGGCTCGAGAAAGGTCAATTTGAATCATTTTTATTGAATGGTGTTTTATGTAACGTTCATTTTTAATCAGCTACCTCTAGTGTCATGCAGAAAAAGTGTTTTACTAGTCCTAAATATATTTATACGTTAAGCATAAAGCACATAAAAGCCTCTTGTACACCAATCATCTACGTAAACCTAGATAATATCATAACTTATGTATAAGTCCACCGTGTACAACTCCTAACTACGTTCATCGTTTACACTATGATCCAGTCAAATCCTCCCCTAATTGACTTTTTGTCGCAAACTCTTCGAAAAAATAATAATTTTTACTCTTAAGTACACCCAATTACCTCAGGAAAATAAAACATTTTGGTTAGGAATAAAGGCATTTCTGGGTCACTTTCCGTCGAGGTTACAGCCATTGGTTTGTTCGCGGAGGCGGAGCAACGTTTTTCACAAAATTCGCATTTTCAGTTTACAAATCGATCGTTTTTGAGTTACAGTCAAGTTTTCGAACTTGAAATTAATTCATTATGGTTTTAAGTTACAGTAGACTAAGATAATCGTAATCCTAAGGGTACAATAGGCTATTGTTATGTTATTATAAAGTATTGTTATTAAAAACGCTAAGGGACAAGCCTTTCATACTTATTATAGAAAGTGTTGCCCATAGCAAAGTCTTTTTTACCATAAAATTACTTGTAAAGGGGGATGGGATAAACTTTAGATCAAGCAAATTCATTCTATTATTATCACATTTTTTTGTTTTTTAATTATCTTTTCTACTTAAAATTTACATTTCTGTCACTCTTGTTTACCCACATTGCCACTTTTCCCTTTTGTCTATTGGTCAACCCCCAACACGCTTTATCTCTAAAATTAGCCTTTTTTGGCCAATAACTGGCCGTTTTGGGCCGCTTTCTCGACTCCGCCCCCTTTTTCGCAAAACTTTTCACCCATGCCTAAGTGACACAGTTGAAATCGAATATTTAGTTGTGGTTAAAACACTGCCATTTTCCACAGTAGGGCGGAAGCGGCAACAAGGCCACGCCCACTTTAAAGGCTTGCTTAAGCGTTAAGTGAGTCGGGATTGCATGGCGCGGGCTGAGCTTAAACTAATTTAGTCTGTTCCAAGTTTTAAGGGCTGTTTAGGCAGATTTGACAGCTTAGTTGAATAGGTGCTTAGAGGGTTTACTTGGGGGTACGGTGGACTTTAAGGAGTTTTGAAAGGGTATACAGATCGTTATATATAGACTGAGATTATATACAGGCAAAATGGGAGGGGGGGGGGAGGTTTATAAAAGTTATCCCTCCTTATAAATCAGCCTTGTGCTAAACATTTATAAGTTGATGGCTAACCCTTTAAACTCTTTAAACTACTCAAAACCTTTCAAAACCTCCCTCCTCCATCCCTAACTGTCACTAAAACAACATTTGTTTTACGTTACCGTAACCCGCAATTCAACAGCCTCAGGGAATGTTTTGTTTGGGCGTTTAATTGGGCTCTTAAATTGTCTCTTCACAGTCGCAAAATGATTGTTTTAATGCACCTGTGGAATCATAAACAGAAGCGGAAACATTAAGATTTGTTCCAACCGACTGACTTCTGCTTCAGCGTTGTCATCGTTTGTCATTGTTTCAATTCTCAAATCGTATTCTAACTTTATAACTTGTTTTACGCCAATTTGTTGGTCAATTTTTGAGTTTTTCGTTTTGTGGGACAGGTAATACTATAGAGCAGACAGTACGCTTTATGGGACAGGTAGTGCGCCAGAGGGGTGAAATTGATCTGGAGATAATGATTAAATATTTTTTTTGTTTTAAGCGTTATATGCTTTCTAAAATGACGTCTTTAAACTTTTTTTTATTTTAACATTTTTTTTCTAATTTTTAATTTTAAAAAATTTAAATTTAATAAACGATGAAATTTTATATATATCTTACAAAAATTTTCTAAAAAATGGTATAGTAAAAGCTTTTTAATTTTAAAATTTCATTAACTACCTTACCTTTAACCATCTGTTGCTTTAAATGATCGTTGCGCAATTATTTACCATGATTTCCTTATCTGATCAAAATTTATGTCTCACATTATGACATTTTATTCATTTTTTTACCTCTTCTCTTCTATTTTTTAAAAATTTACTTCAAAATTTGTAATTGGTACCCTTGTACACTAAAACCTAAAAAAATTTTTTCTTATATCAAGGTTAACCTTCTTTTGCCCTGCCATTATTAATCACAACCTAAAATTTTGTAAATTAACTTTTGAATTTTAAGCCAAAATGAACTCAAGCCAGAACCCGGATCTCCTTTCCGCGTTGAGTATGATTGATCCTCGTTACTTGATGAATCCTTTGTTTTCTGACCCTGCGGCGTTAAGCTTTCTCCAGAATCATCCAGCATTCCCTCTACAACAAAACAACGGCGGAGGGAAGGTGCTGAACAATCTGCATCAGAATTCGTTCAGAATCACGGATCTGATTGATAAGAATCGATCTGAATCCACTTCTGGGAGCAGTGACAAGGCTAATACTAGTGGGGAGAATGGTAAGAGCATTTATTTTTTAGGGTTTAAGGAGTTTTACTAAAACAATTTTTAAGTTTTTTTATTTTTTTACCTAAAAACTCTATAAACAACGTATTTTACCTATAAACCCAAACTTTCGGTTCATTTACCGCGACCGCCGCATTAATTACCAGCTTAATGTACTCGTATATTGTTCGAACATGGTGTTAATGACACCTGTCCGCGGTTAATCCCACCAAATTTTTGAAACCCGACATCGTGGCGCCACGGAAATGGCGTCGGCTTCACACAAATTAATGTACTCAAACGATATACATATACTGCTTATCCCGTCGTATAATTGTTAATATACCTACATAATTGGCAGTATAATTGTAGATACTCTGAGTAATTTGTACTGTAATCGGCAACGTTTTTTTATCGCAATAATATTCCCCTTTTGATTGGAGAAACACAAACAAAACGGTTTACGGTAGTTCAAGGGGAAGTGCGAGAGTGGGAGGAGGATGGAGAGTGGAAGGGAGTGCGAGAGTAAGGGGAAGCGGAGAGTGTGTGAAGTGAGGGAAAAGCAATTTAGAAACCAAAAAAAAATTTAGTTTTTAATTTAGGTAACAAAAATTTTTATTTTAAAAGTTTTAATTATAAAACTCAATTTAATTATTAAAATAAGTAAGTTTAAACTTTCGTTTTATTGCCTATACCTACTTTTTACTTTATCAATTTATAAAAATAAGAATTCAGTTTTTGTATAAACACAAAATTGGCTTGAAGATTAATTATGCAAATTTTCTCAACTTCCCAGCATGAAATTTGAATCAGTTCGGCGGATAATCGCTAAACACAAAAAAGCCAAAATTCCCGAAAAAAAATTAATTGAAAAATTACACTCTGTAAACTGACCTTTTCAGCTTACTGTGGCTAAAATTATTTTTATTTTAAAATCTTTTTATTTTTTGAAAATTGTTTTTAAAAAAATAATAATTATTGACATTTAAGCTTCCTTATCATTAATTTAATCTTACAGACTCTCTAGAAGACGAAGCCTCAGAAAACGGTGGATTATCCGAACTTAACTGGAGCCAAGATCACCGTAACACATCCAGAAGCCCTGATTCTACTCCTGGAGTCCATGGATCGAAGAAGGCGAGGAAAGCAAGAACTATCTTTACAGACAAACAATTACAAGAGCTTGAGACCATGTTCGAGAAACACAAGTATTTGACAGTACCTGTTAGGATGGAGCTGGCTCAGCGAATGGGCCTCAGTGATACTCAAGTTAAGACGTGGTACCAGAACAGAAGGTAAGGTGTTTCAAAAATACAGTAGGGTATTTTAGAATATTTTTACCTTATAGAAAACTAAAAATAAAAACTTAAAAAATAGCAAAAACTTTCTTTACAAAACAAAAACCAGTTTGACAAACTCACCCATACCAAACCTGCTAATTAGGGGCTTAATTGGCTACAGTAGCCATCTCACATTAACGCCGAGTTTATTGTCTTTTCTCATCCATATTGTTCCCATCTCATTTACAGTACTCAATTAATTTCTTTATTAATCTACTCATGCTAATTGACATTTGACTTTCTTATTGTTATTAGTCGCTAAGGGTCGGTAATTGGCTGGGGATGGGAAGGGCATGGGTTTAAGGGAGTGCTACTGTAAGCTTGGTTGTTTTGTACTGGTACATTGAAGGAGAGAGTTGGGGAAGGGGGGGGGTGAGTGGGTAAAAACTTTGTTTGGATGAACACGCTATATCAAATAAAATTTAAATTTAAAAAAAATTATCATTCCCCACCCCATACCACCAGATTTTGATTTTAAAGGCTCCTTAGTAACCGTTTCTACCCCCTGACGCCATATTTTGTTTTAATTAGGCGGTTAATTACCAGAGTAAAGACTGTTGACATCTTATATCCATTAATTAACCCTCTTCCGGCGCTTCCCCCCTGCCCATAAAGAGAAACACGCGATTCGTTGGCAAATGGCGACATTGGGAATAAATTAACGTCGGGGATTATTAAAAGACAATTAATTGAAAGTAATATAATATTTGATGTGTAATATGAGGGCTGAAGCGCGGTTAAGTGGGGTTAGTCAAAGGTCAGGGGGTATTGTTTTGGAATTGGTTACAAATTGAATGGCTATACGGTAATTGGAGGGGGGGAGAAGGGGAGGAGGTGTGAAATTGAGATGACAAAACTTGAAAAGATACCAAAAATTAAAAAATTACAATATGTACAAAAAAACTAAATCTTTTGATTTCAGAACAAAATGGAAGCGTCAATCGGCCGTCGGCGCTGATCTCTTCCAAGAACCCGGCAACCTGGCCGTTATCCAAAACCTGCTAAGAACCAATCCCTACTGGTCCCAACAAGCCATGGCCAACCCCACGCTCTTCCCTTTCCTAGGCCAAAGATTCATGCCAAATCTTCTAGCTAGCCAACCAGCTGCGACAACTTCACCCACCACTACTCAGCCTTCAGTCCCGAATCCATTTATGCTGTTCGCTGGACTAAATCCTCAACTATTCCAAAATATGGCCAATGGGCAGACTCAGTCCAGTTCGGCCAACAACTCAAGTCATTCTAGTCCTGTACCTCAAACCGCGACATCTGAAGGCAACGAAAGTCCGGAAGCCAAAGAGTTAAAAGATGAAGATAAGGTCTCTGAATAGAATACTTTATATGAAGTGTAGCGCTTCTACTTTAATATAAAGGTACTTCAGGTGCTTACATTATAGTACTTCAAGGTTTACATTACGGTAGAATCTTTACAGTTAAGATATGACATCTTACGCATTCCAAAACATATAGTATTTTCCGTTTGTATATGTACTCAAAGAGTACGTGGCTATGTTTTGCCGGTTTTTCTTTTTATTTTTATTAATTTGGTCAAAAAGTGAATAGAACAAGATGAAAATTTAAATATTAAAACCAAAATTTTTCAAAATAGAAAAATTCTGTGAACTTTTTGACCAATTCTGGTATTTTAAGGCATATTTCGTTTAATTTGCAAGTCATAATATTTAATTTGTCATCCTTTTTAATACCTAAATTTAGCTTTACTTTGATTTTATTGTACTTTCTTGTTTTATTTTGTACTTACTTTACTGTAAAATATATTGTGAACTATAGTTACTATATGATCTATTAATTATATTACCGTTTTTGCTTTAAAATTTTTTTTTAATTTTACACTTGCTAACCTTATATTGTCATTAGGTAATACCTTTCTATTACACTTATTGTTTCAACCACTTTCCGGATATAAACCAAAACTTAAATGACCCTCAATATATAATGCCTAATATTATTATGATTTTATGATTCATACATGTTATGATCCAAATCTACTGTAGTAACACAATTTAAGAAAGTAAATAAATCGATCTCCTAAATCGCATGTCGTTCCCGGGGGGATGGGGCAGGTAAATGGAGTTAAATGGCGGTTAGTGGTGATGACCTTGCCATCTCCTCTTCCATATGGTGTCAGGAAAGGAAGTGTTTAATGGTTTCAAAAGCCAAAATACAATTAGGAAGGTCAGCGAAGGGCGTTAAACTGTATTTAGGCGAGTTAAACGATAGTAATTGGCATTTACTGTAGTAACAGCAAAGATCATGTTTTTTGTTACCGGGGTTAAAAAGCTATTTGTAGATTATATTACTATGGCTAAAAAGCCTGGACTATATATTATAGACGATATATAGTCCAGTTGTATGTTTAAAGTCAACATTTACTGATTTTAAAAAAGTTTTAAGTTATATTTAGGTAGTATAACATAAACAAATTCAGTCATATCCTCTAAAACTTAAGTTACACTAACTTTTACCTGCTCTACCTATCACAATATTAAACAAAACCTTAATTAGCCAAAGTTCTTTCACTTTTTAAACTGCCATCGCCCTTAAATCCGCCCCCACTTCCTCTATAAACAATATCGTATCTTGGCATGAAGATCCATGTAATATTAGTATTAGATTAGCGCTTAAATTGACACTCATGATTGCTCAATACGAGTCAAAAAAAGATTAAGCGACGGATATGCACTTGACATCTTTTACTCAAATAAAGTGGATCCTATGGAAACAACATGGATACATATCCGATCGGATGTGTAATCGACTTAAACACTTGTTATAGGCTTAATAAACATGCGGACAGATTTAGTAATCATGCTTAACATAAAGTGGTAACTGGGAAAGATATTGACACAACTTTTTGACATGTACCATATGACACTTATAGGAATACTCTTGTTATAGTCAACCAACAAGCCATTCTCAACTTCAATAACTCCTAACTCGAGTTTACTGTAGTAATCTCCCTAACTCGAGTAGTAGAAGTTGAGAATGGCTTGTCTGTTGACTATTATCGAAATCAATATCTTGTTTTAGTCACGGAAATCCCTTCATGCCGTATTTTACATAAAACCCTAACCTAACATAATATCTGTAATGTTGTGAAGCAGTTGGAGCGCGCCTAATCTGTCATTCATCCCGCACATTTAGCTGCACTATTGTAGCCTCGGTAGTAATTGACACTTTGTCTGCAGATTCAGCCAACCGCGCCACTGGCTTTTGTCTTTTTTAAACTCGGATATTGTTTTTTACGGACAAATGACTTCCCAACGTAAACCGGCCTTTACGTTGCAAGCAGTATCTGCATCAGAGATCAGTGATGGCTGAGTTAAAGTACATTTATTTTGGTAACGTTTTAGCGGTAGTATCGTACTTGTACTAGCTATGACGATCCTACACTAGCGACGTTACAAATTCCATTTCTTTTAAAGTTCAAGTATAATAGAAATACTTTAAAGATACCTATCTAAGCAGCAATTTCACTACAAATCCAAAAAGCCAACAATATGGCTACCTTAATATCCTCTCTTCCCATTACCTTTACCTATAACCAGAAGAATCGACATACGAAACCATAATTTACTCCCGAATATTGACATTGAACAAGTTAATTACCGCAAATGGCTATTGCGTAACTTGGCATGTTATGTTGTCTCTCGAGAATAGATACCATCAGATAAATGCACCTGGAATTCAAGCACTTCGAATGACCTCAAGATTCTCGCCCAATTAAAAATTACCATAAATTTATATAGAGGATTACGGTAGTGAAAAAACAGGTTCATAATTTAGACTATTGTTAAGATACAATACCTTCGACAGGTATACCTTTAACAATATGCTAACGTTTCATCTCTTTTTGTATCTCATGCCTAATTACTTTCCTTTAGGACCTTGTACCAAACGCCCAATATTAAAAATAGCTCTCCAAACCTTAAAAATTACCTTATTTCACAACAACCCCTATGACTAACGGTAGATTGTGCACTTTGTGACCATTTTTGACAAATGCATGCACATTTCGAAGCCATTCATCGGCGTTGACAGGTGCGAAATAAACGGCTTTGAAAAGTGTTTGTTAAGTGCGGTATATTACGGCTGGATTGCCTTGAATAGATATGGGGAAATTGGACTTTAAAGGGATTTTAAACAATCGCGTTCCTCGAATTTCACGGTCCACCATCTTTTCGGCGTTACCTCCAATGTTTTAAGCAAAAAGTTTGCAAAACCTCAACTGTCCTACGGTAATGACCACAATTAACAAGTTTAGCGTCATAAACATTAAAAAGTTAAGGTCTGGTACTACTTTCTAACCTTTAAAGGTAGGTGTTTCATTACAAAACCAGTCTGTTACCAATCCTTTTAGTTAAATATCGCTAAAGTAATGTTTCTCTTCTCAACACGCTTCCAACAAAGTGCCATAATTGCAAACCAAAGCCAATTTCACATGATTTACTCCGAAAAACTTTGTAATGCACTGCCCACTTTAATGGCCTCAAATGCAGTAATTTGGAGGCCGATGAAAGGAAATCCAACTCTCCCAAAACAAGTCCTTAAATCAAATCGGCGCCGGTCCACTGAATCGGATTAATTCCACGAAAACAATAGGAATAAGGGCCAAACATAATTTATCGAGGAAAATCATTCCAAATTGCCGCCAAAGCACGTCAAACCCACATAAATCAAGGCATAATAAGGTCGCAAAGTTTGGACAAAGTAAATTGAAACAAAAAACAATATTAAGACTTACATAAACATTAAATCTATTACGAAAATAATGTAAATGTACCTTACAATAAAACAAATAATACCCGGAAAATCCAGATTTACACAACAAACTTCTCGAAACCTTCCGTATAAAATTCCTCCGCAGCCTGCAAAAGAAATCGCGCTCTAAACTGTAGAAAGGGCGCAACAGTGCTTATAAAAAATAAATTTTTCTTGTCATTTCGAAAGTATTTCTGGAGTAATTTCAAGGTTTAAAGATGGACCACATGGAAGTGGACCAAAAAACAAAGTCTCCACTGCCAGGAGCTTCTGCTGATGGAGATTCAAACTTTGGAAGCTCTGGTGAAGCTAATTTGCCAAAGGGAAAGGCAAAAGAGGAAGAAAAGTAAGTTTTACAAGTTTTTTTTGTATTTTTAGGTTTAACAAGATGTATAAAGGTGTTAAGGAATTTATTGTCGAAAGTGGAATTATAGTTTGCTTTGTTTTCAGAGTTTACCTTTAAGATAAACTCCTTGGTTAACATGTTTTTACTTATATTTTCTGTTTCAGATTCCGCTACGGCAACTACAATCAATATTATGGAAGCAGACTGGAGGCAAAGTTTACCAAAGATCCTAGGATAGATCTTCTACGCGAAGAATGGTTCAGGAACAAGTTTGTTCTCGACGTTGGATGTAATACGGGAGTGTTGACGAATTACCTGGCCAAACATTGGGGTCCAAGCAGGATGGATGGACTTGATATTGATCCAGTGCTAGTTGGTATTGCTAGGAAGAACATACGACATTATTGTGACAAAAAGGAACACGATGTAAGTGATTTTGACTTGTTTTTGGTTGGTTTAAAGTTTAGGTCAATGTTTTAAAAGTAAGGAGCTGCAAAATCATAACTGTTATTTTATTTAGAGCTTATTGTGACTGGAAAAGTTCATTTATAATCTTTCAGGCTCTCGTTGGAAAACTTCCAGCAATGAAAGAGCATAAAGAAGGAGAGAAGAAGGTATTTCCTCATAATATTTGGTTTACTTGCACTAGCTATGTCTTTCCTGATGATGAGTTCTTGGACATGGTTAGGCCTGAGTATGATACAATTATGGCACTGTCTATTACAAAGTGGATTCATTTGAATTGGGGAGATGAAGGTCTAAAGAGATTCTTTAAACGAGCGTTCAAGAATCTGAAGTCAGGCGGCGTATTCATAATGGAGCCTCAAGATTACAGGACGTACTACAAGTCTTGTAAGAAGATTGTAAGTTTTTTATGTTTCTGGTTTATTTTTTAGAAGCAAATTTAGATTAGACGATATTGTTTGAACTTTGAAACCTCAGTGTTTCTTGCATAGTCAATGTTAAGATACCTAATTCAGTTATTTTCAGCCATCCCTCAAAGAAACCTACAAAAACTTGAAAATGAGGCCAGAGATGTTTGCTCATTACTTGTTCGAAGAAGTTGGATTTTCCGAATTTGTAGATTTGGGAATCCCAGAAGCCAAAACGAAAGGGTATCAACGGCCGATCTATGCCTTCAAAAAGAAATAAGTGATCTCAAAGGATTTTGACTGTTTTCTTATATTTTCAACTTTTTATTGTTATTTATATATTCAGTAGTAGGTATTATGCTTAAAACAACACTAGCCTTTTTTTATTGTTCTTGGCTGTGTGCTTGATATAGCTGTATATCTACATTGGGTATTATTATTGTATTAGTTAGTCCGGTTATTTATTGTTTTCGGTGACAAAATGAGATAAAGTTGTTGGAAAATGTTACGATCTTTTATATTTTACTTTTTTAACGTTTACAAGTAATGCTGATTTAGTAACATCAGTTTAGTGTTATTTTTAGATTAATATTAGTAAGAAAGAAGAGAAAATGAGTTGCGACACCATTTTTAAATTCGAAGCTATTAAATTATGCAATTTAATGAGGCCACGTTTGTAAATTTAGAAACGTTTAAACGGACGTAACGTAGCTTTAAACCGACATGTCGACGCTAATACAGCTACATGAGTATGTGGAAAGCTGCAAGAAGGAGGTAAAAAACGATTAGTACTCGTGGCACCATTTCTTAGGTTTTCGGCTTAAAATTAAACTTTTTAAAATTTATGTTTGCTTTAAAATTAAAAAATTATATATGTTGATATAGCTAGGTACCTTTAAAGTTTGAGTAACAATTTTTATACTAGTATTTTTAGATTTCTTGTCTAAACTTGTAATTATTATTTCAGAATTTGGGATTTCAACGTTTTTTACCATACATAGCACGACTAGTACTAGTAGCACCATTTCTTGATAATTCATTTCAAGTTTTTTCGAGTTTTGGCAGTCTCATTGGTTATGTTGCTAAGAACGCTAGCTTTACTACTTTTCTGTTTGCTGGCTTTTTGTTTTATTACGTTTTTGGTCAGCTCGTGGCTTCCGTTATGATTGTTACTGGTCACAAGGTGAGAATTGGGATTTACATTATCGCCAGTATATGTGGTATTATGGCCCTGTTTTACAGTCAAATTGCGAGCTTGGCCATGGGGGCTCGGTAAGTTTATTGTAGCATTTTTTAAATAATTTTATAAAATTACGTTAACAGAAGGTTAAAGCAGGGGTAATTTTTATACTGTAAAATACGGCGTTTCTATAGAATTCATTTTTAGAAAATTGTCCATGTTTGGAGCTTTACTGATTTTATACGCTGAAACTTTGGAAGAACATAAGCGATACTTGTTTGGCACTGACAGTATCACTGATGCCAACCCAAAAAGAACTACATGTTGTTGGCTGGACGTATCTTGCTTTTGTTCTTGTTCTTCTTTACTTTAGAGGAGTATAATCAAAGAACTATTGTGAGTTTTGTAATTTTATGATCATTACCTAGTGTAGCATACCTTTATAGTCAACACAAAAAGACAGTAATATTGTGTTGCTTATAACGAGAGCCTTCGTTATCTGACGGTTTTTAAAAATTGATCTTCAGACTGTCTTTCTCATAGCCCTAGTGCTAATGGTGTGTATTGTGCTAGGCTACAAGACCAAGGTAACTGCTTCCTTGTTGGTCGTATGGCTTACTGTAGTTAATTTGATGGTAAACTCGTATTGGAATGAATCAACTGAAAAGATCACATGGTACCAAAAGAAATTTGCCTTTTTTGAAACTTTGACTGTAATTGGAGGACTGTTACTGATTATCTGCCATGGACCTGGTGGTGTTTCTGTTGATAACTACTTCAAAACAAAATAGTTTATGTTCTTGGTCAAAAAGAAACGCGTGGAATTATGTTTATTTGTTTTTAAATTCTTTTAAAAACATGATAATTTAACAAAAATATTTGTTTAAGTAAAAATGATGTGTAAAACGTCGTCTCTTTCATCTTAAAAAACGTCAGTGATTCAAAAATTAAGTTTTATTGTACAAAAAAGAATAACAATACTTTTATGAACAGCTATAAATAGTTACATAGTTGTAATGCAGTTTTGCACCAGTACAAAACTGTAATAAAGTCGTCGTACTACAACTAAATACAGTACGACTAAAATGTGATTATCGTACTTACATAATATACGACGGTCATATTTTAACGCTATTATAATTAGAAACAGTATTTCTCATCAGACCCGTCGGCGCAGTCTTCTCGCCCATCGCACCATTGCTCCTTTCGTACTTGCTGCTTCTGATTCTCGCACGATAAGTACTTGGCATCGTTTAGTTTACAGTTGACTTCATCTTCACCACCTGGACAGTCTTTCACACCATCACAATGTTTTTCATAATCCAGACATACCGAATGACCTACTTGTAACGTCGTATCTGCACTGTCACATACGAATTTGCCCCAGCAAGCTGAAAGAGGAAGTATAACATTGTTGTTAGCCAGTGTATTACTGTTTATTGTTGTAAAATTAGGCTGAGCTTGTTCCAAATATAGCGTTATGTTTCAAAGGTTATGTTAATACTGAAAAAAATTTTAAATGCTTACTTTCGTTTTTACTACAGCCAATTTCATCCATATTGGTACCATCTCCACAGTCATCGGGCTTACCATCGCATCGTTTCTTGGCTGGTATACAAATGCCACTTTTCACACATGCAAATTCATCTTTTGCACATGAAGCTGAAACATTTTGCTTTAGTATTTCAAAATGTCATACCTTTTTACGTTCTTTTTGCATAGTTTATACCTATTTTTTCCATAAATGTAGGGTAAAGACGAAGAGAAAATTTCAAGCTGTTGGATAAGTAAATCATAGTCAAATTTTAAAGATAAACGTACGACAATTATTCTCATCTTCTCCATCAGAACAATCACGGTGACCATCGCAACGTCTAGTGTATTCAATGCACTTCTGCGGCAGAGCACAACATGCAAACTGGTCGTCTGTGCAGGTTTCGCGGATTGCTAAAGAGATAGTTATGGAAATACCGCCCACATTAGACATGAGCAACGGGCCGGGCCGGGCCTAAAATTTAAAATTTAGGCCCGGCCCGTTTTTGATTTGAACAGGCCCGGCCCGATCAGAAAAATTCTAGGCCCGGCCCGGCCCGTTTTAAAAAATTTAAAAAATTTTAAAACTTAAGGAAATTTGGCTTTAAATTGTTTTTTAGGTCATTTATGGATCGTAGAATCCAATAAAATCGAAAAACATAAACCGGAATTGAAATAAAAAATTTTAAAAAATTAAAAAAATTTTTTTTCGGGCCCGGGCCCAATTTTCAAGCCCGGCCCGCGGGCCGAGCCTAGATTTCAGGCCCGGCCCGTTTTCGATTTTGCTCAGGCCCGGCCCGAAGGTAGGGCCCGGCCGAGCCGGCCCGGCCCGTTGCTCATGTCTAGCCCACACTTTTGATTTTTCGTATTTTATTTTTTTTTAAATAATTTTTAGGTATTGGGCCACGAGGAAGCCAAACGAGCAACCCGCAGTTTGCAGAAGTCGCGGGCGCAGCTTTCTTTGAGAAATTAATGTTTTTATCCAAAAATTAGATATTTTTGGTTTGAAAAGTGTAGTTTTTTGTCGTAAATAACGTGCTCCATCAGTTTAAAAAATTTATATTAATTTAGATTAATTTTCGTGATTTTTTAAATTAATTTTCTCCAACTTACTACAATGTAGAACATGGTCGTATTCCGGGCAGAATCTGACCGAGTTCTTGAAGTTACAACTGGAAATGGCTGGGTCGAATGCTTGAGCTTGCTCACTTGGACATCTCAACACAAACGTTTGGCCGATAGCACATTGGAAGAAGAGGCCAGAGCAACTTGTGTTGTAGATGAAATAATCGGCTCGTTTCAGGTGTAGATCAGCTAATTGTTTGTCGTCGAATTGGCCTCGATCACAGTAGTTGATCTCGTGTGTGGGCTTGGGTGGGATTTGTGGTACTCCTGGATATGGCGGTGGAGGGAGGGGTTGTGGTTGGCTTTGGTCTGTGGGTTGGCTGAAGAATAGTTAATTGTAGGTAACAAGATTAGTTTTGGATATAACTTTTTTTAAATTAGATAAAAGCTTGAAATTTTTTGTGCTTCTGGCTTTGTAGGTTTGTCAACTGATGGTTTAATTCAATTTTTTAAAATTGAATCCTTTATCAAAAATAATTTTTTCAGTCCATAACTATATTAACCATGAATTTTCAATCGATTTTAAACGCCAATAACCTACCCAAATCCCTCAACAACCGGAACAACTGTCGTTTGTTCAGCAACAACCAGGGCTTGAGTAACAGGAGCAGCAGTCGTGGCCATGGTCATTTGAACTGGCAGTGTTTGTGGTACCATAGCTGAAGCTGGTTGTTTTGATTGTTCTCTCGAGATCTGTTCTCGCAGTCTTTGAGCATATTCTTCAAGTTGTTGGTTTGATAGTTGAGATAAGGCGGCGTGTTGATCTGATGGGACATTTGGGTTTGGTTGGTGAGGATAGCTGACTTGTTGTTGATATTGACGTTGTTGTTCTTCTTGTTGGCGGCGGATGTAGGCTTCTCGTTCTTCTTCCTGTAAAAAAATGTTTTCAAAGGCCAGGTAAGTTTATATATAGATGTCTTTGGCAGTTTTTGATACTTACAATTTTCTATAACAGTATTAATATAGTTTTTTATATAACTGTACCTGTTTCCTTCTTTCAGCTTCCAACTGTCTTTGCTTGGCTTCGATCTTCTCCCTCTGAGCTTCTAACGCAGCTCTAGCTCTTTCGGCGTCAGCTTTTGCTTGTTGTTGTCGCTGCAATTCCAACTGTTGTTCCATTTCGGCCGAAGTAACATAGGCCGCCCCACTGCTGATCATTCCTTGTGGGTTCGTCTGTCCAACCTGCGTTAACGATGCCACGTTTTGTTGTGTGGGCGGTAAAGCGGCAGGGAATTGTTGAGAAGTGTAGTCGGCTGCTGGAGGCTGACTGTAGGATTCTGGAGCTTGTGGGTATGGTGGTGTTTGAACTCCTTGTTGTTGTAGGGCCAACATGTGGCCATTTGGTTGTGGACCACGATTCGGAGCCGGAGTTCGAGGTTGGATGGGCTGAATTGGCTGGATTGGTTGTTGTAGTTGAGGTTGTTGAGGGTCTGCCTGAACAGGAACGTATGATATTGAAGCTGGTGGTACGTTTTGTAGTGTGGGGTCGTAAGATTGTTGCTGAAATGATAATTGCATTAGTAATTATTGAATTCTTATTGCTAAAAATGTGGTACAAAAGGTAGAATACAAATGGGACGTATAGTTTTACTATTTAGGTACAATGTTTAGGTTAAAAAAGTAGAAAATGCAAGATATTATACAGCACTCAAACTGTTAGCCAAAACCGTGCAAACACACAAACTGGTGTTAGATTGCAGTATCTTACTACACGACTTTGACTACAGTTTGAAAGCATTTGAGACAAACGATCTTCTGACGTACTACTTGCTCTACATGGGTACTGGTAAGGGTTCTGACAAAATTATAGTTTAAAAACTCAAAAACCATTTAAAATCAGAAAAAAGCCGTTGATTTACTTACCCTAGTGTCATATGGAGTCTGTGGGTAGTTGTGGAAGGTTTTAGGTATATCTGACGCGGAAATAAGCGATATCGTGAGCCACCAAACCCACATCTTTGACCTGAAATAAGAAAAGTAGAACCAAAGCTAGTTTAAGCATAAAAATACTTTTTATAGGAAACACCCGCTATAACCAACAAGAAATGCTTGTGGCATATTTATAAGAAATTACTGTACTAAAAGTCGTCTTAACTGGCATGGTAATATAACTTTTTGACTGGTAGAATGTATAAAAAAGATTGAGCTGTAGTAAATTAAAAAGTAATGGGGTATATTGTACTGAACGCGACGTTTTGTAATACCACGCGTTTTAATTTCGATTAAAAATTAGGTTTTTTTTGTAGAATCGGATTAGCGCGCAAGAAGCTCTGGCTACAGGATTAAGATGATGTTCCGGTTTGTTGATTATTAAACATACCGGAAGACATGATCGGGACTGTAATATTTTAAAAGATACTTTTTGAAATTTCCGTTAAAGTACAAAAAATCATTCTGCTCAAAGATTAGTTAATAAATTTGGTTAAAAAATTTAAATGTGGAGGTCAAAAAGTTCATAGAATTTTTTAAAAGAACACAAAATGACCTTGAAAGTTCACGTTATGCATATCACGGCAGAAGCTTTAAAGTTTTTAAGTTAAAAAAAGAAAAATAATCCGAACAGACCAGTCGGTTACAGTCACCAAGCCTAGTTGAAACAAGAACTCGAATTGACAATAAACAGAATGACCACCCCAGCAGATAGGCGGCCCCCGTTTAGAACCCGGAAAGCAAACGAACTCCAGATCAACTTTGAAAGGTTTGCTTCCGCTGTATTCAAATAGAAACGTTTACTCTGGGGTAATTCGACGCCCTGCGGAAATACTTTTTGCTAATTTTAACAGTCAAAAGTTTTGGTTATACAATATACTTTTTATAGAGGCATACATGTTCAGGGATTTGTTGAGCTTTTTATAGAGAGATTTTCAGAGATTGTTGGGGTAAAACAAGTTGTTTTTTTTAAAGCTTGACAGGGCTTTGTAAACTAAACTGGCAGATTATTATCATCATAACAAAAGGCTTAACATGAAACTATTTTTATTTAAAATCTTGAAAAATTTTTACAAAGTGTGATACATTATAAAGTGGTTTTAAAAAAGCCTAAAATAGAATCCTTTTTTAACGCTAGTACTTCCCTAAATTCGACTTTGACCTCCAGCAGTGCTAAAATGTGTTTTCGAACTTCACATTCTTTAAAGTACATACAAATGTAAGCGTAACAATTAGTATGTAATAAGTTTATACATTTTTAAAATAATTTTTTTAAATAAATTGTAACTGTACATAGGTTAACGAACATCAAATACTAACTGTATATTCGTTTTTCATTATAATGCCTCTTTACTGTCGCTCTTCTCATCCTTCGTATTCCTCATCTGTTGTATCGCTTCAGCATAAGTGACATTCATTCGTTCGATCATAAATGACATCAGAATCGTAAATCCTTGAAGCATGAGGTCTTTATCGTAGCTTTCGTGCTCTTTTAGTCGGAACAGAATCCCCAGAAATTGTTGTTGAAAAATGTCGAGGAAATGAGGTTTCATGCCATATTTTGAGTAGGTCGCATGTAATCGACCACTACAGTCGACCGCTTTCTGGACTTTGTCTTCGGAGAGGTCGGTGTGCACTATTAGCTTCTCGAAGAACTCGTACTTTTTTGTGCTGAAAAATGGAAGGTTATAGCATGGAGGTACTGGAATGTGTAAAGTTGTATTGTCGAGTACTGTTACAGTGCTTACTACTGTATACACAATAATTAGAAAACATTAAGAAATTATTTTTTATAAAGTTGTAAATATGTTTTGCTTTTTGCAAAAATGAAGTCAACACGAAGTGCAAATGACCTAAAATGTTCTTGGAAATTTGAAAAACGCAACAAGTTTTTGGCAATAAACAAAAGTCGACCTTTTTGTTAGTTTTTTGATTATTAAAAATGAATTTAATTATGTTGACGTTTAAAAAAATCGTGTTTAATTCGCTTAAAGTGCAGTTTCTTGGAAAGGTTATGTCCTGAGTGAAAAGTAAATTAAGTGGTAAATAAAAAAGTCACATACTGAGTAAAAGGTCACCTTATTCCAGACAGTTTTTGGTCTACATAATATTAAAAAAGGATGAAAAATTTTATTATACTACAATTTAAAAAACATATAATAGTATTGAAAATCATACCAATGATACTATTATATACAAAGAATAGTACCTTAACTGATAACAACAATGTGTAAAAGGTATACATTATTAGGAAGACATATATTAGATAGTAGCTCAAACAAGCTGCTTACCACATTTCGTTGAGTTTCGGCCATCGTGTCAAGTCCCTGTAGCAATACCTATTCATTGCGATGATTTCGTTGAGTTTTGGTGATGCTTCAATACAAAATAACATTGTTTTGTGGAATATGTCCCTTCTTTCCTTCGCTATCACTTCTGTCCAACAAGTCTTCATCGCGTCGATGTGTGCTTGTGTTAGGTTTAACCTGTCTGGGTCGTACTTTGAGATGTCGTTTGATCTGAAAGTCGTATTTTATTGGTGTATAATCAGTTTGTGTGCCTGTAAAAACTATTTTTGAGTTATTAAAAAGAACATATAGGTTCAAAACTGAACTATAAACACCTTAAGGTTACGGTTTTGCACCAAAATTAAGTAATGAGTTAGAATGTAGTTTAGCTTCTTATTACTAATGATGTTATTCCTACAGCATACATAGTTCATAATCTCTGGTTTTTAAATTATCAATTGCAATTAGTTCAAAAATGATAACATTGCGACATCTACAAAGTAATACGACGTTGTGAATAATGTGTAAATGTAAATTTTTTAAAGTCTTAGTAAGAAGCAAACTTATTATTATTGGTAGACTAGTATTCATATTAAAAGCTCTAAGTTAGTAAATAAACTTACATTTTATCATCTGCTTCTTTGTTCTGTTTCTTTATTACTGTATTATAGTCTGCCCACGTTGAACAACATAGTCCCATTATAATAATATATTGCAATTGCAGAGCCTAGTAGTGTATTTTGCCAAAGTCAACTCTAAATTAGTAATTGTAGTAAAAAACAGAAATTATTATATGTGTAATGTAACATCTAACAATAAAGTAAAATTTCGTAATCAAAGTGTAAAAACTCTTGTGGGTTTGTAAGGATAAAATTTGAGGTCGTTAAAATAATTCTGTGCTCCTCATTAAAAAACTTGGCATTACAGGGGGCAGAGAATTATGTGAACATCTGAATAGATATAAATTGACGATGAAACATTTTTGACACAAAAGAAAGATAACTGTAGTAACAAAAAACCTGATTTCTATAATGTAAATACATAAAACAATGACAAATTGGTTAAATTTGGGAACGCAATTTCCAAATTTGAACGTTTTCAAATTCAAAATAAGATTCAAATAGCAAAACACGTAACTTTAACAAGTGTCAGCGAATAGTATCCGTATTGAAACAAATTGACAGCAGGTGAAGCTAATTCGAAAACATAAAACCTTAATTACATCGTGTGGACATAATGCAACTTGTTTTTCACAAACCGTATTTTAGGGTATTTTTAGGTAAAAACGGTAAAAAATATAAACAGAACATGACAAAAAACATTATAAACCAAGTCGAAATTTTTAAATATGGCAATCTGATTATAGTCTGTTTACTGTAATAAACGTAACCTCAGGACTGCAGTACTACTAAAAAAAATTTTAAAGTTACAGAAAAACATGTATCATGTTTAGTACATAATACTTAACAATTAAGTACATGTATAACCTCGAAGACATGTAAGATAATATACAAACAAGATATGTAAGTAAATTTTCGAATAAGTTGTATTCAACCTTGTTATATGTAAAAAAGACTGTAAAAACATGAAAAACAAACATAATACATATTTGTAAACAACTGCAAAATTGTACCTAAAATCCTAATGGGCAGGTAGCGTATACGTACAGCCAGAGTTATTTCTAGAATAGTACAGTATTGGCTACAAAGTATGTAAACATTATCGAGTAGAAAAGATAGTTTTATATCTTGAGTCAAGGTTTATGAAAATAAGAAATTTTCAAAAATGTTATATAATAATGACAAGTATCGTAGTTAAAATGAAAGATGTAATACAATAGATGGCAACAGTAGAGCTTTTTCTTAAATTGCTACCTTTAAGATTGGCATTATTACTACAATTAAAAAGGGCAGTTAAACAAAGGTGTGCCTATTTATTTCCTTTTACTTTTCCTTAATAAAATACAAAAATGTACATAAAGTTTTCAAAATTCAAATTGTCTATCATAGTGAATACAGAATGCCCATCTCTTTCTGCCGATTAAAAAATGACACAAATTGTTTTTAAATTGACACTGACAGTCCAAGCTTTGATAACAGCTAATTTAAAAAAAACAATTATTAATTTAGATATTCCCAAAACCTGAATGTCAAAGTCACAAATAATACGTTGCGTTTCCCCAAATTTCATTCATATTTAATTTGTCAGTCGTTTATCCTACTCATTTTAAATTAAAGAATATATAGGTACACCTTACTCTATTTAATTTAGCAATTTATGATGTCTGTATAGAGACTGTTTGAACTTAACAGTATTACATATTTTATGCAATATAAAAAATATTAATATAAAGGTTTAAATAATAGGGCAAAATGTGACCTAGAATTTGAAAGTGGATAAATGTCCTTTGGCGTTTCTTATAAACAATATGTATCAAAATGATAAGTAAAGGCTACTGAAAACTGAATAAAAATCCCTGATGACATACTGTTGGCAAACCAGTGCCAACTGATTTACAATCTAAACAAAAACGATCATGTTATAACTAACAAGGTAAGGCAACTCTCAACTGACTATGTTCTAATCAAAACAATTCTCGAAAAAAGTACCTTGTCATATGTTTTGGCAAAAAGTTATTTTAATTTTTCCACGCCGCGGGTTCACATACCGACATAATGAACATAGTTTAGCATAACAAAAGCGTGTTTAAAGTAAGATACTGGATAAATGAACTTTACTTATAGTAAAAACAGGCGCTAGGACAAATGCGGTTTTTGGACATTTGCGGATCTGCGGTTTTTAGACACTTGCGGATCTTCGGTTTTTGGACACTTGCGGATTTTGGACATTTGCGGATTTTTTAAAGGTTTTTTTTATTTTTTAGTTAATTTAGTTCTAAAGTTTGAATTGGTACGGTTTTAACATAACAGTACCGTTTTGGGCTTTTAGTACTATTTAGTACCAAAAATATAAAAACAGTACCAATTAAAAATTTAGTACTATTTAACATTAAGAAATATTAAGACAGTGCCAATTTAAACTTTAGTACCATTTAGTACCATACTACAACTAAATTAAATAAAAAATAAAAAAAACCCCTTTAAAAAATCCGCAAATGTCCAAAATCCGCAAGTGTCCAAAAACCGCATTTGTCCTAGCGCCTAAAAACAATCTAGGGGACATGGTTTTTGGTACTATGATGTTGCAAAATCTTGTCAATTAATGACAAACGACGGGACAACCAGCACTATTTGATCGCTTCTTGATTTTACTAATAAAAGTGCTGATAAAGAGACGATAATGTAGCTAAAGTTTTACCTAAAAGCTTCATTTTTAACAAAATAACAAAAACATAACAAAAAACACTGTAACCTCAACCATACTATCCAACAGAACAAGACCAGTCATTACAAACGTACTCGAACAACAACAAATTCAGTCAGACGGGTATCAAACGCCAGTCTTACCTTAATTATATATTGACAACCAGATTCCCACGTAAAATAGCCTCTCAGCTACAAATTTAATTACCAAAATAAGTCAATTTCTAAACTCAAAAACAAATATTTTGCAATAGACAGGTCCCATGTAGCTTACGTTAATATATGGTGATGGTGGTACAATAATATTACGGTATCCCAAAATTAAGGTCACAAAGTATGAGAATTTGTACTTCAAATCTAATTACCGTCCTCCCACAGATCGTACGTATCTTTTAGTACAAGTATGATTAGATGTGATAACGTTAGTTTACTATAGTAAAGTTGCTTCAAAAAATAACAGCATTCTTTGCTGCTTACAGCGTTGTACGTTTTATTTAACAATGAGAGTACATTTCATCATTTGAACGATAGTACAAGTCATATATTACGCCGTTATACTACTATAATATTACCAAAGTTAATGTTATAATTCCTACTATAACATAATATAAGAAATAATACGCGTAAAATACATAGAAAACAATATAATAATTCACTACCGGTCATAAAAATGCTCATTGAACCATATGACACAAGACACGACACAAACTAAGGTTACTACTCAGTAAATTGGGTGCATGAGAAAAGATTACAATATCATAATTTACTATACTTTATACTTTCAGATAATACACCCACAGTAACTTGTATCCAAAAAAGTGTATATTAATCAACGGATACGAGATACACGTCAAATAGTGTGTACTACATACAATATAAGGGACGAGCTAAATACATCGGATGGAAAGTATCAGACAAAAAATACGATTTCTTGTCTGATATTTTCGTCTCTCATTTTCCCGTTATCTTTTTTTTTCCTCTCGTTGCCGACGGCAGTTAGAGAAAAAAAAGATCGTTGAAAAAAATATTAGACAAGGAATTGCATTTTTTGTCTGATACTTTTCATCCGATGTATTTAGCTCGTCCCTTATATTATAGGTTAATAATACGTTTTTTGTTCTTCTTATTGTGAGAACCTCGTCTTTGCAAAAAAATAAATAAATACTACGGTAAGTTTAAAAAACTCAAGAAATAGGTTTTTAATTTAATTTGCAACTGATACAGAATCGTCAACTTTTATTTATGATTCGCTCCAAATATAACCGGCAAACTGCGACCTGCAACACAGAAACAATGATGGGCGCGAGCTGAGATAGCACCGAAAGCGCGCGAAAACAGATTTTGGGCAATAAATTTAGAATAAATTATTAAATTGATAATCTACCTGTATTTATCGTCGTATTTTAGCTTTTATAGGGGCTTCAATTGCTAAAATAGAGATAAAAACATTTCTTTAATTTATTTTGGTCGTTAACATAGGTAAATTAGGTGTTATTCGCGGCGTTTTTCGGTAATAAAGCCGGCTTAAGCCTTGTAAAAACGATTTTGTTTCAGAGAAAAGAATGTTTTACGATGAATTTGAGAATGATTCCATGTCGAACTTAGACGTGACTCATTCTAGCGTGTATTCAACTGGCAGAGACTCGTTTATGGCCGGAGACAATGCTATTTTGGAGTATGGTAAGGTTCTTTGATGGATAATATTGTGTTAGACCTGTCTTCTAATGGTTTGAAGAGTTGTTGGTAATGTTGCGTGTTACTGGATGAAATATAGTCGAAAACAAACATAATTTATATTTCTATTTATTAAAAACCTTGAGTTATAACAGATTTTGGGTGCGGAAGAGAAACGCAAACCTATAAAGTAGTTTTCATACCTAATTTTCTGTTTAAAATCATAATATAGTTTTTAAAGCTTAACTTTTTTTTAGAAACGCACAAGGATGTGCCGAACGACATATCAAACGAACGTTATTCTACAAAGATCTTTGTTGGAGGTATTCCATTAGGAACGACTGATGCCTACCTACGTCAATGTTTTGGAGCTTACGATTTGTGTGAGGTCAATTGGCCAGGGAAGAAAAAGTTTGGGGATTCTCCAGCTAATGGTAAGTATTTTTATTGGAAAGTAAGGAGGATATTGAGAAATGAGTTTTAATATTGAAAAAAAATGTTTGTTTAGAAACTTGTTTTTAAGGTAACTCGATGCGGTGTGATTTGCAAAACTATAATTACACGTATAAGAGTATATTTTAATTTTTAGGATATTGTTTTATTCAATTTCGACATTCTGAAGCCGTCAGGGCTCTTCTGAATTCTTGTGCTTACCGTGATGGACGTTATTGCTACGCTTTGGGTCGTAGACGTGATATGGTGGGTAGAATATATATTATTTACTATGTTTATTGTTAATTCTGCCTTATTCTTGATATTCTTCAAATTTTATATTTTTCATAAATTTAGGTACAAATCCGGCCATGGCGTCTCAACGATTCAACTTTTACTATCTCAACTTTATGGAGCCGATTTGTGCGCTTGTCAGTGTTTGTTGGAGGTCTTCCTCGAATTTTGAAAGCTAGTGAACTCTACGAACTTGTTCAACGGAAGTTTGGTAATGTTCTTCATTGCTCTATGGAGTTGGAATTTGAAACGTCTTATCCAAAAGGAGCGGCAAGAGTTATCTTTGGTGACATTAGCAGTTATCAAGCTGCCGCATCGGCTGGTCATATTGAACATCAGTGGTATCCGAACAGACATTACAACGTTAGCTTTGTAGGTTTTTAAGATTATTTAAGAGGATGTTAATGTAGTCTGCTGACATGTTGATTTCTTTGCTACAGAAAGTGAAGTTGTGAATGAAAAAGCGTCAATTTAAATTATGTTTCAGGTTGAATTCAAGCCATTTGTCTACAAAAACATTGAATGTGAACGATGTGGGAACAGTAGCTTGAAAACTGAATTCTGCACGGGAAGAGAATGTTTGTTGTACTATTGTCGTGTCTGTTACGAGGATGTTCATAACAACACTCCGCTATTCTACACTCATCAACGTTGCAATGCCGTGCCGAGAGATCTTCCCAATCCATGCAGAGCTGACAGAAAGGCCAAGGAAGAGAAGGACAGGGCTGATAAGCTGATCGCCCAAACTAACGAGGTGGGTTTGATCATATTTTTGATGTATTATTTTATCATAAGGTCACAGACGTAGCTCATAATGTGGTAAGAACAACTTATTGGTAATGGATAATAATGAATTTTCAGTACGTCCAAAAACAAGATCTGTCCACCAGCTTCAACTTGATGAGCACTTTTGACGATGAACACACTGAAAACATGGCTTTGGACTCGTCGACTACTAGCAGTGCCAAAGAGACCAACATCACCAAGGAGTCGGTCGATGAAAACATTCAGAAAAGACCACGCAAGTTTGGAAATCTTCTCCAGAGTTACGGTGTTCAACCTTAAACTACGTCTACGGATGTGACAATCTACAGTTTTTGATTTGGTACAGTCTTTAAGGATGTTTACAGTATTCGCTCTACAGTATGAAAAAATACGAATATTATTTTTGTAATATCAGGTGGAGGATACTGTAGGTGTTTTTAGGTACTATGTATTCTGTAGTATGCTTTTGTAAAACTTTTCTCAATTTTGCCAATTTCGCAATCTTCTTATTAGGAAATGTCGTTTTTGTTAATGTTGTACGACTTTAACGTGACTTTTTATTTCTAGAGTATACTGTATTGTTTTGTTAGGTTATATCTATCATACAGTAATAAGGCACAGTAATATAAAGTATTTTTAGAAACCATAATTAAAATTCGAACTAATTTTTAAGGTACGAAAAAACGTGCGATAGATATGACGGTTTTTCATTTTTACCTATAATAATATGTTAATTATGTGCATATTAATATTGAGAATTCATAAGTAATATCGCCTAAATTGTCTTAGGTTAAATATATTGTTGTTGTTGTTTGTTTCGGTTAATAAATGTTATTGTTTTTACATTACTTGACTTTATATAGTATAATTAGATTGGCTTCCTGTCATTCAAAATTTACTTCTTTAGGTAATATTATATTAAGCATTAGTCTAGAAAGAGGTTGATAACTGTTTATTGACAAGCATATACATGAAATGTGAGGTGAAGCAGAAGTTCGGGTAATTTGATGATATTAGAGAACATAGTCGATTTGCGTTGATCATGGATTCTTCAAGGTAATATCTGAAAAGTCTATGTAATTTACAATTGTCTTCAATTTAAACCTACCATCTATTTTTACTTTTCTTCCTGGATTTCGTCGACTTGTTAGAGCTGTTTTTGTCATCTGTGCTCGTCTTCTTTTTCTTCTTTGGCATTAGCTTATTCCAATCATCAAAACCACTATTCGTTGAATCTTTCGTTGTCTTTTTCACTCCTTTTTGTTTCTTAACTGGCTCAGTCTTCTTTTTGGTCGGTTCTTGGGCTTCTTTTGTGGATTCATCTGAAGTTACCTTCTTCTTTGTGGTCGACTTTTTGTTTTCTTTTGTCGATTTATTAGAGTTATCCTTCTCTTCCGTACTAGTCTTCTTTTGCTTCTTTGGCATTAGTTTATTCCATTCGTCAAAACCACTTTTTGTTGAATCTTTCTTTGTCTTTTTCCTTTCCTTCTTATCCTCTTTCTCTGATTTCTTTACTTCTTTTGTTGACTCTTTTATACTAGCTTTCTTTTCTTTTTCTGACCTTTTGGCTTTTTTCTTAACTTTTTCTTCAGGTTTCTTCTTGGTCGATGTTTGGGCTTCTTTTGTGGATTCATTCGCAGATACCTTCTTCTTTTTCCTTGGCTATTTTACTTCAACAGTAGTTTCCTTTGTAATTTGAGTAGCCTCAGCTGTAGAAACCTTCTTTTTCTTGGTCGATAGGTCTACACCTTTAACACCTGATTTTTCAGCAGTTGTTTGAGACTGGAGAGATTCTTCAAGTTTTTTAGCTGGACTGACACCACTTTTCTTCTTTGACTTTTTTCCCTTTGATTCTTTTGTGCGTTCGTTCAGTTTCTTGAAATTCTCCCATTCTAAGTTGGCGACCTCTCTTTGGGGTTCCATGGTTGTGCTTTTGGCATCGTTGGTGGATTCATTTGGACCGATCTTCTCTGGTTTCTTTACTTCTTCGTTTGGTTCATTTGGAGTTTCTTTCTTTTCTTCCTCTGTTGGTTTCACTTCTTCATTTGGAGTTGTTTTCTTTTCTTTCTCTGGTGTATTTTCTTCTTTCGTCCATTCGTTTGCTGTTACTTCTAATGGTGACTTCACTTCTTGGTTTGCCGTTATTTTCTTTTCTTTCTCAAATGTTTTTTCTTCGTTAACTGGTTCGTTTGGGGTTTCGTTCTTCTTTTTTGGTTCTTGGGGTTCTTTGTTTGCTTCATTTAAATTTACTTTATTCGTTGACTCATCCGAACCGACTTTCATCTCCTTGGGTGGTTCATTAACTTCAACAACAGGTTTTACAGCTAACTTCGAAGAAGCTGTCTTTAGAGATTCGTCAAGCTTTTCACCTGAACCTGTGGCCTCTTTCTTCTTTTTTGTAGGTGACTTATGGACGCCTTTGTCGTTATGATCTAGTTTCTTGAAATTCTCCCATTCTTCATCTTTCGAATGTCCTTTCTTTTCTTTCTTCACTTCTTTGTTTGGTTCCTTTGGACTTACTTTTTTATTCTTTGGCTCACTTGGACTGGCTATCTTCTCCTTCGAAGGAGATTTTGAAGTAGCGGGTGAACTAGATTTTTCATGTTTCTTGGCTGGACTTTTCTTCTTCTTCTTTATCTTGTTAGATTTGTGAGACCCTTTGTCGCTAGTGTTCAGTTTTTTAAAGTTCTCCCATTCTTTTTTGTCCACCTCTTCTTTAGACATCTTTGGTTTCCTGGACTTGGCCGATGCGTCAGAAGGCTCTTGGGTCTTTTCTGCTCCTGAAACATATGGTGTGGTCGTTACACTTATTAAAATTGGATGTTTTGGAAAAATTTTCTTTGTCAAAAAAATTAAAATTTATGTCTTACCATCACTGGATTTGCTGAGCTTTGAGCGTCTAGTCGAATTCATGCTTCTTCTGAAATGTACGATATTACAATGCACATGAAAACTTAAAATGACTGTAAGTTGTTAAATATACACGCATGTATATCTTCTCTTGGCTTAGTATAACCTTACAAAATATCCTTAAGCGCGGCTCCAGGTGTCTGATCATGGGAAGAATCATGGGAACGATTTCTTCCGATATTTCCTTTCATCGACATGTCATCAGTATCCTTCAATGAGTGTCCTTTGATTCTTTTAGTACTCGTCGTAGAAGGCCCATCTGATGCTGCAAAAGGATTTGCTGCAGCTCCATTATTAGTAGATTTTGCTCTTGTACCAGGTTTTACCATAGTTCGATCGTTTTTACCGCATTGGAACCACAGCATGATAGTGCACGATATTGCACCTGACACTAGTGATAGGAATGTCATAACTGAAAGGTATTAAGAACTTTTAAAGGTAAAAAAAAATGTAATTTAAAAGCTAATAAACTTACTAAAGTCGATTTCCATGATTGTCAGCGGGCACTGACCGAATAGTGAAAACAAAATATGTAAAAATGCATTTCATTGTCGGTTTTTTTTCATTTTCCTTTTGAAAACGTAAAATTTTAGTGCTTTCTAAACAATATTTGGGACGGTATAACTAAAGCTATAACTCGGTACTATTTGTAGTATTTGTATATTATAGTTTGCAAGGTTTTATGCGTTTATTCACAGTATATACATAAAGTAATCAAAGTAGAGAAGAGTTGTCACTCCAACTTGAATTCTTCACTTCTCTTTGCTGGACGTGGGGTTTCTTTCTTCACTGACTTGTTAGAGCTGTCTTTGTCTTCCGTACTCGTCTTCTTCTTTGTCATCAACTTGCTCCATTCATCAGATCCGCCTTTCGTTGAGGCTTTCTTCTTTTTCTTCGGCTTTTGCCTTTCTTTTTGGGTTCTTTGGTCGATTCATTTGATGTTATCTTCTTTTCTTTGTCTGATCGCTTCGCTTCTTTAGTTGATTCGTTTGATTTTACTTTCTTCTTCGTTGATCCTTGTTCTTTAGCGGATTCATCTGAGCCCACTTTCTTCTTCGTTGACTCATCCGAGCTGACCTTCTTCTCCTTGGATGTTGACTGTGATCCAAAAGCTGATTTCAGGGATGACTTTGAAGAAGCTGTTCTGAGGGATTCGTCAAGCTTCTTGGCTGGACTTAAAGTTCCTTTCTTCTTCTTTGTCGACTTATGAGATCCTTTGTCGCTACTTTTCAGTTTCTTAAAATTCTCCCAATCCTGTTTGTTGACTTCTTCTTTCGACATTTTTGATCGTTTGGACTTGGCTGATGCTTCTGAAGGCTCTTGGGTCTTCTCGGTTCCTGAAACGAATATGTAAGGAAAATTGTAAATCTATGCGTTTGTATAGTAATTTTGGCTTGATTTTGTGTTTCCAAATAGAAAAAAAGTTAAAATGACGTCTTACGTTCCCCTTTGCTGAACTTTGATCGTTTAGTCGATTTGACGCTTCTCCTGTAATATACGATATTATAATAACCATAATGGGCTTTAAAGTATAAATCACTAAATATAAATAAACCTTACATCGACAATCTTTCCTTCAGAGCAGCTCCAGGCGTCTGATCTTGAACAACATGTTGTCTTTCTGTACTTCCTCTCATCGACATGTTACCATCGGCATTCTTCAATGAGTTTCCTCTGATTCTTTTAGCATTCGACGTAAAAACCCCATCTGATGCTCCAGAAGATGGTGCTGCTGCTCCATTACCAGTTGCATTTGCTTTTGTACCAGGTTTTGCCATGGTTCTATCGTTTCTACCACATTGGAACCACAACATGACAGTACACGCCATTGCACTTGACACTAGTGACAGGAATGTCATAACTGAAAATTATCAATATTTTAAAGTTAAAAAAAGGAAATGTACTTAAAAAACAAATGAACTTACTAAAGTCGATCTCCATGGTTGTCAGCCGGCACTGACCGAATAGTGAAAACAAAATGTGTAGAAATGAATTTAATTTCGATTCCCAGCTTTTTTGTGAAAGTACGCAAATTTCAGGGTTTCTAAACATTCTTAATGGCAAAAGTAAGCTGTTATAAGCAACCTCAAAAAATATTTTTTTTAGATTTTACCGTTTTTCACATGTAAAGAAGGCTTTTGAACTATAATTTCTGTTGGATATAAAAAGTTCTTTTTGGTATCAATGACGACAACTTTAAACAGAAATTGCAATATCGCATTATGTCGCACTTCAGACAAACGTTATATCAATAGACAACAAACAAAGAGACAGAACAACCACAAAAAAGACATTACACAAAAAAACATTTATTCAGTATAAGGATACGATAGTAGAAGCGTAGTGTGTTCTTTGTGAAGTAATCGTCCTTGTAATTAGTAAGTGGTGGTTAATCTGAAAACAGTGGGTATTACCTTATATTGCATCATATTTTAAAAATTAAAAAATTATGAAAATCTTTTAAAATTCCTCGAGAACATTGGTCATGACAGTTGATGACATGAAATGTTATGACAACACTTACTTTTCTTTTTTTCCTTTTTCTCTTTATGCTTCTTGGAGGTCTTCTTCTTTTTATCCTTCTTCTCCCCGTCCTTTGACTTTTTCTTTCCTTTCTTGTTCCTCTTGGAGTTGGTCTTCTTCTTTTCGTCCTTCTTTTCTTCTGTTGCCGTGGTTTTCTTGTCTTCCGTCTTCTTAAGATCCTTTTCTGCTTTCTCTGCTGATCCCTTCTTCTCAGCCGCCTTTTCGGCCGATCCCTTCTTTTCCTCCTTTTTCTCGGCCGGTGGTAGTGGTGCTGTTTCTGCTACCTTCTCTGCCGATCCTTTCTTTTCCTCCTTCTTTCCTTGAACTACTTCTTTCTTCTCGTCCACCTTCTTTTCCTCAACTTTCTTCTCTTCTACTTTTTCGGCCGAACCCTTCTTTTCTTCCTTTTTCTCAGCTGGTGGTGGTGCTGCTTCTAGTACTTTCTCAGCTGATCCTTTCTTTTCTTCCTTCTTTTCTTGAACCACTTCTTTCTTCTCTTCTACCTTCAACTCCTTAACTTTCTTTTCTTCCACAGCTCCATCTGGCTTCTTTTCCTCCACGACTTCGACCTTCTTCTCTTCCTTCTTTTCCTCAACAACTTCCTTCTTTTCTTCTACTTTAGGTTCTTCTTCTTTCTTGTCTTTCTTATGTTTCTCCTTCTTCTTGCTTGAGCTTTTGTCCTTCTTCTTTTTCTTTTTTTTCTTCTTCTTGCTCTCAGGATCGTCTGGCTTCAACTCTTCGCCTGACAGCTTCTTCTCTTCTTCCTGTTCTTGTGTCTTTTCGACTTCTAAACAGTTAACGATTATCGTTATGGTGACAATAATAAAACAAAAAATACAGTACGTTTCAGAAAAATACTAAAGTATCAAAACAGCTGCAACTGTTATTGTTCTGGATAGAATCAGTGATTATCTAATCAAAAAACCTTTAAAACTTGCCTTTTTCCGGTTCTGGTGGAGGTTGTGGGGTAGACGGGCTTACAACTTGTGCGGTTGAAGGAGGAATCTCTTTGGCAGTTTCTGGCGGAACCTCCTTGGCGGTATTGGGAGATACAATTTGGGCGGTCGAAGGTGGAATTTCTTTGGCAGTTGAAGGAGTCGGCGCCTGAGCAGTATCAGCTTTTTCTTTCTCGGATTGTCTGAAATAATTTTTAAAGGAGTTCTTTGCTATAGATGGTGCAATTTATCTTGAAAGAAACCGTAAGATCAATGTAGAACTTACTGTGTTCCATCCGGTTGCTTCTCCGGCGATTTTAGAAGTTCAGGAGCGGGTGCAGCGGTCTTGACGGACTCTTTGCTACAATATGATGGTGATTAAAATTTTTCAAATAAAAAAATATATAATACTAGACAAAACTTTAACGTTCATCACTTACTCTTTATCGACTTGCGAGTTCTCCATCTTTGACTTGCCCGGGTCTTCTGAAACAGTTAATTATATATAGGGTATTATATATATTGTAGCATATTCGACCTATATGAAACTGGTAAATTTAAAGGTTTTTTACTTTTTTCGCTGACTGGAGTCTCTACTTTCTTTGCCGCTGGTGGTGCAGCAGCTGGTGCCGCTGGAGGTGGTCCCTTCTCTACGGCTCGATCGGCTTTGCCACATTGAAACCATAACATTATAGTACATGCCATGGCACCCGCCAGGAATGAAATGAATGTTGCTACTGGAAATTTTATTGCCTTGAGTTAAATATATTTTAGACGGCACCATTATGAGGATAACATTAGGAAATTAAATATAGCAAGCTAAAGTTCAACAAAGCTACTGAAATTAGCAAAAATTTGAAAAAATCGGTGAAAATTGGTTTTTTTGAGCTGACCAAAAATCCGTATATTTTTGAACTTTACTGTATAATATCATACTGAAAATGCACTGAAATAACAAGTACTTACTAAAATCAATGTCCATCTTTCCTATTCAAGTGACCGGTGCATGGAAAGAAGAAAACTAACAATGAATGGCTCCATGACAAACTTCTTCACAATTCGATATGCAAATTTGACTTTTCAATCTTCCCATTTTGAAAAAAAAATTTTAGAATTTCAAGTTTTTCGATGGGTTCAAAATGTCACTATAAACCCACCCGGATTCCGCCGCGAAAACAAAACAAACGAATAACTTCACCGAAACATTTGGCATTGTGCATTATATTGTTCTTACCTTTTTTCACGTTATTTTTTGTTGTGATTGGGGTTTGTTACATCTTATAATTGTAAGGGAATATTGTTAATTATACTTTCGTTTTTTTATATACGTGTGTTTTGCTCACATGATATTGTTTTGCTATGCTAAAACACTTTGTTTTTCAGTTTGAACCTATTTTGAAATGCAACGCGTACAGCGTTTCGCCTTCTTGACTGGGTAAGTGCTTTATTTCTGTTTTTGGTTTTTAGGTTGTACTCTTTGTATTTAAACCATCTAAATTTTGTGTTTAGTCGTCGTCTGATGTCTTCTGGACCCGGTGATGGAGCTGGCAAAGGTGGCGGCTCAGGTGGATCTATCCGTGATGCCGGAGGTGCTTTCGGTAAATTGGAAGCTGCTCGTGAAGATGAATACTTCTACAAGTTGGTATGTGTTTGAATTTACGTTTGTAGGTATCAGCAAACTGAAAGATTTTGTATACGTTCATTACAATTTTAATGTATGTATCTTTTAGAATAACTAAAGGCTTTAGAAGCTTAATTAACGTTTTTTAAATGATACAACTTTTAGTTGTTTTGAAGAGCAATTCTCAAATGACTTCAGTGTGATAAAATTATAGTGACCGTTCAATTTGAAACTTCAGCATTTAAACTATTTTTTTCAGCAACGTGCTCAACTTAAAGAACTTAAAGGCCAGCTAGCCCGTGAAATCGAACATCACGAAGCCCAGGCTAAAAACCACTCCGAAGTCATCGAACGTCACAAGAAACGAATTGCTGAACTCGACAGCGAGGAAAAGGGTCTGAAGAAATAAAGATTGAGCGGCAAAATAAAATATATTCAATATTTTTGATTGTTCTGCCAATATATCAATTTTAGTCTTATTAAATAAAGTCTAGGATAAGTCCAGTCAAGGAATATTTTATTTGGTGTTGGGTACATTAATATTGTTTTTTAACAAAAAGGACGTTTATATCTTGAAATTTTAGGTATATATTGTTGTGATTTTTATTGTTTAAGGCTAGTTGATTTAGAACTTACAACGTTCTTGTTATACTTTATAATTTTGTGCGTGTTTAGTAGAATGTAAACTTTGTGTTCTTCAGAATGTTTGTTCATGTGATTAGCTTTTCTGAGAACGTAATATTGTTAAACTTTGCCCACTCTGTTTTTTTTTGAGGTTTTTAATTTTGGAACAACGTTTTTTCTAAAATTTATCTGTCTTCCAACCTATGACTCAAAATTTGAAACTAAAATTAAGAATTTACTTTAAATAAGGTCAAAAAGAAGTACGAAGTAGATTTGACTTATTTAAAATTTTTCTGACTTATTTAAAATATTATATAAGTTATTATCTCACAAATGTGTAATGTAATGGCAAAAAAACGGCTGCCTGGCAATCCAATATTTTCCTACAACCGATGGAAATGACAATAAGTCGGTTAGCGAATTGTGTGTATATGCGCTAGCTGCTGAAGGGTTTTTCCATTCAAACCTCTGTGAAAAAACGGAGAAGGAAAGCTGTAGACATTCAAAAGAGTGCATGTTTTTAACCGAAATTTTTGAAAAAGTAATATTTGGAGCAGTATTTTCTTTCACGGCGGTGGGAGGAAGTTAAAGCTTTTGTATTTTTTCAGGAATTTTTGAAAAAAATTGTCATTTTTTTATACTCGAGAGGTTCATTTGATATTGTTTCAGTTTAAAAAATAAAAAAAAACATTAAATTCATGAATGGTACTTTGAACCTAAACTTTAGTGGATCATGGATCGCTTTTATCAATATAGGACTGCTATCTCGTTGAACTGAATATTCATGTCTGATTATGGATTCTTTTCGATGTTGATAGAGTTTGCTCCGTTTTTGGGCCTTTTTTAACATAACAACTGATATCCATATTTGTTAGTGTAAACAAACCACACTGTTTTTATTCATTTCTTTGCATCTTTTACCCATCAAGTTGTAATTTATTAAAAACCAAAGATAATTGACTGTTTTTTAATTAACTTTTGACAATGTATTGCTATAAAGTTTACTACAGTTTTATATCGTTGTATGTTTACTTTCGCCTTTAGAAATCAATCGTATATCATAAATTCAATAAAATTTTATTAATATAACATTGTAGAAATTTCCTATGGGAGGAAACAATTCGTTTTATGGAAAACGTTTGGAAATTGGTGTTTGAATAAATTGAGAAATGGCTCGGACCATGTTCATTTTGTTAGTTTTTACTGTGATGGGGTTGGCCAATGCGTCCTTTCACCACTTGGTTCATAATGAAGATGAAGATTTGGAAGTTGCTACAGAAAAGGTAACATTTTTATTTGTTTTTTTTAATTTTAGGTATCATAGACCGACTAGAACAATGTAAAAAGCTTATGGCTTTTGCCTAAATAGTATGAATCTAATTTTAGAGAGCCAACATGCGGCATCAAATGGACTCTTTGATAATGCTGGTATTCACCGTGATGTTCGTCATAATCGTAGTTACTGCATGGTTTTTCAAGCATTACAAGATACGATTTCTACATGAAAGTGGTGTAACTCTCATCTACGGCCTTATTTTAGGCTTAATCTTTAGATACACTGATTTCGGCACGATTGAAAGTCAGACGTTGGAAGTGAAGGCTCAGAACGGAAGCTCAATTTTTGTACCTCCAGACTACTTGAGGCTACAAGTCAGTAAGCCACAGTCAAACGAGACCATCCACTTCCATTATGAGATGTCAGCGGGCTTCTATTCGGATACAGCCATGAAGGAGAAGCACACTGAACGGAAGACCGTGTTCTCGCCTGAAATCTTCTTTAACGTTCTTCTCCCTCCAGTTATATTCAATGCGGGTTACAGTTTGAAGAAGCGACACTTCTTTAGAAACATTGGATCTATTCTGTCGTTTGTGTTTATTGGGTGCACTATCTCCAGTATACTAACATGGTAAGTTTTTTTTGGTTTAAGTTTTTAAAATAATACAATGAAAGCAAATTTATCGTTCTTGAGTATCAGAGGATTGTTATGCTTTGTTTCAGTTTAATCATGTTCGTATTTTGTTGGATCTTCCGTTTGGGTTTCACGTTTGTCGAGTTACTATTCTTTGGTGCTTTGATTTCAGCTACGGATCCTGGTAGGTTCTTGACTTTTTTAATTGATGTTTAGTTTATTTACTAAAATTTTAATGCTTGTTTTACATTATCTAGGCATACTGTTGAAGATTTTAACTTATTAAAGTTCCCTTTATTTTATAAACTAATTTTGTTTATTTCAGTTACTGTTCTCGCCGTATTCTCCGAAATGAACGTGGATGTTGACCTATACGCTTTGGTATTTGGTGAAAGTGCTCTAAACGACGCTGTAGCGATCGTACTCTCTGGAATCGTAGACCAATTCACAGCCCATTCGGCAGCTTTTTCAGTCGGTGATCTGCTCAGCGCATTCATCGAATTCGGCTACGTTTTCTTCGGAAGTCTGCTCTTGGGATGCTTTGTCGGATGTTCAAATGCTTTGATCACAAAGTTCACAGACGTTAACGAGTATCCTCTACTGGAAAGTGCTCTATTCGTATTGGTGTCATACATATCATTCTTGTTTGCCGAAGTTGTGCACTTTACGGGAATTGTAGCTGTACTATTTTGTGGTATCTGTCAAGCCCATTACACATTCAACAACCTGTCAGAAGAGTCACAACAAAGAACGAAGCAATTCTTTGAAGTCATCTCGTTCTTGGCCGAGAGTTTCATTTTCTTGTACATTGGAGTGTCGTTGCCTACTGCAAGAGCTCAATGGAGTATCATATTCGTTGGTGTTGCTTTTGTAAGTTGACTTTGACATATTAAAAGAATGCATTGCACAATTTAAAAAAGTAATTAAAAGTAGAATATCATTGTTAAAACACCATTTTTAGGTTGCAACTCAGTTGTCCCGTGCTTTGTGGGTCTACCCAATGTGCTCCATTCTGAATACGAATCGAAAGCCAAAAATCGAAAGAAATCATCAGCATATGATTGTATGGTCAGGCCTAAAAGGAGCAGTTCCTTTCGCATTAGCGTCAAGAAACACGGCTACAGAACATAGGCAGATTATGCAGTCTACTACATCAATACTCATCTTATTCACCGTGCTTATAAACGGAGGATTGGCTGGATGGATGATTGAGAAGTTGGGGATCAAACATGGCAAAGATGTAACACAACAAACAGCGTCATCGATGGCAGAGACTGAAAACGAAGAGGATACAGATGTTTTAAATGCGAACAACAGAAGGTCTGGAAGAAACCCGTGGGACAAGGCCTTCTTGCCCAGAAAGTGGTACAACTTTGATGCGGTGTAAGTTCAGTTGTAAGAATGTACTAATGAAGATGTACAAGAGTATATTATAGGTATACGAAAAAAGAAAAATGTGTAACTTGAAGAATAAATAAAACTATTCAGATTTATGGTTAAGTAACGCTATTTTCAGATTCATGAAGCCATTGTTGACGAACGCCAATCCTACATTAATGGAAACTCTACCCGGATTTTGTGCACCAGTTGCACGAATGTTGACCACGGAGAAACAACTTCGAAATGTACAGTCTTGTGATTTGTAACTTCTTTCAATTTGTTCTTCTTTTGTTACAGTAGCTGCATCAGCGATGGGGTTTTACAGTATTCGCCTTATATGGCGACGTAAAGTTTTAGCCAATTTTTTGAAAAAATGGACTGTAATTCATTTGTAGATGAATCTACTGTAACAATACTCTTTTTGCAGTAATTACTATGGTTGCTTAAGTATTTTACATTGATTTCTAAGTATTTTCGGGCATTTATGTTACATCTTTTGCGTGAATCTCTGCCTTTTTTGTTATCGGATAACAATTACCGTTTATAATGATGGGTATTGCTTAGCTAGCTTTTGGATCGTGCTGTAAAAAAATCGTTAACTTTTTCAAGCTGATACCATCATTTCAGAGATTTTAATACTAAAGGTGCAACTTTTTAGTCATTGTTAGAATTTTTTAATAGACTTCTACTGTTTTGCTAAAGTATTCTCTAGTCTATATCTGCTTTCATCTCCAGTTTGAATATCTCTAGTGTTTGTACTGTTGCTGGCTTTATGAAGGTCCTAAAACTACATCTTTATATCATTTTAGGTTTTCTTAAAGCTTGTAACCAGAATAATATTTTTTTATTCAATTTTATGGTCAAACTTGATTTATAAACACAAAGTCTGATGTCATTTCGTCAACAACAGTACAAACTTTTTGAAATTTCACTTTTCTTTTGTATTTTATGCTTTTTTTAAGAATTCCGATGCCTATGAACCGCTTCCAACCTGTGGTCAAGCTTCTAATGACATCTTCTAATGCCTTTTGTATAAACTGCTTAAAAATTGTTATGAACTTTTTTTCTTTCTTTGTGTGCAAAAACTTTATTTACAGCGCGAACTGAAACGAACTCAGGAGCTGCCTAATTTCGTGGACAGCAAATCAGATGAATCACCTCGATTCGACGCTAATCCGAGGACAGTTTGATACAATAATTGTAATATAACATGAAAATAAATTATTTTGGGGATTTTGTCGATAGTTTAAAACCGTCTTCCATCACAATTGATGAGTTATAGGTATGAATAATTATATTTTTTAATTTTGTAAAGGTGATTCAAAGTTAATAGGTAATATAATATGAATGTAACACATAGTATAGCATAAGGATGCTAAAGGACAAATATTCAGCGGTTTAGTTTATGTACAACATCAGTATATAGATATGAAAACGGTTTTTGCTTGGCAAACAGAGTTGTGGATTCTAGTCTCGAGTATTTAATTGTATTTTAGTCCCGAATGGCCTTAGGGTTCTTTGGATTTCTTCGACGGACCGGCGACTTGTCGCCTACTTTTTCAACCAGCGACCCAACTTCTACAGCTTCGAACATCTTCTTGTTGATGGTAAATTTACCACCAGGTTTAACTTCGTCGTCTTCCGAGTCGTCGTCGTCCTGAAAGTATTGTCAATATAAGTATTGATCAATATAAGTAGTACTTGTAAATGAAAAAAATATTCCTGGCTAATATTACATTATGTTTCTATATAACACCTTCAAGACGCTATCAACACCAAAATCGACCCTACCCCAATCGGTATGATGACCTCAGGTATCTCCTATCGTCCTTTGTACTTTATATCGTTCGGATCGATGTGATCGCCAGTAACTTCTGTCAACGGTGGACTATCGGCATGTGGTCTTTGTCAAACAACAGGCTCAGTTGATGGTTCTGTGCTTTCGACACTATGATGTTTTGGTTTACGACATCCATAAAAGTACACGATACAACCGATACAAATACAAATCAGTATAATGCCAGTTACCACTCCTATCGTCGAGTAAATTATCGTCATCGGGATGTCATCCTGAAGTTTTTAAAAATGTTTTACAACCTTAATGAAATACAGGTTTACTTTAGATAGGATGTTCTATAAACAAGTTACTAAAGTAATTACTTATATACATCATCTGATGGAGATATCGTTGTAGGTGTTGGACGAGGCTTTCGAGTCGTAGTGGTCTTCTAAAATTACATATGAAACATTAGTCTATTTAAATATGTAACTTACAAAAGTAATAGTAACATAAGTAGTTTTAGTCGTTGCAGTTGTACTGAAGGTTGTAGACGTTGTAGTAGAACTAGTTTCTGTAGTTGTCGACGTGAAATCTGTAGAATTATCTGTTGTAGTAGACAAAACTGTAGTCATGACGGTAGATGTAATGTCAGTAGTCGTCGTATTATAATCACTACTAATTTCTGTATCATAGTCATCTCTAAATGGCAAATTTTCATCCAATATCACACTCCAATTACCAGAAGATGAATTATTGATCGACTTATCACTATCAGTAGCTAAACCATCTTCATTTTTAGTATCCGCATCAGAATCAGTTGTGGCCAAGCTTGAATCTAAACCCACAATACAAAAAGCAATAACAAACAACAACTCCATGACAATGTAGTTAACTAACAGCCATAGAAACACCAATTATAGCGACCAAGACATCTTAAAAAATAATTTTAAAATTAAAAACGCCAAAAGTTTTCGATTTTTTTATTGAATTACTTTATGCAAAAATGTGTTACAGCATAAAAATATCAATATTTGAAAAGAGCATTTTATACTTTTCTAAAATTTTATTTAATTGAAACATTTAAATCCTCTTCTTGTGCGTAATTCGCCGCTTTTGGCGTTCCGTCTCAGTCTCTTTTTAATTCGCGGGTTCGAATTTTTCAAAAATAATTTTAGGTTTTCGTCATTTTTCGCTGTTATTTCGTGGATTGGCGAAAATTTCCACGATGGAGGATCAAACCATCAAGGTGTACGCCCGTGTAAAGCCAGGAACAGATGGAAATACCGTGGTAAAGGTAGCTTCAGACCAAACGATTACGATTGGAAGAGAACGAAGAAGCTACTCATTTGACAAGGCGTTTAAGCCTCAATGTTCACAGGTAATTCTTAGTTTTGGTATTGTATGTTTAGGTCTTTTTCACGGTTAAAAACTTGATTTGTGATAAAAAAATTGAGGTTTTGAGATGTAAAAAACGCCAAAAACGATATTGTTTTAGGTACAAGTCATTGATTTAGTTAAAATAAAGTATTTCTGGTAGCTGATAGTTTCACTAGTAAAATATTTTAAACAATATTAAAGTAAATTAAATACAGAGTTGTTTTTGGGCGTTTGAATATTATTAGAAAATGTAAATATATATTGTTTTAGGCTGAGATTTTTGACGCCGTTGGAAAGAACATCGTTAACGGTGTTTTTGATGGATTTAATGGAACTATATTTGCATACGGACAAACTGGCTCTGGAAAAACCTACACTATGAATGGCCCAGATGTAGAAAATCCAGTGACCAAAGGATTAATACCTAGATGCCTGGAGTACTTGTTTGGCAGCCTGGAGCAAATGGAAAAGCAAGTAAGTAGAAAGGTTATTTGTTTACGTTTAGGTATGAATTGCGATGATTTTGTCTTTAAAAAAGGATGGTTTGGCAAAATTTTTGAAATTTTATGTTGTGGTAGAGTTGATGAAAAAATTGAGTAAGAATTTATAAACGTAGGGACCGCTTGTGCATATAACCAATTATATTGTACCTACATATGTTTCAAACATTTTAGGATCGAGATTCTTTTACTTACGAAGTTATGTGCTCTTTCGTTGAGCTCTACAATGAAACGATCTTTGATTTGTTAGATACGACAGGAACACAGCCCAGGATTAGAGTAGGCATTAACAAGGCAGTCACGTTGGAAGGAGCGTGTTCGTATATAGCCAGCAATGTGGATCAAGTTATCTACACGATAAGGAAAGGGTGCGACAACCGGCATGTGGCCGAGACCAAAATGAATCGCGAGAGCTCCAGAAGTCATTCTATATTCATCATAAGTGTTCAAATGAAGAGAGAAGTGGACGGAATTATCAATATGAAGACTGCTCAATTGAATTTGGTAGACTTGGCTGGGTCAGAACGGCAGAAACATAGTCAGGCTGATGGAGAGAGATTGAAGGTAATTTTTTTTTGGAATTCTATATGGAGAAGGTATTATTTTAATTATTTTTTATGTTAGGAAAAAAAATCTCAACTTTAATATTGCTTTAGGAAGCTAGTCATATCAATAAGTCATTGTCCACATTGGCCAGAGTCATTCGAACGTTGTCTTCCCAACCGACACAGCATATCCCTTACAGAGACTCAGTCTTGACTCATCTTTTGAGCGATTCACTTGGTGGCAACAGTAGGACTGCGTTTGTGCTCACAATGCATCAAGGTGACATGTAGGTTTATTTACTTTTTTATTCTATAAATGTAAATTTTACAGTTATCAGTTGTTTACATGTAAAAGATACGGTTATAATTGCCTTTTGTTTAGTAATGAAATGAGATTGTTGACTATTGCATAGTAATGATTATGATTTAAAAATATTTTTGTGATATTTTGTTATTTATAGGTATGTGGATACCACCGTTTCTACTGCTCTTTTTGGAAAGACTTTAAAGCTCATTACCAACAATGCTCACGCCAATGAAGATATCATTTGCGAAAAGTGGAAGATGGAAATGGCTCAACAAATGCAGCTTCAGAAGTCTAAAATACGTAAGTTGCAACATAAAGTTATTTTTTTAAAAATATTGGTGAAAAAATTGAATTATTAAAATTAATGGTAAAGAACATTGTAAAAAAGGTACCTAATTAAAAAAATTAAATTTAAATATGTATGGTTTCTAATTATATGATTTGGTACGAATCCTTTCAGAACAGCTGCAGTTAGCGTTGGACTCGAGAACAGAGGAGAACGTTGAATTGAAAAAGACAATTGAAGAGTTGAAGACCAACAAAGAAGAGGCAGATCAGAATGAATACAAGGAGAAACTGAACGTATGTCAACTGAAGTTTGAGGAACTTGCTGAAGAGTACCAAGAGTTCAAGAAGATGCACCAAGCCAAAATGGAGGAATTGGTCTCGGTCGATCGCTACCACTCTGTCAGAAGGAAGTGCATTCAACTGCAGGCAAAGGTGGATGAACTGAATGGAAGTCTGAACGATGCTCTGACAAGAGTTAAGGATTTGGAGGATCAAGTCGAAGAATTCAATCAAAAAGAGAATGGCATTTTGAACATGACTGAGTACATGGTAAGGATGGTTTTTGCTCTAGTTGTTTTTCTTGTTATTTATATTTTCTGAAATAGCTCAACATGCCATTTTTAGTGTTTGTTTACCTTATTTATTCGATGTAATTATAGTCTGAAGAAAGCCGCAAGAAAAGATTCAGAAGAATGACTATTTTCGATGTGACCGAACGCAACCACGCCCTACAAAACAGATGCAAACAGCTGGCAGAGACGTCGATGACCTTTGATGACGACACCGAACTCATGTCGGACAATGAAGAGGAAAAACCAGATAATACGAGGAAAGGACGTCCAGAAGTATTATATACATGCTCAGCCGTTCCCAAGGCACAACATATAAAAGTAGAAGAATTCAAACAGCCGAACGTTGTGTCTATGGCAGACTTGGAGAAGGCCGTGAAGAAAGCGAAAGAAGAAGCTGAAGCCGAGTACAAAGAAGCCTTGGCTTCATCGTTGGGAATGTACGAAGAGAAAGTGAAACTATTCGAAAAGACCCAGGCCAGCTACATTAACAAGATCCACAAGTTGAAGGAGGAGTTCACGGAACTGCGACGAGAAAGAGACGATTTGTACGTGCAGGCTACTGAAAAGCTGGGACATCAGAACTCGAAACAGAAGATATCCTACCTCAACAAGCTGCGAGAACAGAACGTGGAATTGACTAACGAAAACACCGATCTGAAGGAGAAGGTTTACCAACTAGAACAGAAACTAAAGCCGTGATTATATTTACATGTATACTATAACTATAGATGGATTATATGTAGCTGGATTTTACTATTAACAATAAATATATTAAGGTATGAAGCTGTATATATAGGTAAATATAAGTTCCACTCTAACACAATGTTGTACATGCACGTATTTTCAGATATTTGAGGTATTTTGACTTCGTGTCTAAAATATTATAATACCAATTTCAAGTGACTTGTTTATTGTGACAATGAAGGCAATCGTTTTATGACGTTTTAGTTTTTTTCGTTTTTCTTGGGACACCCTGTATATGTTATGTTACACATTAGACAATCGGGATGATGGGTTGCCAGGCCACGTCCAAGGAGTTGTTGCCACGAAGAAGTCTGAAGTAGCCAGATTCTCCCCAATCAGCGCCCCAGGAGTTCTTGATAGACCAGAACGGCACGTCATCGTCTTCACCGTACCCAAAGATGGTCACACCGTGATTGATGGTCCAGCCGGCTTCAGGTTCTACTGGCTCCAGAACTCCTGATTGGTAACTTTGAAGATTGGTTGCGTCAATTACTGAAAATATTATAGTAATATGATATTGTAGTAGCTTATCAATATAGTAATACTATGTTAATTACTGTTTGAGTACTTACCAACAATAGCTGGGCCGAGTTTGTAGACAGCGTTGACTAGTTCAACTTCATCATACTGAGTCGTATACGTGTAAGTACTGATCCTCTGGTATCGTGCTTTGCCTTCGATACAAGCTTCGGCCACAGTCGAGTTACCGTTGGTGTAAGGATAGTCCTCTTCGTAGTCGACCCCGGCAGAAATAATGGCATCCAGAGTCCAGGAGACGACTCCACCGTCACATCCGTAGTTTCCAGAATCCGGGTTACAGGACAGAGTTTGTTGTTCACTCAGCTCTTGGCTGATGTTGTTGGCTATGATGTAGACAGCTTCGACAGCAGCGATAGAAGAGAACACGTAGCAGTCACCACACGATCCCTGGTCCTTGACCTCAGTGTAGGCACCTTCATCTCGCCAGTCGAAGGTGGAGGGAGAGTTACATCCAGAAGTTGACCGTTTAGCTCGCGAGTACTTCAAAGTCGAGTACGGGATGCCATTTGTGACATTGGCGGGCCTAGTGCCAGCCAACTGGTTCAGGAACTCTTCTGGAGACAAATCAGAGAACTTGTTGATGCCAAAGGTGGCATGTTTGTGTTGAGAGTTGAGTTGGCTAATCTGCTGGAGAGTGTTCTGGAAGTGGGAGAAGCGAGTACGAATAGTGGATTCATCAGGGTAGTCACGGCCATGTCTAAAACAATATAAAAATATATGCAACAAGCTATAGAAAGACTTTGACACAACATATGTGTACGGTAATACGCTTACTACTTTCGCTTATGGAGAAAACTTACTCAGCAATAAACTTGAAGAATTGGCTGAAGTCTTGTTTGTCTTCTGGGTTCAGCTTCTGATGCACCTGTTTGGCTTTCTTCAAGGTGTTCTTGGTCGAATCAGCCAGTCCAGGGAAGCTCTCCAACAAAGAATCAGCTCTATTCAACAAACTTCCGAAATCCAAGCCCAATGTTGTAATTGAAGCCGAAGCTACGGTAGTTAGGAGTACGAAGACCGCTATCTTCATCATGATTCTTGTGGTCCCGAGAAGCTGAACAACTCGAAATGATATGATGTCAGGTAGTGCAACATGCCTTTTATAGTGTTTCATTGCAAGCATGAACAATTTTAACATGTTAATCTTGAGGTTCATAAAAACTTAATGTTAATACAGGTAGCTACTTAATTTTATTCAAATCTAACGCCTCTTCTTTAGCCTTGAAACAGTGTGGTCATGCTTAACATAAAAGCACGTTTCCTGGTATAGCCGCTACATGTTTACTACGCAATTTATGCAAATCCAAGACTTTTTTGTTCAATTTTAACAAACAAAAGAATAAAATGATTTTTAAACTAAAATGAACTTAAAAAAAGTTTGTAACGAGGCGTTCGATTTGAATTTAAATTTGAGGTAACAAAAATATGACAAGAAGCAAGAGATTATCATTATTTGAAACTTCCTACAAAGTCCAGCAACTGTCCAGGAAAACTATGTCATGAAGATGCAATATTCTCTCCGAAGTATCGTGAATTTGACTTCATATAAACTAAAATGAGCTTGGAGTTTGGAAGGTTGAGAAGGTTCTTGGTTGAACAACATCGATAGCCTAGCTGATCAGATTTATAGCACTACAAATAGCTAAAAATGGGATCAGAAGGGTCTGTTAAGGAAACATACTTGAACACATTGTTGTTTATAAAGATATGAGTGCAATATTGAAAAAGGTAAAGACTTAAACATATTCTATATTTAAAAATTTTTTAAAATTTACTTTTTCTTTGAACCCATTTTTTGGCGCCATTTCGACATCCGCAAGTCGCGCGCCCGATTTTTACCGATTGGCGCCCTGTAATTCAAAAAAGAAATATAATAGAATCTTTTGGCCAAAAATTATTTCCTAACTGTTTTCAAAGACAATAACCTGTACAGATTCTGTAACAAATGAAGTTCAAAGCTAACTTTGGATATTTTCGGAGACAAAGCAGTGGAAGCTATTCATTACCAACTAACAGTGATGAACAGGTAAGAACGTTGTTTTACTGTTTACTTTGATAGGCATCTAAGTTCACTTTAAAAGGTGCCTAATGCTTTTTGGAATACTCTTGTTGAACAATTACATGTTATATGAGAATGCGTTGTTAACTTAAAAAATATTTGAATTTTGAGGATTTTGGCAGTAAAGTAAGGTTGTTAACATAAAAATAATGTTTTGCCGATAAATTTTAGACTTTATTCCTAAAACTAGGTAGTTATAGGTTAATTATTGTGTTCAATGTTGGAGTGTTTATATTTTTAAGATTGTATTTTATTTTTAAAAGGTCATATTTAAATGGGAATTAAAAAACTGGGTTTGATCTTAAACTTTTATTAATTAGTATTTTTTGTTACCTAAAAACTTTAAATTCAGTGATTTGTTGTAGTTGTTTGGTGTAAAAGACTAAAGAATTAAACTGTTGATACTGATGTTATCTTGACAAATCTGAGGTCAAGATTGTCTATAAAGACCATCGCACACTTTGTTTTTTGTCTCTATATGTGGTGAAATGGCATTTCATTAAAGATTGGTTTTAAAAAATGTCTTCTGTATGACCTGACCAAGATTTTTCCTCATTTTTTTAGATTCACGCTTATAACTGTATCAGAAAGAATATTAGTTATTATAACTTTATATAAACTCTTGAGGACTAACAATCTAGCCTCAAAGATTGATAATATTTCTAAAAGTTGTAGCATCTTCAGAACGGTGGCATTAAAAGAACGTCTTTTATTATATTATACATTTTGCTCACGTGTTTCAAACGAAAAAACGGCACAGTCCTTTGAGCGACGGGCTTTTTCGCTTGTTGTGGCCAGTGTGTACGCAAAATAGAAGAGACAGCCGGCTTTTTCTTTCCCGAATTTTGCATTTTTTGGATTTTTGACGTGCCGAACGATCTTTATTGGCCATTGTTTGGTTAGGAATGTAAATTTGAGCTTTCTCTGATGTTATTTGAGGTGTTATCATTTTGAAAATGTTTATATTTTTATGGTTTTTGACGATGGGAGATGGATTTTGAGATATGAGGGGCATTAATAATATATTTTATGTTGTTTTTGTTGTTACATTGTTTATTTTTCATTGGAATTGGTTAGGAAACATTTAAAATGTCTAAAAATGCATTGCAATCTTTAAAAAATAATACTTTTAAAATAGGTGCCTAAAATAACATAATTTACTGAATTTATACCCAAGGACTCATAGAAGCTTCTCAAAAATCGTGTAGTATGCCCTTTCCGTGCTCTTATGATATATTATAAGCAAAAAAAGATTTCGGGCGTGTTTATCAAGCCTTATCAATGGAGCCGAGAGTCTGTGGCTGATTAGATGAAAGTGTTGTTATTAATCTTCTTTTGAGTTGTAAATTCAAGTCCTGGTTGTTTGCGGAGAGGAATTCAGATAATGGGGCTGTAAATTGCTGCTAAATAAGTAGATGATTATGAAAAATAAAAAAATGGAACATAAATTACCGTTTTATATACTTTGATAAGAGCTACGATTGTAATTGGGTTGGAATGGGATTTTTACTGCTTTTTGAGTTTTGACGGGAGAATTCTGGTAGTAAAGGTATAGATGAAGATAATAATGACCGTTCTTATGGAGGGGAAGGATGTTGCAAATTCTTTTTAAATTGTTTGATGCCTGTGTTAATATATTGCGACACTCATTTTAAAACAAAACTTTCAATCCTTCAAGATAAAAGTTTGACACACAGATCAAAACTCAAAGTCTAGACTTTGCCCAGCTGGCCGTTAATTTGTGAAAATGCTGAAATGGTACGAGAAGTTTTGTCATAAAAAAGTGATGGGTTTGATTCCTTTGTTTGCTCTTTATAATCCAAATAATTCTCGTCTTTTTGTTGCGAAATCGAGAGTTAGAAAAAATAGGCTTACAGAGTGCTTAACGTTGTTGCTACGGGTATTATAGTAGGTGGTAGGGCGTTTTAAGTAAGGTTTAGTTTGAAACTGTGACTTAGCTACGAATTTTTAGGTTTTTTTGTTTAGGCGGGGGGGGTGACGAAGTTAGATTTTTTGTCTACAAATAATATCTGAGGCCTACTTTGGATTTTTTTGGACTATGACTTTGAGGGTCGGGGTGGATCTTTGCAGTAGTTTCAATAAAAAATATAAAAGAATTGTTTTAAAGACAAGCAGATGACATTTTGTCTCGAAAATGACGCATATTTTGAATCAAGTTGGTCAATATTTTTGGCTTATTTATTTCCAAAACCAGCTGCTTTTAATGCCATTTTAAAGGATTTTTTAAAAGTCAGGATTTTAGACTTTTTTTCTGTTATTTGTTATTTAAAGCCGCTTATCGTGTGCTATGATGGCCACTTATTGTAAATACTCTGACGAGAATGGATAAACAGTAGTAATGTGAGGAGGTATTGTCATGGATTTGTCATATTTTTGTATTATGTTTTTAAATAATTCTGTGCTCTTTCGCAAAGTTTTCAAATTTTGGGGTTAAGGGGCACAGAAGTATTTGAACAACCTAATGGTATATTTTCGGTTAAACGTTGATAGCTTAATATATGAATGTCAAGGCTCTTCCTACGCTTTATTATAATTAGACTCTTTTAATGTTAAAAGTCTGATAGTGTCTTTATCAACGTTTATGCCCAGAGGGTCTATTATAAGTGTTGATGACGTTCCGTCGCCTTAAAGAGATTATAATTGCTTTTAAATAAAGTTTTGCTTCATTAAGGGGGTTAGTTAACGTTACTTTATGCTACCCTGAACCTTATGGGAAGAATTTTTTAAATTTTGAGTTTTGTTACTTATAATTATGAATTATGTTAATTAAAGGCTGTTTTAGCGGTGAAAAGTGACGATAATGTTGAAAGTATGGTTTTTTTGAAGTTTGTGGTGAACAAAATGATATTTTTAATGTTTCTACGTTTTTTTATTTAATTTTGTAAAATACGGAAGCGCTTATTGTATTGTTTGTTTTAGAGTTCAACAAGCCACGAAATGAGTAACAGTGGAAAGAAGAATCCTCATAACGGTAGTTTCGAGAATCCTCCATCGGTCAACTTCTTCACGTCGGTCGATGATGATTCGACTGATGTGCCCGACGTCGAGAAGCAAGAAATCGACAAGTTGGCGGAACAGGCAAAGCGACAACAGATCTCGCGACAATCCAGCGGAAAACCATGGACTTTGAGTAGGCGTTTTAGGATGTTTTATATTGGTTTAGATCTCACTTGTCAAAAGCTGGGTTTTGTTCATCAGGAGACGGAAATAATATTTTTTTATTGACAAATTGATAGAATTATTGTTTTTGTGATCAAAATCAAAGACAACATCTTATAAAAACTTTGATTTTAATTGAATTGGCTATAAAAACCTTGTTTTGTTTACAAAAATATTGTTCTAGAGCAAGTAGACAGCGAAATCTTCGACACATCTCCATTCAAAACAGGTCTGGCTGATAAAATGTCGTCTGGCCCGTCTCATGTGGTGTCGTCGCCCTTCGAATCGCCACAATATCCGATTGAGATTCAGGAGACAAAGAAGGCGATTCAAAGACAAATCGACAATAGGTAATGGTTGAGAGTGGCTTTTCTTGCTTGTTTTGGTTGCTTAGTATACGAGTTTGTATTACAGATGCATTCTGTTAACAGCTTGCTTTAAAACTAATATTTTGTACTGGCTGATATAGAGGGTCGACTGCATTACTAGTTTAATTAATAGTTTAGAGGCTATTTGAAGTTTCGCCAGCTTTTTCTGGTAGACCATAGAATACAATAACACGTTTTGATAATTTTAACTTAACATTGGAAAGCTCAAAGCTTTGAATGTGCTTGACTGACTGCATTTTACCCTGATTTTAGGTGTTCACGAGCTAACCGTCGCTATTCCCTTCAGTGAGTGAAAAGGTGTAGTGATTGGTGTTATTTGTCGTTAACTTGATATTGTCGTTGATTACTGCGTCTTATAGAAGCACTGTCCTATATATAGAGGCTGACACTTGTAGGGAATGACGTTTGTAAACCTATAGTACTACCAGTGATAATATAGCGTTCATTTCTTGTGCTGTGTTGTTAGTGGCAGTTTTGTACTGAATATAGTACTAGTAGTGACTTTTAGTAAAAATTGGGCTTAACTTACTTTTTTATGATCGTCAATGTTATAGTAGGTTGAAAAGTTGGAATATTTTGAAATTTCAATAAGAAAATGTTACTGTACAGAGCAAATTTAAAACCGTACTGTACTAAGTAAATATTGTTGTAGATAGACAAGTGACCGATAATCTGTCGGTTGGGGGCGCCATACTGATAAAAGTCACAATTTCCTCGAAATCTTTATTTTTTTTACACGTTTTACTGGTACGGTGATTAGATTATAAGTTAAGCACTGATAAGTAAGTGGAAGTTAATTAGGCTTCTATTGTTTGATCAGCAAGCTCTTTATAAGTTTTTTTTTATTTTTAAAAGTATATATAGTACTTTTGGTCTTATCTGTATTGTATAGGTTGATTTTTAAGTAGTTAAGGTTGATATTATGGTGGTTAAAATAATTTATCGATTTTATTGTAGGTAGAATAACTACAATCTTATTGCTACTGATACTTTTTTATGTTTTTTTGATCTGTAATTGACATGAAGGTAGTTAATGTTTGCATTTGTACGCTTTTTAAAGCTTAAGGTGCTTTCTCAAGTCTTATCAGTAACAAACTTTGGTTTTTATAAACAATAGGGATTAGTGGTGTCTTATCAGTGCAAAACTGATTAGTTGGGAATTATAACGGCTAGCTTTGGCATTAAATGATAAACCGATGGGTGGCTAAAAATTGTGATTTATTACTGTAATTTCTTGCTAAAATTGACAATTTTTGATAAATTTAAAATACAGTGAAACTTCTTTGTTATGACCTTTGATAGTATCATGTACAGCTTCTCTATTATACTCAATGGTATGACACTCTTTATAATGACAGCATTCTGGCCGCTTGTTGATACAGAATTCTTATCAAAAATTACCTGGATAGTGTCACGCCCTGGTTATAAGGACAGATATGGACCAGTCCTGGGAGTATCATACTAAAGACTGTATTGATTGATAATATTTTCGAGTTTTTGTACTTATTTCTCGTTTTTTTGGGTTTTTTAAGTCCAAAAGTAGTTTTTTTGCATGCTGCAGTTTTTAAAGCTTATAATGATTGCACCGTGCTAAGAAATTGATATTAATACGGTGAAACATCTGTATAACGGATCACTTAGAGGTTGTTGTTTGTTATACAGGAGTTCCACTGTATTTTTAAAATAATTAAATTTGGGTAAGAAATAAGTTCAAAAACCACATTTTTAAAAATATTTTTGTTTTTTAGAAAACATCTTTATCTGTAAAATGTTTTTGCAAAAAAAATTTTTTTTTAATTTTGTGTTATTTTGAAATTGATAACAAAACATTAAGTATCTGAAGAGATAACAATGTAGACTAAAGACCCTTGTCTTACGTGCAATGTGAACTTGTTAATGTCCCTTTTGACGCGATAAAATACAAAACTTTGGGCGAATTTTGAATTTTTTCAAATTTCAGATAAAATTTGATTTAAAGTTTCGATTACAATAGAAATTTCGACTTTGAAATATTTTAATTGAAATATTCTGGCTAATATGAGTCCGCCTAATCTAGATACGACAATTTTACGGTATGTTTTTAGGAGAAAATGTTGTTTTATCTGGTTATTTATTCAAGTATAAGGATAAATTAGGTGTTTTATAAGTTTAAGGTCTTCTCTATAGGTTTAAAATTGTGAAGGATATGTTAGTATGAACCTTTGAGTCTAAATATAGCTTTATTATGTTGTTTAGTGCATAATCTTTCGTCTTGTAACGGGTTTCCTCACGCTTGAACTATTGAAACCTTAAATTCGAAGGCCATAAAACATTAGCCGAAAACAGCATTTAACTTTTCACAATATAATGCTTCATATATAGTTATTAAGCCTCAAATTAAAGCTTCTGCTCTTCTGAGTGCTAACTTTTTAAAATTTTTGGGGAACTTTTATCGAAATTCGCTAATTAGCCTGGGGCACAATTCCCACGTGTTTGTTCCAAAACAATTTTCGATCGTCACCCTCGAGGCTATTTGTTTGTTATTCCGCACAAACACAGCATGCTATCAGTATATTATTCTTGATTTCGAATATGGAACGGTTAAGTCGAGCTCCTCTCCGATATTATCCTTCAAGGTAACTTAAATTGGTAATGTCTTTGTGTTTCTGGGATACTTTTGGTAATATCTTGATGTCTTGAGCTAAGTTTAGTTAGACTTTGATATTGTAGGATGTTACATTTGGTTTTTTTAAGGTATCTTTCTTTTATAGCAATCTTTATTGCTATTATAGAGTATTTTTTAGTGTAATTTGTATTAAAATTGTTATAGAAGTTGTTAATGAGTTGATATGTATGGTAAATGGCAGTTTCGTAATGTAAATGAGCAGTGTGATGTGTGAAAGAGTTTTGCTAACTTTTGTTTGTATTAATTGTCTGTGCTAACATCTACATCAATATCTGAAATAATAGTGTTTATACTAACATTTACTACTGTGGTACCTTCTAATAAGATATAGATATATTACAGTAATATTTGTAAAACTAACATAAACAGCACACTTTTTGTCTGTTAGCACTTACTACAATATAAACAGATGTTTAAACGTTGGTTTTCTAGAACTCGTCTTGAAAGTAATGGTCAGCCATCTCCAGATCGTCACCAATCTCATTCTCCACAGCCGACGCTTGAATGTGGCAGCTGGGGCGATGCGAATGGTGCCATACCTGAAAGAGACATAGCTTCACCTCAGCTGGTGGAGATGCACACTTTCCGCGATGCCATTGATGTTAACTATCAACGAATGGCGTTGACTGGCGAGGAGTTGTCTGGGGTAAGAAAATGTGATTTAAAAGTTGTTTTAAATATTGAAAATTGAAGGAACCTAGAATTTTGTTTATCAAAGATGATTTTGATGATATTGATATAACTGGATAGTTGATATTAACACATCTGGAGGGGGGTTAAAAATAGGAAATTTTGATCAAATTGTGATGACAATGATTATACTGCGAAGTCAAGAAGATCAAGCTAAAGTAAAACATTGTAGGTACCGCTAGAAGATTTAAAAGTGGCTTCAAAACAGATTCAAGAAGCCTTAAACCTAAGGCAACAGTATATGGATAGGATTGGCAACTTCTTTCCTACGACTACAAGGAACTTTTTGAATGGTGAATATCCAAAGAACCTGCCAAAGTGCAGGAAGAAGAACACCGAAATGTGTAAGTTCAATACTGGCGAGATGTAGTAAAAATTAGGTGATATAGAAGTAAAATACGTTTTCTATAATTTTTGATAATATATCATGTTAAAATGATGTTTTATCGCTAGTAATGGTACTCAACTACTACAATATAATTGATAGTAGTACTGTAATAAAATAACAAACTTTAAAGCAGTTTTACTACCGTAACTTTACAAAACTAAAAATTTAGTAAAGACACTAAAGTCTTGCTTGTGTGTAAATGTTGTCATCGTACTCTCGGCTGAGTACGACATTTTACCCGGTTATTGTACTAAAGTAATACCTGTTATCTGGATTAATTAAATTGAACTTTTTGAGAGAAATGGCGGCGGATCGGAGGCTTCGAGAATGTAATACTTAATTTTAGTGGGAATGCTATGTAGGTTTTGTCACCGGCACGAAACTCTAATTTTCGGTATTTTCGAAGCGTTGGTTACGGTAACATTAGATAGGCGTTGTTATTGTGGTCGTGGCTACTGTATTTTTGCTATTTTTTGAGTTCTGATGTTGTAAATTTTGGTTAAAGGTTGGGTGCGGGTTGAAATTGGCAAAGAGCATTTATATTACACTAGGCAGGGCAGGGTCAAGTAAGAAAATTTTTTTTTAAATTTTGAATTTTGGTTACCGGATATCAAGTGTTAAAGCAGTTGTACAGATAGCAAAAAGTATTGTTTAGTCATTGAAGAACGCCGCCGGCAACAGCAGCAGCATGAGGAAGAGGAAGAACGTGAACGGCTGCGGGTCCTTCTAGCCGAACGCCGAAGCTCAGGTTAGAGGTGTGCGGTGATTCGAACATACTAACATGTCATAAAGAATCATAACATAGGGTTTAAATTTAATATTATTTAAAAAAGACTTCACTTTTGAGTTCGTGGAGTATAAGTGGTCATTTGGAATTCTTAAAAATTTATGTTACACTAGGTTAAGCTAGTAACTTCTTTCGGCTTTTTGGGCGTTTTAAAGAGGCTTTGAATAACTACTTCTTGTAGGTACACCGAGCTGTTTTTAAATGGTTCTTTAGATTTTAAAATTTGTATTTTAGAACAGTGTTAGTTGTTTTACCTTAAGTTATGTATCATATCTTAGTGGTTGTGTTGCTGTGACTCTTGAATTTTCTTTTCAACTTCTCTAAACATACCTTTTCTATATTTTAGTTAACGGTTTTTGGTTTGATTCTGATTTTCACCTTTAAAATTTCCAAAATTAAAAGTTAACACCCTTTCAAACGATCATAACTTACCAATATCGATTGATGACATTGTTAATGTTGCTGTTTAGCTGCTCACACATCCTTCCATCCTCCAGAACCACCAGTGGATCATTGGGGATTAAATGACCCGTTGCCAAAGTATCAACAGTTCAAATTGGCTAGGAAACATGGAGTGGTATGTTTATGTGGCATTTGATTATAGGTATAAGGGGCATTGTTTGGGGGAATTTACTTTATGTGTTATTACATTTATAGAAGTGGAAAGTTATTTATGGTTTATGATGAAAAGTTTCTAGTTTTTATGGAAAAGTCCTTTTAATATTTTTTGCTATATTGTAGTAGCCATAGCATTAAAAACCTCTATTTCTAGGTAGAAGTACTGGACACAAATGGCCAACTCCACTCCGAACTCGCCGGCTCCTACATAGACAGAATCCAGTTCCTCAGCGATTACGAACGACTAATCACGATGATCGCGGACGGCCCTCTGAAGTCGTTCTGTTATCGTCGCCTGTCCTTCCTTCAGACCAAATTCCAACTTCACGTCCTGTTGAATGAGCTTCGCGAACTTCACGAACAGAAGTCTGTGCCTCACCGTGATTTCTACAACATCAGAAAAGTGGACACTCACATTCACGCGGCTTCGTCTATGAATCAGAAGCATTTGTTGCGTTTTATTAAGAAGAAGCTGAAGACCGAGGCTGATGTTGTTGTTATGGAGCAGGTGGGTGATTTTTCGTGATTTTTTGAGGCTTTAGCTAATCTTTTAGATATTGTTGAAGGTTTTAAAATGATGTCTCGGCTTTGAAAAGGATAAAAAATTAATTTTTTGATGTTACAGTAGATGAAATTTGAAATGTTGTTATTTTCCAGGGCGGCCGCAAAATAACGATGAAACAACTCTTCAAAGAACTCGGTCTAGACGCCTACGACCTCAGTGTAGACATGTTGGACGTGCACGCCGACCGCAACACGTTCCATCGCTTCGACAAGTTCAACACCAAGTACAATCCAGTAGGTCAGAGTTCCCTGCGCGAAGTCTTTATTAAAACTGATAACTATGTCAACGGAACTTACTTTGCCGAAGTCTTGAAGGAGGTTCTGTCAGATCTGGAGGATTCAAAGTATCAACAGGCCGAGCCAAGGCTTTCGATTTACGGCCGCAAAAACGACGAATGGGACAAGTTGGCTAAGTGGGCGATCAGTCACGACGTTTGGTCGCCGAATGTCAGATGGATGGTACAGATTCCGCGATTGTTGTAAGTTTGGGCATCACAATGCTATTTTTTCTAAAATAATTGATTTTTGGGTTGTCTTGAGCTGTGTTGGGCCGGAATTATGAAAAATGAAGTTTTCGTGGTGGGACCAAAATGTGCATGTATGGATTTTTTCTGAAAAGGTATTTACAGCACTAAAAAACGGTGTATTTATTAGAAGTACTATTCTAGGAGGAGAAAATGTCATTTTTATGTTTTGTAGAATAGTTTTATGTATAGTAACTACGTATACCTTTAGCGATGTCTACAAAGAAAAGAAGATGATTGCCAATTTTGACCAGTTTTTGGATAATCTGTTCACGCCTTTATTCGAAGCCACCAACGATCCAGATTCACACCCAGAACTCTTCAGATTTTTATTGAACGTCAGTGGCATTGACTCGGTTGATGACGAGAGTAAACATGAATATGTTCATGTAAGTATATTTGCTATTTTACTTTTCTTATACTGTACTCAAAAAAAAGAATAGTTTTTTGATATTTCAGTAGATTTTATGCACTTTTGGACTCAAAAATTTAAAACCTATCTATTTTAACCTAAACTTTGAACTTTCAGTTTGACAAATCCACCCCCGAACCAGCCGAATACACAGACGCCGAGAATCCACCCTACAGTTACTATCTCTACTACATGTATGCCAATCTGACAGCTCTGAATGCGTTCCGTAGAATGAGAGGCCTGAACACCTTCTCTTTGAGACCTCACTGTGGAGAAGCTGGTCATGTTAACCATCTTATCATTGGATTTTTGACATCTGAAAGCATCGCTCACGGTCTTCTGTTGCGCAAAGTCCCTGTTCTACAATATCTGTTCTACCTGACTCAAATGGGTATTGCTATGTCACCATTGTCGAACAACAGCTTGTTCATCAGTTATCATCGGAATCCGTTGCCAGAATACCTGATGAAGGGGCTGAATGTGAGCATCTCTACCGACGATCCTCTTCAGTTCCACTTCACCAAAGAGGCCTTGATGGAGGAGTTTAGTATCGCGGCTCAAGTATGGAAACTGTCGAGTTGTGACATGTGTGAGTTGGCCAGGAACTCGGTGCTTCAGAGTGGCTTTGAGGACAAGGTTAAGATCCATTGGTTGGGGCCGAACTACAAGGAAGAGGGCGTTCTCGGGAACGACGTGGCCAGAACCAACGTGCCCGACATCAGAGTGTCATTCAGACACGAAGCTTTGGTTGATGAACTATACAACTTGTTTAGATCGCATCATCTTTAAGGGTACTATGATAGTGATTAAGAGTAGTATGTTATACCTACTATTTATGATTTAATGTTGTAGGCTTATATAATGTTTGAGTGGTATGGTTGTGCTGATAGTACGTCTTTGAGAATGATTTTATGGTAAGTTTTGTCTTCTTTAACACTCTGGGTAGCATTTAGCTAGAAATTGTGGTATGTTTTAGCCTTTAACGTGGTTTATTTTGATTTTACACCAAATCTTTATGTTTTATAGTCAAAAACTTGTGTTATGTGACTCAACTATTGATAATGCTGGTTGTTTTGTGTCTTTGATGCTATTTTGTATCTATTCAAAAGCAATTTTTGTAGCTGAAAGTTAAACATAAAGGTATCTATTGGGTATACCTATATGAAAAAGACCGACGTTGATGATTTTAAAAAGTTTTTGATATGTAAATCTAAATTTTAAAATTTTTGATAATTTTAAAAAAATTTTTGGTTGCAAAATTTCAAAATTTTGGTATGCATCTTTACTTGAGATACCATTCTTTACTTTATATTGTGCAGATATCTCTTTACCTTTTCATTGCAATTACTATAGACGGTTAACTATAATGTCATCGACGTGTTCCAATGTTATACATGTATTTCCATCTACATTAATCGTATTTTATATTTTGTACGTTTGAATTTTATAAATTTACAGTAGGACAACGTATTTTATACTTTATTACAATAAAATTGTATTTGAAATGGAAGGTTGGAGTTGAATGGATGTTATTTTAGGTTGTGGGCATCTTGATATACAGAGTTTTTAAAGGGCAGTATTTTAGGTGTTTCATTTATAAAAGATAATGCGTTTTGTAGGTATACCTACAAATACCGAGTTATATACTATTAAAATAGTATTTTACACTTTCAGTGGCACCAATCTCTTATAGTACAGTAAATTTATAAGTATTGTAATGGCAATGACCACGATCTCAATGTCCCATGATATTGTTGGGCCATAAGCTTCGTATATGTTACTGAAATAGTAAAAGTTACTTTAAAGTAAGTAAAATTACTTTTAAAGATATTATATTATGTAGTCCAAATGTGTATGAGCTAAAAATTAATATTTAATGGTAAGCTACCTAATAATGAGTGGCCCAGTAACGCGAGCCACATTCCCAAAACTTTGTTGTATGCCAGTCAATGTCGCTTGTCTCCTAGGCCCAATAATCTGAGTAAACAAGGTATTTACCGACAAGTTTACTATGGGAAACGCAATTCCAACACAGACAGAGTAAGTCGCATACAATACCCACATATTGATCGGGTTTACCGTGTCACACCATGAGAATCTGTCTTTGTTACAACCAACCGGCTCGGTATTATTGTAGAAGTCAGATGAATCGTATGTTTTGAGATGACCAGGTAAGAAGGGGTAGGAGTAGGTTATGATATGGAAGAGGCCTAGTAGCATTAGGCCTCCTATACACATCTTGCGGTAATCTACACTAAAGTGTTTATGGTTGTGAGTATAATTAAAAATTTTTTAATAAAAAGCTTTACTGGCCTTCATAGTGTCTATAATGGCTAAATACGTGAGTATAATTTTTGTAGGTATTGACAGTTTAAATATGTACATACAAACGAAAGCAGTATAGCTTACTATTTATCCAACTTTTTGGCCGCAAATCCAGCATATATGACAAAGGCAAATAGACTGAGAAAGGCATGGGCTGTAGCTACGGTAGTAACAGCTTCTTTCTTGTTCAGGGCGAACATTGTCATTGCCATTGGACTGCCTAATCTAAACAATATTTTTTCTGTTATATTTTAAATTAGAAGTAATTATAGAGATCGTATTTTACAAAATCAAAAGTTTTTAAAAAAATTCACAGAAAAAAAACAAAATCTTTCTGTAGCTGTAGGTATGGTACTGGAGTAGATGGGTAAAAAAGTGGGGAGAGGGAAGGGAGGGTGCGTAGACTAAGAATTTAAATCAATGTAGTGATGTAAAGTGTATCTCTATGTTAATCTGCACTGTTAACTCTTATAGTTTTTTTAAATTATGGAAACGTATAGTAAAATACTATAACGTACGTTTCAATGTTAGTGTAGGTGAAGAGTTGAGTAAATCTTCCAAGGCAACAAATAAACAAGGCCATCTTATCATAGTCTGGTAGCTTGACTTTCTCTAATTCTCCATTTTCCTGAAAGTAAAATACTAACTGGGAAGTAAAACAATATTTTAAGGCTTAAATACAGTATGCTACCACAAGAAAGGCATTCGAATAGAATATCTTCTATAAAATTTACTATGCTTTTGAATTGGAAAAGGTGGTGAACCTACATTAACCTGAACTTTTCTTGTAATTCCAGCGTATTTTTCTTCAAACAAAGAAAACAAAGCAATAATGCCACTTCCATTAACAATAAATGCTACAAATGACGGTGCAGTGTACATGTTGAACCGTACATCCCCAAATAATTCGAAACCGGGGTAATTCAATGGGGTAAACAGTAATTGAATAGCTAAAACATTGTCATACAGATTTTATTAGGTTGTTCTAATAATTCTGTGCTCTCTGATCGTAAAAATTTGCTTTAAAAGGGGGCACAGAATTATGTAAACAGTATTATTAATAAAGTAAAATTTTAAGACAAAACAAATAAATTAGAAGTAATAGTGACATACCTGGACCAGTAGTCATACCAAGAGCGAAGCTTCCTGAGACCAAAGCGATAGTTCTTGAACGGTCTTCTGGCTTACTGGCTACTACTGCGTAGCTTCGTAACAATGTGACAACGCCTTAAAATAAGCATATTTCTTTACACTTCATAATATATCGCTATTTAATTTGCTTTCTTACTGTATTTTATAGTTTTTCGCAGTAAAAAACTTTCATTTATTTAACAAAACAATACCTAAAAAGTGAAAAAAGTTCATACTTACTAGCTCCAAGTCCAATAACACCTCTAGACATCAATATCATGTATTTTCTGTAGCTTGATATGTCAAGATGACTTGCACTTAAATACAGTATGTCACCAAACATACTGACAGTCAAACATAGTGCAATTGGTATCTTTACACATTGAATTCTGTTACTCCAGTAACCAATCAAAGGACTACTAATAATCTGGCCCAATGGGTAAATTGCAATCACATAGCCGTAAAATTGCTCTGTTACTGCGGTGTCTAACTGAAAGTGATTTATATATTGTTATTGTTATGATTTTATGCATAGAGTAGAACAAGCCAATGAGGCATGCAGTATGTTATGAAACGACTAAACTAGTACAAAACATATAAACCAATTTGAAAAATAAAGTTTTTAAGCTATGTTACACTAACTCACAGTTTGAAGATACGGCCACATAGAACTGAAGTATAAACTACATTGTATAGCATTGAAGTATCCGACTATTACCAAGATATATATCGACATCCATGGGGTTTTATCCACTATTTGTGTCTTATCTTCTCTTATTTCTTTCATTTTTTGATAAGAAAATATATAACAAAGTGATTTACTATGTAAAAAATATAATGTATAGTGATTTTACTGTAGTTACCTTTAAATAATTATTTAAATCAAGTGCTAATGATTACTGTAGAATTAGTACATATAGTGTAATTTTTCAAAAATTCTCTAGTGAAAGCATTCAAATAAAAGTTTCAAAGCCAGAACATGTTTGAGATCAGTAACTGTGACGTTGTATAGTATAATTTATGTTGATCTACTAAGTCAGCAAAACTCATAGTCAAATTAATGTTTATCTGTGATCCACGGACATGTGAATTATGAAAAATTAGATTTTAGAAATTTAACTCGTAAAACTCACATTAGTTTACAAACTATTGTAAATAACAAGGAAAGTATTCGACCTGTCTTCACTTAAAATCAGCTCAATATCTTTATGTGAATTCTTTGTACCATCAATAGTACTCATAATAAACTTTAGCTCGCGCTTTTAAGTTTTATATTTTAAATATTTGAGTTTCCCGCCAATTTGACAAATTTGGCACTGTATTTCAAACATTTTTTGCGACTTTACACAAGGAAGGTGTCAAAAGGTGTACCTAACGTCAGACAACTATGGTTACAAATGGGGAAGTGTAAGTTCATTTAAAGGTCTTCCACTATCATACCATATAAGAACAATTAAAACTCAAAAAATGACAAAGTTAAAGGTTTGAAACACTATGCCACTTTGGCGGAAAATTCAAATGTAATTTTTTAATTTCGAAATTTGAAAATTTCTATAATTTTTTACTTTAGTTTTATTAACCATAAAATATAGTTATCAAACTTTTAATGGCACTAGTCTCTTCCGATATACAATGTGGACAATTATAGTAAAGGCAATTACTACAATCTCAATATCCCATGATATTGTAGGTCCGTAGGCTTGGTAGATGCTACTGAAAAAAATTAAAGTTAAAAGGAAGCATAATACATATAATACATATACATATATAAATATATAGTTAAAGAAACAATATTATGTTACTTTGCCTTTGCTAGCCCTTTATATGTAGTACTATGACCGCACGTACTTAAATCTTGCTCTAATACTACAATATTATTACCTAATAATCAACGGTCCAGTCAATCTGGCCACACTGCCAAACATTTGCTGAATCCCTTGTAACGTTGTCTGTCTTCTAGGCCCAATAATCTGTGTATATAACGTATTCATGGACAGATTAACCCCAGGAAAAGCTAGGCCAATACAAACCGAGTAGGCTATGTAGAACACCCATATGTTGACTGGGTTTACTGTGTCACACCATGAGAATCTGTCTTTGTTACAGCCAACCGGCTCAGTATTATTGTAGAAGTCAGATGAATCGTATGTTTTAAGATGGCCAGGTAGGAAGGGGTAAGAGTAGGTTATGATATGGAAGAGGCCCAGTAAGAGCAGGCCTCCTATACACATCTTTCGGAAGTTTACACTGAAAAGTGGCAGTTTTGTCTCGTAAGAGGCTTTACTAACCCTGATAGTGGCTATAGTAGTTAAGTATGTAAACATAACTTTTTGTAAGTAATGATAGTTCAAATAGGTTTAAAACAAAGTAATATAACTTACTACTTATCCAACTTTTTGGCCGCAAATCCAGCATATATGACAAAAGCAAATGTACTGAGAAAGGCATGAGCTGTAGCTACGGTAGTGACAGCTTCTTTTTTGGTTAGGGCAAACATTGTCATCGCCATTGGACTGCCTAATCTGAAACATTATTTTAGACTCATGAATTTGCATATTTTACAAAAAAAAATTTTTTAACTTTTTTTTGAATAATTCTAATAAATATGCAAATTAAAAAAAAAAGTTTAAGTTACATCTTTAGGTAACAACTCACGTTTCCAAGTTAGTGTAAGTGAACATTTGAGTGAATCTTGTGAAACAACAAATGAGAACGGCCAACTTGTCATACGGTGGAATTTGGACTTTTTCTAGTTCTCCATTTTCCTAAAATGACCAGTCGATATATTATTATGACCAAAGCAAATTCTAAAGTATATTTCAAAAAGGGAGGTAAATTGACAATCCTTACATTAACTTGAACTTTCTTCGAAATGCCAGCATATTTTTCTTCGAACAAAGAAATAATGGCACCAATTCCAAATGCATTTACTACGAACGCTACGAATGATGGGGCAGTGTACATGTTGATCAGTACCCCGCCGAATAACTCAAAACCAGGATAATTTAAAGATGTGAAGAGGAGTTGAACAGCTAAAAAGTATAATTTTTTAAAACTTTTTCATATTTAAAAAGATAAAAATAATTTTTTTAAATATTAGGTTGTTCATATAATTCTGTGCTCCATAACACCAACAATTTGCATTGAAAATGAGTGCAAAATTATTTGAACAACCTAATACTTGATAAAACTAAAAATATTTTTGAAAATATAGTAGTTTTGATTATAAAGTTAAATGTAACTTTTTGTATCAGCTATAAACAAGTTCAATATTAGTTAAAACTAGTATAATATTAATCATGAACTTATATACCTGGTCCTGTGGTCATACCAAGAGCAAAGCCTCCGGTAATGAAAGCTACAGTCCTCGAACGATCTTCAGCTTTACTCGCCATAACCCCAAAGCTTCTTAACAAACTTACAATACCTAAATATTACTGTTACTTACAAAAAAAACAAGAATAGTACAATCAACATCAACTTCTGTATATTACTGTCAGTATTGCTCTACATTCTAATTATATCATGTCGCTTTACACAAAACAAAAACCGCTAACTTACTAGCAGAAAACCCAATGATAGCTCTAGAAGCCAGTATGATATATCTTCTGTAAGCTGTTTTCTCAACCGTTTGTGCACATAGATACAGTAGGTTTCCAAAAATACTGATGGCCAAACATATTATTATAGGTTCTTTTACACTTTTGATTTTATGACTCCAGTAGCCAATTAAAGGGCCGCCAAGAATTTGAGCGAAAGAGTAGATAGCTACAACGTAACCGTAGAATTGTTCTGTTACTGATGGGTCTAGCTGCAAATATATTTTGATACCAATATTAAGTTTACATCTTCTTTTACCTGCAATAAGATCATATATTACACTAATATTTTACATAAAGTTTTGTGTAAAATACGATATCTGTAATGGCTTTCTCATACAGTCTTAACTAAACTACTTACTACTTGAAGGTAAGGCCACATAGAACTAAAGTACAAGCTAAACTGAATAGCATTGAAATACGACAATAATACCATGATATAAATCGATTTCCATGGTGTATTATCGACAATAGTCGTCGTATCTTCTTTAATTTCGCCCATAATAAAGACTTATACTATAGCTTCTAGAACGTAGATCATAAAACTATAGTTGATACGACGTAGATCAACTGCTGTATTTAGCTGATAGAACGTAGATCAACTGCTTATATGTAAAAAAGTTGATGTGAAATTCTTTAAAAAACGTGCAATATAAAAGTCAAATCAATAGTGACTCTCATGTATAATATATTCAAAGCCTTTTAATCTGGAGTGCAAAAGTTAAAGTCGTTTTACAATCAAGTTGTAAAGCTTTGATAGCTAGTAAATATAGACATGATTGATCCGTTTATGATGTTTACGTTTACTATAGTAAAAACAGCTTACATTTACAACACTATTAAGCTGTTCAAATAATTACCCTTATCAAAGTAAATTTTTGAGGTTAAGAAGCACAGAATTATTTGAACAACCTAATATTTTGAATATTTTCGCACATTAATGTCACAATTAGTCTATGTTAAAATTGAACTCTTTATTGCAATTAAAAGTGTCATAACAAAATTGTTAAAAAGTTTCACCTATGATAAGACAAAAGAGGTAAGATATATACAGTAAGATCTTGTCAGACAGTATTTTGTATTAAAAAGTAGTTTTGTAACGGTTTAAAAGTACAATTCATAAAATTTTGATTTAAATGAGATAATATTGCACTAGCGCCTATTGATGAAAATATTTCATTATACTCTACTTTAAACTTGTAAATGTGAATATGATATCGCACTAGGTACCATAGTTAGTACATAGGCTTTTTAGACACAAATATTGTGACAATGCATTGCAATGTAAAAGTAGGCTTAAGATTGGTTAAGAAGTAAAAGCAGAGTTAGATAAAAGTAGTGTTGAAGTTTGATAACAAGTAAAAGTAGCTTTGTATATAAGAGATCAGTTTACAAATTTTGTAAAGTAAAAAGTTTTGTATAAATGTAAGAATTATGGCTACTGGTAAATGTAATGGAATGTGGGTTTTCAAGGTCTATATAGTCATAGCCAATAAAAAAGCTACAGTACTATGTACTATTAAGACATTGTCATGCCTTTTCTTATTAGAGATCAATTTTTGATGAGAAATGCCAAAAACTTTTGTAAAGGTTAGTGTCGTCAATTTTCACCTTTACCTATGTTAAGAAAAACTTACAACTCAAAAAACGTTGTTTTAGTTTATACATAGCTTTATCTACAATTATTTGTAAGGCTATGTTCGAACGTTGTATAGTCAAAACTATATGTTGAATAGCCCAAACACAAGTTGGTTCATAAGTAACATAAAAGACTTTGATAAGCTATGTAAAGTAAATAAAGAAGCAAAGAATCTACTCGTCAAGATCGTCAAGGTTGGGTTGAATCTCACAAACATGTGTCAAGAGTTCCGTCTTCAGAGCGAAAGACTTGGCACACTTCTGACATTGATGTGAGCTCCACGAATTGCCAGTCTGAACATGGGTCCTCATATGAGTATGCAAATTCGATGCCCTATTAAAGGCTTTCGAACATTCCGAACATACGAACGGTTTTACCGTGGTATGTGTAAGCCTATGACGTGTTAGGTTCCCTGGCTGTCTGAAGGCACGGCCACAATGTTCACATTGGAACGGCTTCTCCCCAGTGTGAATCCGCTTGTGAGTGATCAAGGTGTTGCTTCTCGAAAAGGTCTTTTCACAAACGTCACATCGATACTTCTTGACATTTGAGCTGCGAGGTGCTGGTCGACCATCTCGACCTACTCGTCGATACGAATCTTGAAATTTGGATACTGTAGATGTTTGGGTGGCTGGCGTTGATGCTTGGGTTGCTTTTTGTCGAAGCTCGTCGGCTAGACTGGCTAGGGCGGTTTGAATGTTACCTAAAATTTGAAATTATGAAAATTGTTTGTAAAAAGTTACAGTAATCCTAAAGTTTAGTTTACTAAAAAGTTACAGTAATTTTGAAACTCTTTTGTATAAAATTTACTTACAGTAACTTTAAACTTCTCCTTACTTTGTATAAAAAAGTTACAGTAACCTTAAAAGTTCTACCAATAAAAAGTTACAGTACCCCTATAATGTCTCAACCAATAGTTACAGTAACCATCTACTCACCCCCGTTCTGAAGCGTCTTCTGAATCTTGGGCAAGAGCATTCCGCGGAAAGCCGGATGTTGTGTTAGGGTTTGGAAGACTCGTGCCGTATTCTGTTTGGCCACATCGTCACTTTTGGTCCAACCGGCTGGCTGTGCACTTAAAGCCTGGAGGCGATTAAAACATTCCACGGACTGGGCCAAGGCCTGGGGATTAGCCTGAAACCACGGCAATTATTGGCTTAGTGTTTCAGACCGATATATTGTACTATTATAGATAACATAGTACATAATTAAGGTGTTTAAATTTAAAAAAAAACTTTTTTAAATTTTTTAAAATTAAATAAAAAATTAAATTTGAAAATTTAAACTCACAATATGGTTATTGTTTCCATTCTGACATAGTTTGGCAAACATTTGCATAAAATTGTTGGACGAAGCCATACTCTGTGCTAACGCTGACATAACAAAAGGATTGGCATTAAAATTGACATTGGTTTCTAATCGCGGAGAGCAGTTGCCACTGGTCGTTGTTTCCGAATTCTTGGTCGATTCACAGCCAGACTCGGTTTGGGATTGATCGGTTGATGGGGAGGATCTACTATAATATAGAAAAGAAGTTAAGGTTTTGGATCATGTATGTAAGTTAAAATAAGAAAAAGAAGGGTAGAATAGGATAAGGTATAGTACGATAGGGTAGGACACAGTAGGACACGGTAAGGTAGGGTAGGGTAGGGTAGGGTAGGGTAGGGTAGGGTAGGGTAGGGTAGGGTAGGGTAGGGTAGGGTAGGGTAAGGTAGGGTAGGGTAGGGTAGGGTAGGGTAGGGTAGAGTAGGGTAAGGTAGGGTAGGGTAGGGTAGGGTAGGGTAACTTCAACTTACATCTTGTCATCGCCTCCCTCGTCGCTGCAGATGCCATCACAATTCTCTCGCTCTTCTGATTCTTCTTGAGCTTTAGCTTCTGCCAATTTCTTTTGTCTCTCCTCCAACAATGAATCGATGAAAAACTTTTTCGTTCTTACTGTAGATGTCATTGAATGTTACTTATGAAATTATGGTTTTGTATATTGTAAGTTGCTTTGTATATAAAGGTTTTGTATCTAAAAATGTAAAGTTAATGTAATATTTATATAACTTTACATATAGTTTCAAAGTATTTTTTGAAGTCGCGACAAATTAAAAGCAAAACAATGAATTATTATGCTGTTCAAATAATTCTGTTCTTTCGAATCTCAAAGATTTGTTTTGAAAAAAGTCACAGAATTATTAGAACAACCTAACATTATTAACACATATTTAAAAAAAACTTTATGGTACTACATAATTAACATTTTTAGAGTAAGGCTAACATCTTTTTATGCAAATAAATAAGAATAACTTTAAAAAATTACAAACAAGTATATTTAAAACAAAAAACAAAATCTGTAATATATAGCGTGATGAAAGTAAAAGTAAATTATTGTTAAACAAAGTGCCTTACATAAAAAACGACAATTTTAACCCAGTTTGTCTTACAGAATTCTTATCTATCCCCAAATTCTAGCTACCCTACCTCACATCCCTTATCCACCCCCTCAACCCCCGCTACCCCATCCCTCAGCCTTGTGACACTCTCTTAATAGTTTTTAGGAAACGACGTAAAAAATGTACCGTAGCAGCCTGGGGGCTTTTCCTGAAGACTCTTTAAAGCTCGTTTGAAGCGCGTTTAATCCAATCCGCGGCCTCAGAAACCTCGGAGAAAAGGCGTGTCATGCGAGGAAGGGCTTTGACGTACATACAAATTAATTAGTGTAACTCTTCGACTGTTTTAAAGTTTGGCACACTTTGGGCACGCTTTTCGGTAAAGGAGGTGTAATAAAAGACGGTTTTGAAAAGTAAATTTAATGTAAAATACGGTTAGGGCCCTAATTAGGGTAAATGTTGTTCAAAATCAAGTTGTCCTCTTACATCTTCCTCACCTTCTGCCTCAAAACAAAAATCACCCCGCCCGTAAGCCTGCAAGAGAGTATAGTATCACTGTCTGTAAAAGCCTTATTAAAACCCTCAACCAAAGTTGTTTAGAACAGTAGCTTTTCAAATAAGACCAGCGATTAGAAACAAAATACGCATTTCCTTTTCATATTAGGCCCACCTTCTGGCTGAGAAGTGGGGCAATCTATTACAATGTAAACTTTGGGGAAACTACGTAAAACGACTGCTAAATACTCGGATTAAAATGTTGTGAAATTTCATTTGGAACAGACATAAGATAGAATATTTTGGTATTTTTAACTTTTAAAAAAGTTATTTATAGGCTTTTGATGGGGGTAGAGTTATGTAAAGCAGAGTTTTAGCTAAATAAAGTTGCGGTTCTAAATTGTACGTTGTTTGAACGTATAAAAAGCACTATAACACGACCTCTGGCTAATTTTTGAACTTTTAAAGTTAAAATATGGCAGTAAAAACAGACGTATAATATTTTTAAATTTTAACGTATTTCTCTCAATTTTTGCTGTGTCTAAAACAATATAAGCTGTTTTTTGAACACCAAAAGTTGTAACACACTAAATGTCATTGTTTAATATTGTTTGCAAAACTATTATTTATATTATGACACACTCTCATGCCTCTAACTTCGATATGACATTAGTTATGACACTTTTTTTTGACAAAATTTATTTTTTTTTGTTAAAATTTGGTTAAATTTCAGCCAAAACCCTCAATATTTTTACTTTTATAAGCTTCTTTATGCAAATTTCATCTCCAAAACTATGTTTCAACTGTGTGTCATAACTATTTGGCCATAAACTAATATTAGTGCCAGGTAACGTCTTGGCCATCTTCTTAAAGACTTCCGTTGGCCAAGAGAAGCGGCCCGAAAGCAGATACTTAAGGTAAATAGAAGGTGCAAATAACACGGGATTAGTGGCTAATAATGTCATCAAAATGTCATAACTGGGAGTGTTTGGGAAGGTACTGCTATTATAATTGAAAAAGTTTGAAAAGTTGATAGTTATGACTTAATAATGAGGTTTTTTGGCAAAATTTAATGAAAAAATATAAAAAATTAAGGTATTTTGAGTTTTACTGCCATTTTATATCATATACCACAAATAGTTTGGTTGAACGTATCTTACAATTAAAAAAAAGTAATTGCCAAATCTATTTTACACTAAAAGCAATAAATTTATAGTACCAAAAATATATTTAATTCACCAGAAATTAGACTAGAAGCTGCCCACCAAGATATCGGATATTATCCATGATGGCTTTTGATGACTTTAATCTGTTTTCCTCAAATTTTCAAACAAAAGATACGTCTACAGCAATATGCGTGGCCAAATAAGAGATTTTACTTTGAGATTTGATATGTTTTTGTAAAATACGCAGTGTACACATGTTGTTGTTTTACAAAAATATTACCTAAATTTCAAAATTTAAAAAATCTTGAGTAATAGAACAAGTTAAAATTGAAAAATATGGTACACAATATACTTTTTCGTCGTATAGTACTATATAGCACTAGTTAACTTACAAGGAAGGTACCCGACTTGCAACGCTCAGATTTTGTTCAAACTTTTTTTTTTAAAAAGTCACATAAATGTAAGATCTTATGCAAAATTCTAAGTTGCGGTTTGCGGCAACTCTTGAGAAAACCGAGATCCAAAAATCGCGTTTTGAATTTCCCGCCAACTTGGCTTAGTGTTGCAAGCTTTTAACTTTGTCAGTTTTTGACTTTTAGCTTTTTTTCTTTAATATAATGGTAGAAAAGCTTCAAATGAACCTGCAATTTTAAATTTGTAAGCCTATCTTATCTGGAACATCAAAAAAAATTCATGCAACACAATGCCAAATTTGCCAAATTGGCGGAAAATTTAAATATATTAATTTTAAAACTTAAAACCGCAAGCTAAGATTTTTTATGTGTGCTACTGGTACTACAAAGAACCCGTATAAAAATTTTTAGTTAGTTCTGAGAGTTGCAGGTTGGGTACTTTCCTTGTTATTCAAAAAATTTAAAATTTTAAAAAAATCAGCAAAAATAATTCATGAAAAGTACGACTTTTAACATTTTTTAGCCGTAATAGTACCATAAAGCTAAAAAGTAGTACCATAATGTCAAAAACGTTACAATTCCTCAAAAAAACAGCCAAATTACAAGTTAAGGAAGCGTGTTAATAAGGAAAACGAGCTGTAGATGAAAAGTTTTAATTGAGCCGCTGTCGAGCCATATTAATTTATTGAAGCGTCAGACAAAAGGGTTAAAACAATTTACTTTAATTTGAGCAAAATTACATTTGGAAGGGACGTGACAATGCACAAATTCATATTTTATCATTTTTTAAATTTTCAAAATTTTGAAAAAATAAAATTTTAAAAGTTTTTAAATATACGTTGAACTATAATAAATATTAAAGTTACAGTAATACAGTAAAACTCTCCAAAAGTGTAAATCTGATACATGTTACAATTGCTTTTTACTATCCTTCACTTTTTTACATCTACATTCGTACCAGTATTAAATCTACAACAATATCAGCATTACACACCTAGTATACATTAAGAGTATGGTCTTCAAGAGCATTACTTTTAATTAAATTCTCATCCGATAACCACTATGATATGATTGTCAGTTTAACTGTGAGTTATCGCGGATTATTCAATTATCACTATTTTTTGACCCACGCATATTACAAATAGTTTTGAAAGTTCCATAACATAAAAAACAAAGTAAAAAAATCTTGATACTCTATAAACAAAATTTTTGAAAAGTTAAATTACCAGAACTTAAATTGTTCAAAGCTTTTGACTACTCAGGGCCTAAAGTTTTAATTATAACAAAAAGTTAAGCAAAAGTAGATTTAAAATTTTCTTAAACTATCTGTAACAAAACAATATGTCTATCCTTTAAAATCAGCGAAAAAGTGCCAAAGAAGCTTCACAAAATCAGCCATACTTACAACTTTAAAATTATCTTATATACCTCTTGCATTTGTAATAACAATTAGGTGTTCAGCCGTTTTCATCCTTAAGCACCATATCTACATACCTCTCTTAGCACATTACTTATACAGCTTTATCAATTTTTTAAAAACGAGTGTTCATTTCTCCTCCTAGATTTTATATTCATTTTAATATTAGCTCCATTCAACCCAAAATCCAGACCAACATACCCTTTCCAACCCGAAAACCTCCACCAACCCACCCCTTCCAGACTTCAAAACTTCTACTTATTCATTCCTTTCAACACTCACCCGTCACCCCTTCAAGTCTAATAACCCTCACCCATCTACCCTAGCCCTCAAAACTATAACAATCCTTCTCCCAAAACCCCCACCCGTCTACCCCACTCAACACAACCAAACCAAACATCTGGTGTGTACACCTGAGCGTGTATCCATCGCACAGCCCCGAAGAATCCCCTTAATAGCCTTTAACACTTTTCATTCGCCGGAGGGCCTTTTCGGACTAATCGGCCCAAGTGAGCGGCCCCGGAAAGACGGAGATTAACCAAAATACGAGTTGTAAATGAATAAAGATATTTTGGCCGTAAACAATTCACAGGTATTCCCGATTTCTGGCAAATCTGTATTATGTTGAAGCGTTACGTTACATATTACGATGGGAAATGTGTATGTAGATACTATAGGGGATGAATAACGGATATATCTATGAAAATTAAAGTTTTTGAAAAGAAAAGTTGGTTAAATTTAAAATATTTTTGAAATTGGTAGACGTAGATTTAATTTTAGTAAAAAGTAAAGCATATTGTTTTTAAAAATTATTACAAATACTAAATAAAGATGTTAATAAAATATTTTTTTCGACTATAAAAAGAGATATATGTAAAGGCAAAACTAAGTGTAATAAAAACTTAAGAAAAATCCATTTTTAACTTTGTTGTACACTATACAGTATATTAATTTTCTAAGTAAAAAATTACTTTTTGTATTAAAAATAACAATACTTACTACAATTATTAACTAAAACGTAATTTTTTACGCTGAATATTAGCCATGAAACCTCAAAAATTATCTGACACTTGTGAAATAAA